TTCTTTCGATTCTGAAGGCTGCAGATAACGGAATCAGGCCGAGCCTATATCCACCGATAATGAAGTCTATTGATACTACTCTCCACGGATGATAAGTCCATTAAGCACCGATTTGGCCAAATTTATTTTCGGATGGCATTATAGTAATTTTTTTGGCGACGAAAGGCCATTTTCTTTGGATTTTGAAGGCTACAGATCGCAGATTCGGCCTGAGGCTATTCTTCGACGATGACTAAGCCCATTAAGTGCCGATTTGGGCGAATTTATTCTGGGCCCATTTTTGGCAGATTCCAAAGGAGTACCATCATAGATTTCGGGCAATTTTTCCGAAATGCCATTTTCTTTCGATTATGGAGGTTGCAGATCACGGAATCAGGCCAAGCCTATATCCATCGATAATGAAGTCTATTGATACTATTCTCCACGGATGATAAGTCCATTAAGCACCGATTTGGCCCAATTTATTTTCGGATGGCATTTTCGTAATTTTCTTGGCGACGCAAGGCCATTTTCTTTGGATTTTGAACGCTACAGATCGCGGATTCGGCCTGAGGCTATTCTTCAACGATGATTGAGTCCATTAAGTACCGATTTGGGCCAATTTATTCAGGGCCCATTTTTGGCAGATTCCAAAGGGGTACGTACCATCACAGATTTCGGGCAATTTTTCCGAAATGCCATTTTCTTTCGATTCTGGAGGCTGCAAATCACGGAATCAGGCCGAGCCTATATCCACCGATAATGAAGTCTATTGATACTATTCTCCACGGATGATAAGTCCATTAAGCTTCGATTTGGCCCAATTTATTTTCGGATGGCATTTTCGTAATTTTTTTGGCGACGAAAGGCCATTTTCTTTTGATTTTGAAGGCTACAGATCGCGGATTCGGCCTGAGGCTATTCTTCAACGATAATTAAGTCCATTAAATGCCGATTTGGGCGAATTTATTCCGGACCCATTTTTGGCAGATTCCAAAGGGGTACCATCACAGATTTCGGGCAATTTTTCAGATATGCCATTTTCTTTCGATTCTGGAGGCTGCAGATCACGGAATCAGGCCGAGCCTATATCCACCGATAATGAAGTCTATTGATACTATTCTCCACGGATGATAAGTCCATTAAGCACCGATTTGGCCCAATTTATTTTCGGATGGCATTTTCGTAATTTTTTTGTCTCCAAGGATATTCTTCAACGATGATTAAGTCCATTAAGTGCCAATTTAGGCGAATTTATTCCGGGCCCATTTTTGGCATATTCCAAAGGGGTACCATCTCAGATTTCGGGCAATTTTTCAGAAATGCCATTTTCTTTCGATTCTGGAGGCTGCAGATCATGGAATCAGGCCGAACCTATATCCACCGATAATGAAGTCTATTGATACTATTCTCCATGGATGATAAGTCCATTAAGCCCCGATTTGAGCCAATTAATTTTCTGATGGCATTTTCGTAATTTTTTTGGCAACGAAAGGCCATTTTCTTTGGATTTTGAAGGCTACAGATCCCGGATTCGGCCTGAGGCTATTCTTCAACGATGATTAAGTTCATTAAGTGCCGATTTGGGCGAATTTATTTCGGGCACATTTTTGGCAGATTCCAAAGGGGTATCATCACAGATTTCGGGCAATTTTTCCGAAATGCCATTTTCTCTTGATTCTGAAGGCTGCATATCACGGAATCAGGCCGAGCCTATATCCACCGATAATGAAGTCTATTGATACTACTCTCCACGGATGATAAGTCCATTAAGCACCGATTTGGCCCAATTTATTTAGGATGGCATTTTCGTAATTTTTTTGGCGACGAAGGCCATTTTCTTTGAATTTTGAAGGCTACAGATCGCGGATTCGGCCTGAGGCTATTCTTCAACGATGATTAAGTCCATTAAGTGCCGATTTGGGCGAATTTATTCCGGGCCCATTTTTGGCAGATTCCAAAGGGGTACCATTACAGATTTCGGGCAATTTTTCAGAAATGCCATTTTCTTTCGATTCTGGAGGCTGCAGATCACGGAATCACGTCGAGCCTATATCCACCGATAATGAAGTCTATTGATACTATTCTCCACGGATGATAAGTCCATTAAGCACCGATTTTAGCCAATTAGTTTTCTGATGGCATTTTCGTAATTTTTTTGGCGACGAAAAGCTATTTTCTTTGGATTTTGAAGGCTATAGATCGCGGATTCAGCCTGAGGCTATTCTTCAACGATGATTAAGTCCATTAAGTGCGGATTTGGACGGATTTATTCCGGGCCCATTTTTAGCAGATTCCAAAGGGGTATCATTACAGATTTCGGGCAATTTTTCCGAAATGCCGTTTCTTTCGATTCTGGAGGCTGCAGATCATGGAATCAGGCCGAGCCTATATCCACTGATAATGAAGTCTATTGATAATATTCTCCACGGATGATAAGTCCATTAAGCACCGATTTGGGCCAATTTATTTTCGGATAGAATTTTCGTAATTTTTTTGGCGACGTAAGGCCATTTTCTTTGGATTTTGAAGACTACAGATCGCGGATTCGACCTGAGGCTATTCTTCAACGATGATTAAGTCCATTAAGTGCCGATTTAGGCGAATTTATTCCGGGCCCATTTTTGGCAGATTCCAAAGGGGGTACCATCACAGCTTTCGGGCAATTTTTCCGAAATGTCATTTTCTATCGATTCTGGAGGCTGCAGATCACGGAATCAGGCCGAGCCTATATCCACCGATAATGAAGTCTATTGATAATATTCTCCACGGATGATAAGTCCATTAAGCCCCGATTTGGGCCAATTTATTTTCGGATAGCATTTTCGTAATTTTTTTGGCTACGAAAGACCATTTTCTTTGGATTTTGAAGGCTACAGATCACGGATTCGACCTGAGGCTATTCTTCAACGATGATTAAGTCCATTAAGTGCCGATTTGGGCGAATTTATTTTGGGCCCATTTTTGGCAGATTCCAAAGGGGTACATCACAGATTTCGGGCTATTTTTCCGAAATGCCATTTTCTTTCGATTCTGGAGGCTGCACATCACGGAATCAGGCCGAGCCTATATCCACCGATAATGAAGTCTATTGATACTAATCTCCACGGATGATAAGTCCATTAAACACAGATATGGCCCAATTTATTTTCGGATGGCATTTTCGTAATTTTTTTGGCGACGAAAGGCCATTTTCTTTGGATTTTGAAGGCTACATATCACGGATTAGACCTGAGGCTATTCTACAACGATGATTAAGTCCATGAAGAGCGGATTTGGGCGAATTTATTCCGTGCCCATTTTTGGCAGATTCCAAAGGGGTACCATCACAGATTTCGGGCAATTTTTCCGAAATGCCATTTTCTTTCGATTCTGGAGGCTGCAGATCACGGAATCAGGCCGAGCCTATATCCACCGATAATGAAGTCTATTGATACTATTCTCCACGGATGATAAGTCCATTAAGCACCGATTTGAGCTAATTAATTTTCTGATGGCATTTTCGTAATTTTTTTGGCGACGAGAAGCCATTTTCTTTGGATTTTGAAGGCTACAGATCGCGGATTCAGCCTGAGGCTATTTTTCAACGATGATTAAGTCCATTAAGTGCCGATTTGGGTGAATTTATTTCGGGCACATTTTTGGCAGATTCCAAAGGGGTATCATCACAGATTTCGGGCAATTTTTCCGAAATGCCATTTTCTCTTGATTCTTAAGGCTGCATATCACGGAATCTGGCCGAGCCTATATCCACCGATAATGAAGTCTATTGATACTACTCTCCACGGATGATAAGTCCATTAAGCACCGATTTGGCCCAATTTATTTAGGATGGCATTTTCGTAATTTTTTTGGCGACGAAGGCCATTTTCTTTGAATTTTGAAGGCTACAGATCGCGGATTCGGCCTGAGGCTATTCTTCAACGATGATTAAGTCCATTAAGTGCCGATTTGGGCGAATTTATTCCGGGCCCATTTTTGGCAGATTCCAAAGGGGTACCATCACAGATTTCGGGCAATTTTTCAGAAATGCCATTTTCTTTCGATTCTGGAGGCTGCAGATCACGGAATCACGTCGAGCCTATATCCACAGATAATGAAGTCTATTGATACTATTCTCCACGGATGATAAGTCCATTAAGCACCGATTTGAGCCAATTAGTTTTCTGATGGCATTTTCGTAATTTTTTTGGCGACGAAAAGCTATTTTCTTTGGATTTTGAAGGCTATAGATCGCGGATTCAGCCTGAGGCTATTCTTCAACGATGATTAAGTCCATTAAGTGCCGATTTGGACGGATTTATTCCGGGCCCATTTTTGACAGATTCCAAAGGGGTATCATTACAGATTTCGGGCAATTTTTCCGAAATTCTATTTTCTTTCGATTCTGGAGGCTGCAGATCACGAAATCAGGCCGAGCCTATATCCACCGATAATGAAGTCTATTGATACTATTCTCCACGGATGATAAGTCCATTAAGCACCGATTTGGCCCAATTTATTTTCGGATGGCATTTTCGTAATTTTTTGGCGGCGAAAGGCCATTTTCTTAGGATTTTGAAGGCTACAGATCGTGGATTCGGCCTGAGGCTAATCTTCAACAATGATTAAGTCCATTAAGTGCCGATTTGGGCGAATTTATTCCGGGCCCATTTTTGGCAGATTCCAAAGGGGTACCATCACAGATTTCGGGCAATTTTTCAGAAATGCCATTTTCTTTCAATTCTGGAGGCTGCAGATCACGGAATTAGGCCTAGCCTATATCCACCGATAATGAAGTCTATTGATACTATTCTCCACGGATGATAAGTCAATTAAGCACCGATTTGGCCCAATTTATTTTCGGATGGCATTTTCGTAATTTTTTTGGCAACGAAAGGCCATTTTCTTTGGATTTTGAAGGCTACAGATCGCGGATTCGGCCAGAGGCGAATTACGAGTTCATTCCTTTCGGAGCCGGAAGGAGGATGTGTCCTGGCATGGCGTTTGGGATGGCGAATGTCGAGCTTCAGCTGGCTAATTTGTTGTACCATTTCGACTGGGAGATGCCTGGAGAAAACGGGGGGAGCTTTGAAGATCTGGACATGTCTGAAAAATTTGGTGTGAATGTGAAAAGGAAACATGATCTATGTTTAATCCCTGTTCCTTACTTACCCAGTTACCCTGCCTTTTAACTGCATAAACTACCCATAATTTGATATGAAGCATTTATCTAATTCGTGTTGTATCGTTTTGTTTGATTCGTACAATAAAAAATCTAATATAGATTTGGCTTTTTATATGTATTCTTGTCTATAATAAGAGGATACATTAATTAGCATGGTATGCATACTATGATACTAAAATTAGCATAAGATTATATAAATTATCGGAACAAATTCAAAAATGAAACGAATCCTAATTGTAGGAGTTTGTTAGTCAAAAATCAAAGTATAGTGGCTAACTTGTCAGAATCTTAAAATAAGGGGACCGGGTTGGATAATCCTAGTTCCTAATTGTACCATTCCAACCGAGTCAAACGCACAAACGACTTTTTCCCCGCGAGACTCCCGCTCCAATTTCAATCTCCTCCGCCGGTCGACGCACCGCCGTCCTTCAGATTTTGCACATAGGTTAGTTTCAGAGTGCTTTCGAGTATCAAATACTGGCTTTTTATCTGTCTAATTTCGTACCTGCCCTTTGCAATCCGTGTTTCTTGTTTGTTTTATCTTCTCCGCTCGAGCTTGAACTATTTTGGAGTTTCGGCCGGCGGGTCTGCATTTACAGTCGCGTATTGTTATGAAAGATTCTAACTTTTAAGTGTATTAGCTGCGGTTGTGTTTGGGTTTCCCCTGTCTTCGCATTATCTCTCTCTCTCCCCACCTCCTTCTCTTTGTGGAATGAACAGTATCCAGAAACCCTTATTTGATAGATTGTGATGAACAGTTATCGATAAATTGGTCAGGGAAGGAGGTGGGATAGGGATGTTCTGCTTGCGGTAGACATTTGTTAAGTCTGTTCTTCTGACTTCTGTGTGGAGTTTCCCCCAATTTTGTTCTTCTAGTGCATGGACTCATTGGGTTGTTGTTTCTGGTTTGATTCATGTTTTCACAGGGAGTCTCGTTAGGCTAAACAATCTTGCCTGAAGATGAAGCCACTGCCATCAACCTCCTCCAAGACGCCTGTCAAATTTAGAATGTAAGGGGCACAAAACTCACTGCTCCCCTTGGCTTATATTATATTTTTCATGTCAGAAAACAGTAAATTCTTCCTTTTTGCAGGCCGACGTCTGAGAACTTGGTACCAATTCGTCTGGATATTGAAGTTGGCGGGCAGCGCTTCAAAGATGCATTCACCTGGAATATATCTGGTATATCCTTGAACTGCTATGGGCATTCACCTGGTTTCGCAGCATTGAGAAACCCTCTCGGTTAATGGGATCCTGTGGAAGTTCATTGAACACTGTTAAATGACAATGCAGATCCAGATTCTGAAGTAAGTGTTTTCGCTAAACGAACACAGAAAGATTTGAAGCTTCCTCTTGCGTTTGCTACGCAGATTGCCCAGTCTATTCAGGTTTGCATGCTTGGATAATTTCCCTTAGATATGGCATACTTTGGCAAATGGCAATACCACTCAGTTCTTTCTTCCTTTGGCCATTGCAAATTTCATTTGCTTTGTTGTTTCCCCCCATCATTCACATTTTTCAAATCCCCCCCTTTTCTGAGGTTTCCAGACGTTTAGCAGTTCCCTCTTTGGCTTGATTCTGCTATAATCAAACTGGTTCATACTCGGTTTACTATTGGTCCTGACTTACAGACGCAACAGACAGAGTTTCGATCATATAAAGGCCAAGAAATGCTTACTGGGGAGAAAATTGTCCCAATCAAGGTTTGTATAATGCTTATTCATTCTGCTCCATATCAGATGGTTTCAGCTGTTACTGTTAATAGCTTCTTGCTTTGTTGCAGCTAGATCTTCGAGTGAATCGAACACTTATCAAGGATCAATTTTTGTGGGTAAGATTGGTTTCACCTGGTATCAGTAGGGTAGACAAGAGAGAAACTCTTTTGCTTATAGTTTCAATTTTATATGATCCAGGACTTGAACAACTTTGATAGTGACCCTGAAGAATTCTCTAAGACCTTTTGCAATGATTTGGGCATTGAAGACCCTGAAGTGGGGGTAAGCAAAGTTCTTTAAACAACTTCATATGGCTTCGTGTTTTCCCTTGTAAATATGTAAAATCGGCATGTTATGCAGTATGTTTGACAGCCATTCATGTTTTCCAGCCTGCGGTCGCCTTTGCAATCAGAGAACAACTTTACGAGGTAATCTATAATCTTCGTTGAAACGATGTGTATAGCTTAGCTTAATTGGATACTCTTTTATAATTTGGCACTCTGCATGCATATCTTTTCTTTTTCTTATTTAATCCTTTCATGCTATTTCGCCTGCTAGATTGCTATTCAAAGTGTAGCAACAGCAAGGGAAAGTCGAAATGCCAAAAAGGGTCGTCGTGGCGAATATTCTTCCATTTCCAGGTTTGTTTTAATTACTCTATTATGATATGTTACTAAACCTCATTTCAGGGTTTATGCAAAACAGGTATATAGTAGAATTTAAATGGTGTGTGACTTTGTATGACTTGAACTGCTAACACAATAGTGCTCATATAGTAGGTCAACTGGTGCTGCACTGGACTTGATGAAGTTATTCAGCAACAGATATAGCGGTGTCCGGTTAGTTTTCTAGACTTCATGTGTTTGACGTTAATTTTTTAAGCATTAAAGAATGTGTATGCTAGGAAGTTTTCTGTGTTCTGGTAATTATGCTTCAAGATAATTAAAGCTTTTACAAACTCAACCTGTTCCAGTATGACTGAAGGATTCCTTCATATTTTAGAGAAGAGGGGAATGTTAATTGTCTCTTAATTTCTATTGTTGAACCGAATGCTTGTACACTCATAAGGCTGATACACATGACTGAACTATGAGAAAGAGTTACTGCTTATGTTTGGAGTTCGTAAGATTAGGAACAGCGGACTTTAGATGAGTAAAATTTTGAATTTGATAGTCCATGGATTGTGTAAATATTGTGGGTTCGTAAAGACGGGCTGGTTGAATAGAGAAGATAAGTTATATCAGGGGTCCACTCCCAATAATGGAACATGTGTATGTTATTACGCAAAGGCGGCGGTCACTGTTGATGTTATCAGTCACCAGAATTGAAAAAGAAGAAGAATAAAAGCGGATGGAAGTTTCAAGGGGCATCCTAAATTTTATGGATTATCGTAGATAGTTTACTTTATGCTATTATCATGTTCTTGATCAATCGGTGAGCAAGATTGCTTCAGTTATGTAGGGAACCATCAAATTCTGCTTCATGAATACCTGACTTCGGAAAAGTGCATTTGTGTCTTGTGTAGCTAGTCTCTCCGTCGATTATTAGGTGCTTTCAAGGAGTATATGAATGAATTGTCGTTGAATTCGGGGCTACTTATCTTTCATGCTTTCTCATTTTGGCTTGTGTAGGCATGTCTAATGCTTTATCAAGTATCCCCGGTGCATTTTTCACTTGTAGAAATTTACTATATCGCTGAATTTTGGTTCGCGCTGCTCATGCTGGACATATGCTAGATCTTAACTGTCTGTGAACGTTAGCAAGCTCATTTGACGGTTTTTCTATGTGCAATTGTCTTGAAATCAGGAAGAGGAAGGAATGGGACGTGTTCGAGCCAATGGTGGATATGCTATCAAATGAGGAAGTAGCTGCCCTTGAATCAATGGTAGAGAGGAAACCCCGTTGAATCGGTTATGGTTGCAGATTGCATGCCTTGGGCTTGATGGAATCTAGTATATGTCCTACTACAGTGCAAGTCCATGCAGTGATGCCTAGCTAGATGAGGATATATTTGTCAAATGACTTGGCTTTGGAGGTTCATGGTTCTTTAGTTGGGTTAAAAACTTAGAATGGGTGTCGGCTCTTTGGTAGTAGTTGGGATTTGATGCAAGTGTTCAATATTTGATGCAGGTGGGAGCTTTTTTCGTCATTTGCTAGGTTTAAAGCTGCTGGGTAAAGTGAAGGTTTTCAGGTACTAGATCATATCATGCCAATGGTGGATTAGTCTGTTAATACTGTAAAGAGGGGTACGGCAATGTACTGTCATCCGGATTATTAAACCTTTCCAACAACTCGAGTTATTGACATGGTATCGTTCCGAGTTATTGAAACTAATTGTTTCCTGACAGAGACTGATCATATTGCAGGTCGAGAAATGGCGGGACCTCGAAGAAGCTTGAACCCCCTACATGCTTAGCTCCTCGACCGATCCATCCAATGTCTGGCGATCAAACTGGGAAAGGTGTGACGAAGAGAGCCATAAGCATGTCCTTGGTGCTGGTGTCGGAATTCGTGTAACCGTCGAACTCCTTGTAAAGAGTCTCCATCACATTCGCAAGGCCGACAAGTATCTGCAGAACGTCATGGTTAGGTACTACTGCAGCAGCAGCAGCAGCAACATCATCACGACCTGTTGGCGGATTGAGCAGTCGCAGTATCTCTCCGTTCATGATCTTCCAGTCATCCTCTGCAATTCCCCTTACAGCAGCCATCGCCTCTTCTTTCCCCACGCCGTGTTCCTTCATGTAACACTGTATCGACGATGCAGCATGCCCCCTTTTCTGCTCGAACTGAGTTACAAACATATATAAAAAAAAACTAACACTAACCAATAAAAAACTAACCGAATTTCGGGCGCACTGCATACGCTGCGTGACGTAGCGATTACCTCGTGGGAGACCATGTCGTCTCGGAGACGACAGTGGTCCGACGAAACTACCAACATTCTGGGCAAGCTGAACAGCCAATCGAAGTCTTCCTTTGGCGCCGACTGCCGGCCGAGACCGCACATGGTGGCGTACGCTATCCACTGGTAGATGGTGCTGAGTGAAGAAACCTGCCTGTATTCCTCTAAGCTCGGCACATGATCTTGGTAGAACCATCGTGCTTCTTCCATGTACATCCTTGTCACAAACTTCAGCTGCATACACACAGTCACATACATCAATAAGGGCTCGTTTAATTTGGCATGCATAAAAATGGAACTTGGTCATAGATAGATTTATATTTACCGCCTGTTTTCCAAACTCCAAACAGTAGGGCATTCCATCCCTTGATGTCACCGTGTCGATTTCCTCGTACACCCCGATGATAGCATCAAATAGGGTTTTCATGCAGTTGTTCAGATCTTTCACGTTTGGATCCCACCTGTTCGATCTCGAAATTAAAAGAAAGAAGAAGAAGAAAAAAAAAATCGTTTTAACATGCATAGTTAATTATGTGTCGTGCAGATTACTACGAGTTAATCGTACTTTTCAGTGGCGGTCGTGAACAGTTCGAGTTCTTCCACATAGCCGTAGGCATCGTACGTGTCGTCGTACATCGACCCGATGGAGATGACCTTGGTGTAGAAGTACCTAGCCAGGGCGAATTTGGGTTCCCACGCGCTTGCCATAGCCCAAAAGAATATCTCGACCAGCTTGTCCCGAGCATAAGGCAGCTTCCTCGGCAAATCCAACTCGACCCACCACCTTGATGACAAAAACACAAACATCGTAGTAAGTTCAGTTTCTCGCTCAACAACTCGAGTTATATATATGCTCGTAAGTACGTATGCACTTACTCGGTGAGGACTTTGAGCTCCTTTTGGTACAAGTCTTGCACCACATTGAAGCTCAGCTTGGCCAGCTCGAGGAGAGCTACGTCGTGGCCGTGGAATTTCTCGTACATGGGTACGAAGAACAGGTGTTCGACCCTTTTGACGCCTTTCCTCAGCGGCATTTCCAGAGAATGCGCCACTAGTTCAGCCATAGGGGATTCCAATTCGGCGTTGTTCATGAGGTGAAGTTTTGTGAACTCGATTGCTTCGTCTAATATAGCATCCTCTTCCGTTCTCAAGTATGCAGCTTCATACAAATTCAACATGCCTTTGATATCACTCGCTATTATTTCCTTCTTAAACTCTCCTCTTCCTCCATCCTTCTTGAATTGCTTGAATACATCTGTTATATCAGGAAACTCCAATCAAATAGTTAGCACGATGTTATATATATGTCATAAACCAGCTGGTTCCAATGACTCGAGTTATTAAGAGGTAGGTTACGCGCTGAATCTTATAAATACCACACTCTCTAACAATTTACATACCACTCGAAACGGCATAATTATGTTGTCTGAGCAGTCTGAAACGGAGCGCAACGGTGTTGAGATCGTCGTTGCGACGATAATATTGGGCGTAAATTTCTCCAAGGGCTCCTTCGATTTCTCCCTCGAAGTGGTACCCGATTCCCAGCCGCTCGATCGTGTCGATTCGACTCAGCCTTTCCGACAGCGTCGTCCCCGGGGCTAACAACGTGCTCCTCACGTTGGACTTCAACAGTTCAATCCGTTCGTTCCAGGCCGTAATCACCTGCAAATTTTCGTGTAAGAAAGTGGTTAAAGTATCATGCATGGATCTCTTAAAAAAAAAAAGAAAAAAAAACTCGAGTCGTTGGAATTAGTTGGTTTATAACATGGTATCATCAATTGGCTTTCGTTTGGCGCGAGTCGCCACATGATATTTATATATGATGGGTTTTTGTGCCAACTTAAACCTCGGTCATGAGTTGGCTTTCGTTTGGCAGGGCGTATAATGAAGTGTGATTAATTAGAGTATCATACACGGACCGCTTACAAAAACTCGAATCGTTGTACCTAGGAAAAAATCACTGTACTGCATGGCTTCTGTTTCTACCATCATCATCAGGTTTGTAAGTGCATACCTCATCAGGTTGGGGGACATGGGTGATGAAGAAATCTCTCCATACGCTGGGATGGAAATCCGCTGTCCGCCGGGAGGGTTGGCTTGCAGCTGCTCCGGCGCCGGCCATGTTGTGGGAGAGGGGGCTGTCTGAATTTTATTGCTAGCTAGATCGTCTGCATATAAATAGACGGCTAGATAGCGCATGATTTGCTTGATCTCAGCTTGATCATATATATTAGCTCTCATCATCATAATATAATTAAATAAAAGAGAGGTTTTTTGTGGTCTTCTTTGTTGAATATTCGATAATTCGGACGATTAGAGGTGGCAATTTGTAATCCAATCCACCAATCGCAAAATCCATCTATTTAAAATCCAACTAATTCAATCCGTTTGATCCAAATTCTATTGATTGGTAAATTCATAGATTGTATTTGAAAAATTACAGTTTAGTTTCATAGTGGATGCTTTTTTGGTTGGACGTTGTTTGAAATGTAAGGGGTCTTAGTTCATGGTGTGCATGCTAAGACGGTAACTCATGAACGTGCATTCGATTTTATAGGTCTTTAAAATTAGACGGTGAGTCGCGATTATATTTTCCTTTTCTTCAAGATGCTATAAAATGGTGTACATCTGATTATTTTGATGAATAATGATAAGCAATTTTATTACCCAAGATTAGAGATTGTCAACCGAGTAACTTTGTGCTCTTTATTTATCGGCATCATCTCTTGAAAATTAAAAATTAAGGACGGCTAGCTGGCTCCTTGTGCGCTACATGTAGACATATCAATACCTGATTACTAAGAAAATTTTACATGTACAAATCCATCGCACTACACAATTGTTTTTTCTTTTTATTTTTTTATTTTTATAATTATAGTGGGGTAGCATTACGAAGGTTTTCTTATTCCAAGCTTTTCCCAATTAAATACGGTACAATTCAAGTATCACATCGTAAAAATGAAAGAGAACATTTTCTTTTATATAAGTGTTAGTTGAGCTTCATTATACGATATTATTTTAGGGAAAAAAATTCAAAATATCCCCTTTGCCACCTTACACAATTATATAATCAATTTTGAGTGAAGTTCTAAACTAGTTCACGAATCTGTTCCGTGAACTTGGAAAAAGATTGAGAGGTATGAAAATTTCTCAAGAATCTGTTCATGTCAATAACTCGAGTTGTTGGGAGATGTTCAATTATGGATCATGTACCGTTTACTAATACATCCCCTCCCCTCTCCTCAAACTCAAGCCACTCAGATAGGCTTGGAGGTTGCACAAACACAGGTCCGGATACCATGTGCTTAACAGAAACAAATGAGGATCATCGAAAATCGAACAAAAGACTTCACGATCACAGCAGGCTCTGATACCATGTCGAGAAACAGTTGATCTCAATAATTCGAGTTGTTGAAAGATGTTCTAAACTAGTAATCAGATAACATCACGAATAAACTATTCAATCGATCCAACCGATAGATTAATCACAAGCCGTAGAACTTGGATGACACATATATATGATTTTGACACTACCTTAAAAAGTTCGCATGCTACAATATTGAAGCTTTAGAAAAATAAACATTACTTAAAAGTATACTCAGATTAATTAATTGGACATTAGTTGGATCCAACCTGTCATCCTTATCAGGCCTCTGGCTTTGCATATTCTTTATTGACAATGATAGCAATGATCCAAGAGATCGATGGAATACCGACTGGACTATTCTTGGCATTACTATGATCATATACTTTGTGCCATAATAATATAATCATCCATATGTAAATATCATTATAACATTATCTGAAATAATTAAAATAGTAAATAAATTGACTCGAATCAACAGAATAGGTGATGAGAAGTTGAGAACTTAATTGAATCAAGAATACGGAAAAATTAAAGAATATGAAAAATAATAGAAAAGAAAGGATATTAAATAGAACAAAATGATGATAAAAAAATGTATAGCCTAAAGTTAAGTATGTTACAGACTATTTATCATTGATTTACTTCTTATTTTCTTTTACTGTTGATGGATTATATTGTACCTTATTGTAGTTCACGTTAAGATAAACAATCTCTTTTTTTTTATTCTTACTGGAAAAACATATGACAAAACATTTACTCCTTTATATGATTTTGGAAAAAAAAGTAATAAAAAAGTAAATTTTCCTTCTCATGTGGTTCATTCGTTCTTTTAGACTTTGAAAATATTTTTTTTAATCATATTAGAGATATAATTAAAGCCCAATACATAAATTTTCTATGCTTCAAATTTATAACTAAAACTCAATACTACATAATGTGAGACCTTAATAACTTGGAGGCCCTGTGCAAGAGGACATCCTGCACACCCACAGGGCAATCCTGGATGTGCTATAACTAATAATGGATAAATAAAATTTATTCTTAATCGTGATGGTCGTTTTGGTTGTCGTCTTTGATTCTACGATGGAAATAGGCTATTTAAGATTTTTTTTAAAAATAAAGATAACATATATCTGTTTTTATTATAAGGTATTATTAACAGATTCGAATTTCAGACTTTTAAATTCAAAACGAGTGATAATACTACTAAATCAAAAATTACATTCAAATCTTAGACCTATATATGTGTATGGATCTACATGTTGTTCTTCATCATTAACAATGGATGGTAAGTTAGAAGCTACCCTTCTTCTTCTTCTTCTAACTAGTACAGTAGTCATCATCATATTGGCAACGAGGAGGAGAAGGTCGAAGTCGGGAGTATCACGGCTGCCGCCGGGGCCATGGAAGCTGCCGGTGATTGGAAATCTGCACCAAATGCTGGCCGGCGGCGGCGATCGTCACCTGCCCCACCGCCGGCTGGCCCACCTGGCCACCAGATACGGCCCACTGATGCAGATCCAGCTGGGCGAGATCCCCAGCGTCGTCGTGTCCTCCCCGGAGTGGGCCCGGGCCATCATGCAGGCCCACGACCTCAACTTCGCCACCAGGCCCGTCCTGCCCTCCGTCGCCATCATCTTCTACGGCTGCCGCGACATCGCCTTCGCGGCCTACGGCGAGTACTGGCGGGAGATGAGGAAGGTGTGCGCCGTGGAGCTGTTGGGCCCGCGGCGGGCCCAACAGCTCGGCCCGATCATGGAGGAAGAGATGGCCCAGATGGTGAAGAGAATATCTTCCTCGTCGTCGTCATCATCGTTGTTATGTGACAATCCAAGTACCACATCGGTAACACAAGGGACGACGACGACGAGACCTTGCATGTTATCATCATCGTGCGTCAACCTGACGCAGATGCTGTTATCACTGGGGAACGCCATCACGTCACGGGCCGCCTTCGGGAAGGCCCAGAGACAGGAAGACGTCTTCCTGCCTTTCATCGAACAGATGGTGAACACGCTGGGAGGTTTCACTTTCGGCGACCTCTTCCCCTCGTGGAAGCTCTTGCGTCGCGTCGTTGGGACGGAGAAGAAACTCAAGGAGCTTCACGGGGCAGCAGATGTCGTCCTCGAAGGTATCATTAGCGACCACTTAGCCAAACGATCGGTTGTTGCAGCGGACGATGATGACGACCAAGACCTTGTTGATGTGCTTTTGAATCTCAAGGAGGACAAACACCTCGGGTATACTTTCTCCAACTCCGAGATTAAAGCCGTCATCCTCGTAAGCACATTTCTTTTCATTCCAAAAAGAATAATATAAAGAAAGTATGCTAGTCTTTGCTATATATATATATATAAACGAGAGTGCCACTGCACCGATGTGACTCTATCAAACATTATTTTCATACTTGTTCTTTTAAGAGTTTAATATGTATGTGTATATGTGTGCGCGTTACAGGACTTGTTTCTGGCTGGAACTGAAACATGGACTGTCACAGTGGAATGGGCGATGTCACAACTGATGAAGAACCCGAGAATCATGGAGAAAGCACAGAGAGAAGTCAGACATGTGGTGGCAGGAGCTGCTGGTGGAGGAAATAGTAGGAAAATAGATGCAGCGACGGTGGACGAACTGGGCTATCTCCAGCTGGTTGTGAAAGAGACTTTAAGGCTGCATCCTCCGGGGCCCCTGACGATACCGAGGGAGTGTCGAGAGACGATAGTGATTGACGGGTATCGGATACCGGCCAAGACCAGGGTCATTGTCAATGCATGGGCTATCGGCAGAGATCCGCGCCATTGGGTCGAACCGGAGAAATTCCATCCGGAAAGGTTCCTCGACCTCGCGATCGACTACAAGGGACTCGATTTCGAATTCATACCGTTTGGATCCGGACGAAGAGTTTGCCCCGGGATGCAGTATGCGGTCTCCAGCATCAATCTTGCGCTCGCCAATCTGCTCTATCATTTCGACTGGAAGCTGCCCAATGGGATCCAGCCTCAAGATTTCGATATGTCCGAGGGATTTGGGATTGAAGTGAAAAGAAAAAATGAACTCTTCCTAATTCCCGTTCCATCCCACGCCTCAAATACTAGCGCCTAGCCCTGTATTCTGTTATGTCTTTGCTGGTGTTGTTTCCTCTCTAGATCTCCCTTCCTCGTTTCCTCTTTATATTCACCATTCCAATCCCATTGCGAATTTACTTTTTATGTAATTAGGTTCCGTCAATAATAAAATTTATATAATTATTATTACGGGACAATCCAAGTAGAGGCTTTTTGGGGAGGACACCAAAGAGTAAAATCCCGAGCTGCTCCATTAGTATGATATTGTCCGCTTTGGGCCAAGCCCGCATGGTTTTACTTTTGGGTGTCCTCCCCAAAAGGCCTCGTACTAATTAGACTAGGTGGACACTAATATACAAGGGTTCCTTCTCTTGTATAACCGATATGGTACTTGGATTGTCCCGTAACAATCCTCCCCTCAAAACAAGGACCACGAACTTCGTGTCCTCACCTCAGCGATTATCTTGATCCGCCATACACCTTGTATCGATGGGCTTCTCGGTACAAGGATTTTTCTAGATGCAGAACTCTCTTTGATCTGCCAAATCAAACGCGGATCGCCTTGATCCGCCAAACCACATGTAGCCCAACCGTGGATCTCTCGTGGATCCACCAAACCAGATGCAGATCGCAAATCCTGAGGTCACCGAATGACGGTCCACTCTAACGTCCACCGCCCCGAACCGAATCAAGCTCTGATACCACTTGTCGAAATCGGGCTACTCAATTAGAACGATATTGTTCGCTTTGGGCCAAGCCCGCACGGATTTACTTTTGGGTGTCCTCCCCAAAAGGCCTCGTACTAATTGGGCTTGGTGGACACTAATATACAAGGGTTCATTCCCTTGTATTACCGATGTGGTACTTGGATTGTCACATAACAATCCTCCCCTCAAGCCAAGGACCACGAACATCGTGTCCTCACCTCAACGATTATTTTGATCCGCGAGATACTTTGTATTGATGGGCTTCTCGGTACAAGAATTTTCTCAAACGCGGAACTCTCTTTGATCCGTCAAACAAACATGGATATCTCCTAGATCCACCAAACAACCCAAACGCAGAGCTCTCTTTGATCTGCAAACAGACGCGAATTACAAATCCCGAGGCCACCGAATGAGGGTCCACCAAACTGACGTCCAATGTAGTCAAAAGCGAGTTTCTACGTAGAAACATTCTGATGATCTAGAAGCGTAAAATCGTAAGTTTTTAAGTTTTAAAGCGGAGTTTTTAACTACATAAGTTATAAAAACTGAGATTTTGTGTAGAAGCGTTTTAGTGACCTAGAAACGTAAAATCGTAAGTTTCTAAGTTTTAAAGCGCGATTTTGACTACATTGCTGACGTCCACCGCCCCGAACCGAATCAGGCTCTGATACCATTTTCAAAACAGAAGCGTGCAATCGATAATCCAAACCACCACGAACGAACACAAATTTACTGTGGTTCACTAACACAATGTGTGCTAACTAATCCACGTGCAGGGGAGAACAAATTTCACTAATTTGAGGAGAGTACAGGTTACAAACCAAATTCTGAAACGGACAAACCAAACAAACTAATCCGACTGACTTTACTCCAAACTAGGATGATGAAGAGTATTTATAGAACTCTTCTTCTAATCCCAAACAGAAAACCAAACACATTTTCCTAATTTATAAGAAAAAGGCCAAAACAAAATCAAACACAAACCTAAACAAAATAGACCCAAAACACAAAACAAAGTCCAAATCAAATTTAAGTCATATTCTAACAATTATCTTCCACATTTTTTACCAGAAATCATTCGTACGACTAAATCTGATCAAATTTTCTGTTGCCGGCTCCGCCCCTGCTAGTTCTTGTCTATAACAAAACGGTACATTAATTAGCATGATTTGCATATTGAAATTAGCATAAGAATATTATTGGAGAAAAAATTAATAAATGAATCCGATTGTGCATCTTCTTGCGCCAACTCGATATCTGGTCGTTAAACACTACTACATATTGCAGCCAGTCCTAATTGTAGGAATTTATTAGTCAAAATCAAAGTATAGTGGCAAACTTATCAAAAGTCTTAAAACAAAAGGACCTATTTGATATTTCCTAATTGCATCATTCCAACCTCTTCGAGGAATCAGACGCACAAACGACTTTTCCCCCGCGAGACTCCTTTCGTGCTCCGATTTCAATCTCCTCCGCCGGTCGACAAACCGCCCTCCTCCAGATTTTGCACGGAGGTTTATTTCAGAGTACTTTCGAGTACCAAGTACTGGCTTTTAATCTTTTCTAATTTCGTACCTGCCCTTTGCAATCATTGTTTCTTGTTTGTTTTCTCTTCTCCGCTCGAGCTTGAACTATTATGGAGTTTTGGCCGGCGGGTCTGCATTTACAGTCTCGTATTGTTATGAAAGATTCTAACTTTTTAGTGTACTAGCTGCGGTTGTGTTTGGGTTTCCCCTGTCTTCGCATTATCTCTCTCTCCCCACCTCCTTCTCTTTGTGGAATGAACAGTATACAGAAACCCTTATTTGATAGATTGTGATGAACAGTTATCGATAAATTGGTCAGGGAAGGAGGTGGGATAGGGCTGTTCTGCTTGCGGTAGACATTTGTTAGTCTGTTCTTCTGGCTCTGCTAGTGCGTGGACTCATTGGGTTCTTGTTTCTGGTTTGATTCATGTTTTTACAGTAGGCCCAAAAGATCTCGCCTGAAGATGAAACCACTGCCATCAACTTCCTCCAAGACGCCTGTCAAATTTAGAATGTAAGGGGTACAAAACTCACAGCTCCCCTGCCTTCTATTACCTTTCATGCCAGCAAACAGTAAATTGTTCCTCTTTGCAGGCCGACGTCTGAGAACTTGGTACCCATTCGTTTGGATATTGAAGTTGACGGGCAGCGCTTCAAGGATGCATTCACCTGGAATCTATCTGGTATATACTTGAACTGCTATTGGCATTCACCTGATTTCGCAGCTTATAGAAAGCCTCTTGGTTAATGGGGTCCTATGGAAGTTCATTGAAAGCTGTAAAATGATAATGCAGATCCAGATTCCGAAATAAGTGTTTTCGCTAAGCGAACACAGAAAGACTTGAAGCTTCCTCTTGCTTTTGCTACGCAGATTGCCCAGTCTATTCAGGTTTGCATGCCTGGATAATTTCCCTTAGATATGGCATACTTTGGCAAATGGCAATACCACTCAGTTCTTTATTCCTTTAGCTATTGCAAATTTCATTTGATTTGTTGTTTCCGTCTTCCAATTTCTTTCTATTCATCTATGAACATGACCTCCCATCAGTTTGCTGACTATTCATGAGTCTAAAACAAGGTGCCAGACAGCTATAAAGTTGTGAAATTTTTTAAATCTTGTCTGCAAATCACAATGAAATTTCCCTTCTCACCTGTGAAAATTCAATTTTTTTCACCCTTATCCACTAAAAGTAAAAATTTCCTCCAAAATCACAGCTAGACCAGGTCTAATCTGGTCATTCCATCATCCATAATTTTCAAATTCCCCTCTTTTCTGAGGTTTCCAGACATTTAGTAGTTCCCGCTTTGGCCTGATTCAGTTATAATCAAACTGGTTCATACTCGGTTTACTGTTGGTCCTGTCTTGTAGACGCAACTGACAGAGTTTCGATCATATCAAGGCCAAGAAATGCTCACTGGGGAGAAAATTGTCCCAATCAAGGTTTGTATAATGCTTATTCATTCTGCTCTATATCTGATGGTTTCAGCTGGTACTGTTAATAGCTTCTTGCTTTGTGACAGCTGGATCTTCGAGTGAATCACACACTTATCAAGGATCAATTTTTGTGGGTAAGATTGGCTTCACCTGGTATCCGATATGGGAGAAAAACTATCTGCTTATAGTTTCAATTTTATATGATCCAGGACTTTAACAACTTTGATAGTGACCCTGAAGAATTCGCTAAGACCTTTTGCAATGATTTGGGCATTGAAGACCCTGAAGTGGGGGTAAGCAAAGTTCTTTAAACAACTTCATATGGCTTCGTATGTTCCCTTGTAAAAATGTAAAATTGGCATGTCAATCAGTATGTTTGACACCCATTCATGTTTTCCAGCCTGCGGTCGCCTTTGCAATCAGAGAACAACTTTATGAGGTAATCTATAATCTTCGTAGAAACGATGTAACAGCTTAGCCCAATTGGATACTCTTTTATAGTTTGGCACTCTGCAGGCATGTTTTCCTTTTCTTCTTTAATCCTTTCATGCTATTTCGCCTCTAGATTGCTATTCAAAGTGTAGCAACAGCAAGGGAAAGTCGAAATGCCAAAAAGGGTCGTCGTGGCGAATATTCTTCCATTTCAAGGTTTGCTTTCATTACTCTATTCTGATATGTTCCTAAACCTCATTTCAGGGTTTATGCAAAAGAGGTATGTATTAGAATTTAAATGGTAAGCAACTTTGTATGACTTGTACTGCTAACTCAATAGTGCTCATATAGTAGGTCAACTGGTGCTGCACTGGACTTGATGAAGTTATTCAGCAACAGATATAGTGTTGTCCGGTTAGTTTTCTAGACCCCATGTGTTTGACGTTAATTTTTTAAGCATCAAAGAATGTGTGTATGCTGGCATGCTTTCTCTATTCTGGTAATTATGCTTGAAGATAATTAAAGCTTTTACAAACTCGACATATTCCAGTATGACTGAAGGATTAATTCATATTTGAGAGAAGAAGGGAATGTTAAGTGTCTCTTAATGGCTATTGTTGAACAGAATGCTTGTACACTCGTAAAGCTGATACACATGACTGAACTATGAGAAAGAGAAGCTGCTTATGTTTGGAGTTCTTAAGATTTGGAACATGGGACTTTAGACGAGTAAAATTTTGAATTTGATAGTCCAGGGATTGTGTTTAATATCATGGGTTGGTTGAAGAAGAAGATAAGTTTTGTCAGGGGCTTGCCACTCCCAATAGTGGAACAGGGTTTTGGTCATATTGCACAAAGGAGGTCTCTGTTGATGTTACCAGTCACAAGAAATGAAAAAGAAAATAGAAGTTTCAAGTGGCATCCTAAATTTTATGGAACACCATAGATAGTTGACTTGATGCTATTATCTTGTTCTTGATCAATCGGTCAGCAGGAACACTTCAGTTATGTACGTAACCATCAAATTCTGCTTCATGAATACCTGACTTCGGAAAACTGCAGTTATGTCGTGTACGTCGCTGAATTTCGGTTCATGCTGGATGTATCCTAGAATCTTGAATGGTTGTTAAACCTTATCAAGCTCGTTTTGATGGTTTTTGTTTGTGCAATTGTCTTGAAAATCAGGAAGAGGAAGGAATGGGATGTGTACGAGCCAATGGTGGATATCCTATCAAATGAGGAAGTAAATGCCCTTGAATCAATGGAAGAGAGGAAACCCCGTTGAACAGGGTAAGTTTGCACATTGGATGTTCATGGTTCTGTAGTTGGGTTGAAATGGGTTTCTAGGTTGCTTGAGATATGTATAACAATCCATCCGGCACATTATTAACAAAGCTTTTTTCTTCTATTATATATCACTAGTCTTTGCTTTCCATGACCGTTGCACCTCCAACGGCAATATACTATCACCGACGAGCTAAATACATATAAATACAGCGGTGCCGTGGCCCCACCGGAACCTTAACAACAATTTCCTCCGGCCAACATTAATACAACCACACATACAGAGAGAGATATGCCTAATTATTACCTAGAGAGCTAGCTAGCTAGCATCTCAACATGGCCCCATTGTGGATGAACAATGTGGATCAAAAGCTGAAACTCATCATGGCAAGCTTTCCAAGTTCAGCACTAACACTCCTCTTCGCTCTCTCCCTCCTCGCCCTCGCCGGCGTCGTAATCGCCATCCTAATCCTCCTCGTCAGGCGGTCGAAGTCGTTGTCCCACGGCCTAAGCCGCGGAGGCAGCAGTACTGACAGAGCTATGCTGATGGAGGCAGAGCATGGAAGGGCGACCGACGACGACGAAAATGATGACGATCTCGAGGTGGCCGCGGCGGGTGGATCGAGTTGGGTGACTATAAGGAAGGTGCTGATGAGCTCGATGCGGTGGAGCGAAGGCAGCAGGGTGGCGGAGGAGGAGATCATGATGATCAGCAGCAGCAGCGTGAGTAGTTGTAGTAGCAGTAGCCAGAGGAGCTGCAACTACAGGGTCGAGGACGAGGAGATCATTAGCAGAGTCGTCATCAACTGCCCGGAAAGGACGACGAGGGGTGTCGCACCGGTGCCTGAAGAATCGCCGGTACCGGTGCAGCCACGTGGAGAGGCTGCCGAAAGAGGAGGAGGAGGAGGAGGGTACGTGTTTGGGTGGAGCAGGGGAGGCAATTGGAGGCGGGAAAAGCACGTTGGTCCGTCGACGGCGGCGGCGGCGGCGGCGGCGGCAGTGTGGCAGAGGCCGATACTGATGGGGGAGAAATGCGAGCTGCCGAAGTTCAGTGGGCTCATTTTGTACGACGAGAGAGGGCGACCGTTGTATGATCAGTATCATCACCATTGCTCTCTCGCCTCCTCGGATCACCATCACCATCTTCATCAGGTTGGTCATAACCAACTCTCTAGCTATGACGATATATTTGATCAATTTGAATTGGTTTGGAATCCATTATGGAACCTCTTTCAACAATTGCGAGTTATTGAAATCAGCTGGTTCTTGACATGGTATCAAAGTCTTTTCTGACCAAGAGGTCTTGTGTTTAAATCCCGATCACCCCAATTTGTGAAGCAAATAGTATTCTTGTGTTCAGGACTGTACAAACTTCAAGCCCTTGTGAGAGTGACCCTCGTTTGAGGGGGCGTGTTAGTGTGTGGTATCAGTGGCGGATACATGGGCCTTTAGGGGTGTCTCGGGACACCCCTAAAATTTGGGAAAACGATTATCCAACCCCTGGTAGTAGTTTCGTATGGATAAAAAAATTATAATTGGTAATCCGGGACACCCTTAAATTTTGAAAAACGATTATTCTGTCATCGGTAGTAGTTTGCGTATGATTAAAAATATATAAGTAGTACTCTGTGTTATTCAAACCTAGGACACTACTATTATTAAACATATTCTCTAGGTTACAACTCATTGTTGTTTTATTTTAAACACTATGTTATAGTAATTGACGCCATGTATTTGTGTATTGTCTAGAAAGAAGGAGCTCCAACAAGGAGGACAACACTGAAGGACTTGATGTAGTTAAATTCTAGTACTGAGGAAGAAAGGAACTTTTGAGTGACATGCCACTTGAAGCTAAGGAGAAGAAGGAAGGAGTGGCTTTGAACTTCCACCATTGCTAGATTTCACCTTCTTCTTTCAAGAAAACCATTGAGGTTTCACTCATATACATATATGGTTTTAACTTATCTTCTTCCCCTTTTCCTTTCTAAAATACTATGGGTCTTGCACCATGAAAACCATGGTAACTCCTCTCACAAAAGCTTTCTAGTTCTTTGGTAGGTGTTGCTATATTCTCATTCTTATGGCTGAATCACAAGTTCTTAGTGGCAAATGGATTGATCCATAGATTGGTAGATTGGATTGGTGGATCCATGGATCAAATGGATTCATGGATTGGATCGAGTGGATTGGTAGATTGGATCAAGTGAATTGGTGGATTATCCATGAATCCAAATGACATCCTCAACCAAGGACCATTATGTAAATGTGAAAAGTTTAGGTACTAAAATGTCATAATGAAAAATTTTAGGTACCAAAACGTAATTTTTCAATGATATTTTTCGTATAATAAGTCAAATTTTAGGTACCAAAATGTAAAATATAAAAATATAGCTACCAAATCGTAATTTGTCATTTGGATCAATGGATCAATCCATGAATCCACCAATCCGATTGGATTGGATTGGATTAGGTGGATATTTTTAATGGATTGGTGAATTGGATTGAGAATTGTCACCTCTAGTAGCAATACATCAAATAGTTTGGTCTGGTTTCAATTTTAACAAGATTTTGAAGTTTTATGTGTGGTTTGCTCTATTTATCTGCTTATTCTCGATGACATGAGTGATCTTTTAGGCGGAAACCGGTGATTACTTATCGATATGTGTCTCGGAGCTACCTACCACCAGTCACCACTCACATACCATATCGTCTCAAGTGTTTGGTGAAGTGTGTGGTCGAAATGTATACATATATATATATAAGTTCCGTATAGCAATCCATAGATCTGGTTCGCCTTAAATTCTGGTCCCTTTCCATATAAATATATTCACCAACGGCTACTAAACCCGAACCATTTAATATTCCACCGCCGGCCGGCCAAGTTCCGGTACGGTGGTGTTGCTCTCAGTTAATGCAATATGTCCCACTTGCTGTCCGTTGACGGTGAACAAAGGCTAATCAACTTGGGCCGAGCCCATAACGGTGACGACTGACGATGTCACCCAAATGGGAAAGCCTATTGGGACAATGGAGATCGAGTTTGAAGCATGGTCCATGAAACCGTACCGTACCGGCGGTTCAACCACAAAATATTAGTATTGGAGGCTAAATCGATAGGCGGTATTTAACGGTATTAACGGTTGAACTACGGTTAAACCATGATTTTGACATAAAATACCCTACCGTTGACTTTTCCGGTACGGTTTCATGGACCATGGTTTGAAGGGGTTAATTTGCCACTTCATTTGCTTGAGAAGCTACATTGATGTTCCTCTGGTTAGAATTTTTCATTATCGAATCGAAATTCATCGTCACGCAGCACTAAATTCAACTTCTCATTCGTGGCTATGAAATTGTAGCCTCGAAATTCAGTAGTCGTCTAGACTTACTCCTAAATCCCTAATCACAAATAACCGAGTTTTGAAAGCATAACGTCTCTACGCGAAGTACGATTTTCGAAAAACCAGTGAATTTCCCCCCCTACAAATTGGTTATTTTCTAAACTTATTATGCTCAAAATAACAACATAAGAAAGTAGTTAATATCCATACATAGACCTCTACTACAACAACTCGAGTTCTTGGTACCTGATAAAGGTAACTCACACACCTCGCCGACACTAACCATGTTAATGTTGGGTTAACTTTTGCCTTCTATCAAACTGGTTGGTGGCGCAACTTCCACAGAAATGGACTGGAGAGTACGAATTTGCGTTTTCGTAGGTTGCTGGTCGAGATCGTATTTGCAAGGGTTTTTAATAATTGCCCTGTATTGTTAATCGCATTATTATAAGGACCATAGAGAGACGAAAACAATCACCGGACAAAAACAGATATCTATCTCGACGTTGATTGCTGCTTACTTATAGTAATTAATCAACGTGTGGCGTTTGCATATGAGTTTGTGTAGGAATGGGAACCTTGCTTGTAAAATTTTACTCTCTCAGCTTCCCATTTCGATGACTTTTATAGGTGATGGGACATATTCAATTGAAATTGTCATACACTAAAATAAGTGAATCCATAGAATAAAAAAAGTGATCAAATACTTACCAGATTTGGCTCACTTTTTGCACGAATTGTTGTGTTTTGTATTCCGTTTCAGAATCAAATCCAGTTAAGAAGTGAGACAGAGCCCTTTCGACGCTACCCATTATGACATTTTTATGTATGATATCATGTTCATAATGTCATTTAATTCTTAGTATCAACGAGTTGTTTGAATTCCCTTTATAATTAGATTCCGACCCTTCGTTAAAATCCATCATGTTGGGATTCAGATTACTTGATTACGAAATTAATTAATGGAGATCATGTATGTCATCTATATGACACCTGCCCAAAGATAACACGAGATTAAATATTTTTTTTAGATCTGTTCACTATTTAATTAATGTAAATCCAAATCTCCCCCAATTATGATTACACGATTTTGCTCTGAAGGAAAAATATAATACTCGCCATGCAAAATGCCTCTGGAATGACAGAAACGGGTTCACCCTCCACTTCACTGCAAAGTACTGATAAGAATGGGAGGGAAGGGTAATATAGTCATTGCACAATGGAAAACGCGGCCTCCTCTACTGTTCCCAGCTCAACTCAACCTGGTAGATAAATATATTAATATTAGTCCAGATTTTCTTTACACGTTTTGAAAAGTGAAAATTTTAAATTTCTATGTATATTATTAACTCGCGGTTAATTAGTTGGATAAGGAAAAGATCACAGGGGTTAATTACATATTTACATTTATAATTCTACTCCACAATGAATGGAATATTACTAATATATCCATTTTATCCTCAAGATATTTAAAGTTGCCAAGAAGATCGATTTGATGATTGAACTTTCTCATGGTGATTGTCCGGTACATAAACTTTTAAATTTAGTTATTGCAGGACGGTAGCACATTGTACTATCAAAATAAAAAAACCAAATGAATGTAAATCATCGCCCTAATTTGTCAAATAGTTAGTCTGCCCCAAAAGCTATCATTTCAATAGATATGGGCAAGTTCAACATCTAAACCCGGAGTTAACAACGTGTGATAAAAAATAAGATGAATATGACGATTATTTAGATGTTGTTTTATTGTTTAGGAGGATCATAGAAATTATAACACAAGAATTTAGTCGGATACGCAAGCCCTTAATCGTTCCAGATGCCAGGCATGTTCAACTCTTCTTCATGGGTGTGAATGATTGAACAACCCGATCCAAGGGTAATTGAAAAGACATCAACCCGTTTATGACCACAATGTCTATTTTGGCCAATGTTCTTCTGATATTAACATGGAAGAAGAAGTAAATTTTACAAGAGATCCGACCTGTTTGGGAAAATATTTCAACAATACCTAGTTCGATCGATTATGTGATCTTTCAATTAAAGTGTATTTTAATGATTCGAAGAATTTACTTAGCAAAATATGCAACTGTTGCCTGTTGTTGGGGTGCAAAAGCTTACAAATGTATAGTTATATGGACTAAACCGTAATTCGCCCATCCCCTTAAAGTAATGATGGGAGAGGATACTTAATTTTGATTTTGATTTAATTGTAGTTTTAGGAGCGCAATGATATTGCACATACATTCATTCATTCACAAAATCGACACCGAAAAAGGGAGAGAGGCAGAGAGCAAGCTCTCACTATAAATGCGGGACTCTCTTCCGAACTTCCCTCTCCATTATTACCTCTTTTCTTTTCTCTCGCAAATCTCTGTGTTTTCTTCTTCATCCCTCCACTTCTCCCTTGGGTTCTTGGGATAATCTGGGTACCTCCGTCTTGACCTGTATTGAATTCGTAAGTCAATTCCTTTTCCCTTTGTCTTGCTTTGCTTTCTCACCTTTGCACGATCATGCGCTTCTAAGCTTTCTGGTATTGAGTTAATCGTGCGATCTGGGTACTGCTCAATTTGTTTCGTCGTAGATCTGATCGTGAATCTTGAGTTGATTTGCTTTCTGGGTTCTTTTCTTTTAGCGTAGTTGGCATGGAATCTTTGCATGTTACTCGAGCTATAGACAATTTAGGTGCTCTGCAAATGTAGGAAGTTTCCATCATGGGAATTTGCTTCTCCTCATTTTGGATCCAATTCCCACATCTTGCTTCAATTGGTCTTTGGCATTGGATCTGCTATCGTAAGAATAGATCTTGATGCAATTGGGGACTCTGTTGCTGTATGATGCTCTTTCGAAAGTTATGTGTTTGATTGCTTAGGATATTGAACTCGGATCAAGGTACTGGGTGATTATACGAGATATTTTAGCTGTCTTTCTGTTCTTATGATCGTGATTCCCAGCAAACTGGAACGATTTTTTGAATCTGGGGAAAGGATCAAGATGTCCTGAAAATTATGCGATTTCTTTGTGTAAACTTTTCAGATCTAACATGATATATTCAATTTTCGTTGGTCTCGGTGGGCTTTCATGTTGAATCTATGCACATTATATGTAGTTTTATGTTGTTCCCTGTAATTGTTTACATCGAACTTATAATCTGTACGCTCTGATGGTTGCAGCAGGTCATATAGCCATGTCTACATATACTCCAAAGAACATCTTAATTACTGGTGCAGCTGGGTTCATCGCATCCCATGTCTGCAATCGGCTGATCCGCAACTACCCAGATTACAAAATTGTTGTCTTGGACAAGCTCGATTATTGCTCGAACCTGAAGAACCTCCTTCCTTCAAAATCATCTGCCAACTTCAAGTTTGTCAAGGGGGACATTGGCAGTGCAGACCTTGTCAACTTCCTTCTCATTACCGAATCTATCGACACAATTATGCACTTTGCTGCCCAAACTCATGTCGACAACTCATTTGGCAACAGCTTCGAGTTCACCAAGAACAACATCTATGGCACCCATGTTCTCTTGGAGGCCTGCAAAGTCACCGGTCAGATCAGGAGGTTCATCCACGTGAGCACTGATGAAGTCTATGGGGAGACTGATGAAGATGCCGTTGTAGGAAACCACGAGGCTTCACAGCTTCTTCCGACGAACCCTTATTCTGCAACAAAAGCTGGTGCTGAGATGCTTGTGATGGCTTATGGTAGGTCCTATGGGTTACCTGTGATCACGACTCGTGGGAACAATGTGTATGGACCTAATCAGTTTCCTGAGAAGCTGATTCCTAAGTTCATCCTCTTGGCTATGAGAGGGATGCCTCTTCCGATCCACGGGGATGGTTCAAATGTGAGGAGCTACTTGTACTGTGAGGATGTAGCGGAGGCTTTTGAGTGCATCCTTCACAAGGGAGAGGTTGGCCATGTGTACAACATTGGGACAAAGAGAGAGAGGAGAGTCATTGATGTTGCCAAAGATATATGCAAGCTTTTCTCTATGAATCCCGAGTCGAGCATCAAGTACGTTGAGAACAGACCATTTAACGACCAGAGGTACTTCCTTGATGATGAGAAGCTGAAAATTTTGGGCTGGTCAGAAAGAACTATTTGGGAGGAAGGGTTGAAGAAGACTATTGAGTGGTACACTCAAAATCCTGATTGGTGGGGTGATGTCTCGGGTGCCTTGCTTCCTCACCCAAGAATGCTGATGATGCCTGGTGGAAGACACTTTGATGGTTCTGAAGATGGAAAATCGGGTTCTTCTGCCCCAAACTCTTCTTCTAGTCAGCCCAAGATGGTGGTTCCAGTTCCTAAAACTGGAACCACTACTCCAGCAGCTTCTTCTAACAAGGCTCCTCTTAAGTTTTTGATCTATGGTAGGACAGGGTGGATTGGCGGTCTCCTTGGGAAGTTATGTGAGAAGCAAGGGATTTCATATGAATATGGAAAGGGTCGTTTGGAAGATCGTTCATCGCTTTTGGCAGATATTGTCAATGTCAAACCCACTCATGTATTTAATGCTGCTGGTGTTACTGGTAGACCAAATGTCGATTGGTGTGAATCGCACAAAACAGAGACCATTCGGGCTAATGTTGCTGGTACGTTAACGTTAGCTGATGTTTGCAGAGAGCAGAACCTCATCGTGATAAACTACGCTACAGGCTGTATATTTGAATACGATACTGCTCACAAGCAAGGCTCTGGGATTGGGTTTAAGGAGGAAGATAAACCAAACTTTACTGGTTCTTTCTACTCAAAAACTAAGGCCATGGTACGTGGGGGGTTTTTTCTCCCTGAATTTCCTTTAATGTTTCATTAATAGTCAAAGGAAAGTTCTTTTTGAGTTTTTGCTTACGAAGCGGAATTATTTTCAGCTAGGTATTAGTTTTGGTTCTGTGATTATAGAATTTTAGGGTGTTTTGATTAGACCAAAAACCAAATAGTCATCGGTGGAATTTACTAGGTAATAGTTGAATAAGTCAAAATTCACTACACTTATTGCTGAAATTTAGTATAGTTAATGATGTGGAACTTTATACTCAAACTTCTGCAATTGCTCTGGGTTTGTTTTCTTGAGCTTTTGGATTTCAAGCAATCTCTTTTATTTGAATCAAATGTTGATGCATTTTCTTTGAAACTCCTTCCCAGGTTGAGGAGCTGTTGAAAGAGTACGAGAACGTGTGCACACTCAGGGTGAGAATGCCAATATCATCAGACCTAAACAACCCACGAAACTTCATCACAAAGATCTCTCGATATAGCAAAGTGGTCAACATCCCAAACAGCATGACCATTCTGGACGAGCTTCTACCCATCTCCATCGAGATGGCGAAAAGGAACTTGAGGGGGATCTGGAACTTCACAAACCCGGGTGCGGTCAGCCACAATGAGATCCTAGAGATGTACAAGAAGTACATCGACCCTAAGTTCACATGGACCAATTTCACCTTAGAGGAGCAAGCCAAGGTCATAGTTGCACCGAGAAGCAACAACGAGATGGATGCCTCCAAGTTGAAGAAGGAGTTCCCAGAGTTGCTGGGGATCAAGGAGTCCTTGATCAAGTATGTGTTCGAGCCCAACAAGAGAACATAGGGACCTCCATCGAAGGAGAAGAATCTGGTTTGAAGACATCTTAGTTTGGTGCAAATAATGGTTCGTGTTGGTGGGTGGCTCAGGGGGGTAAACGAGTGTTTAGCATACTAGGGTTATATCTTTTGCTTACACATTATTCATTTCCTCTGGAGCTTCAGTTTCATTATTTTTATTCTTCAGCAGCCATATTCTGAGAACTCTGATGGTAATGTGTTTCTAGTAGGGGTAAGAGGCATATGCTAGAGTGATGATTTATTTGTGTTGTATTCTTTAGCTTTAGCATAGTGAGTGAGGCAGAGTCAGTTCAGCCAGTTGACTCCTACTGTCATTTGGTTGCTTCTGCAAACTAATATGCAGTTTGTTAGTTAAGTGACTTATCTTTCAACACATTTATGTTCCACAGTTGTTTCTTTCCCATGAATTGGTCTTTAGACTTCTGATTCCTTAGCAGTTGATGAATGAGCAGGAGTTGCTAGTTGGTGTTTCTAGGGATTCTCCGGTTTTCCAAGTTTAGTTTACATATATTGCATTACATAACAGACCTGATATATAGATAGCTTCATTTTCTGTCTGATAATGGTATACATTGTACATATAAAGATATATACATATATAGGTACAAAGCTCCAAAAATAGATTACAAATTTGGCTTTTGGAGGGTGTGGAATGTTTATATCTTAAAAACCACTTCTCCAACACTAGAATCTCATCTGTATATATAAAATCAACTTTTTACCAACACTTAGCCTCTACAAAAAAAGACAATCTTAATGGTACTCCAGGACTCTCGGGATAAATTGGTCTCTTCATTTTTATTCTACCAGAAGACTAGTTTATGAAGATGCATCGGCCAGTTTCTTCAGAAAGGAAACGACCTCATCTGATGATCCAAGCGTATACCGAGCATTTGTTCTTGTTCTCCCAACTGCACAAGAGAAGTAGTTGTCTCCCTTCAGATCGAGCACATTCCGCGAGATTGTCTCAGACGATGATACCCTACTACTACAACTACTACTAGTAGTAGTACTACTGCTACGCCCGCTACTGCTGCAGATGTAACTTGCAGCCCACTTTTTCTCTGAAGACAAGACAGCAGCCTGCTGCTGTGTTTTGTTGCTTTGATGAGATGATGATTTTGATTCTCCTCCTTTGCTTGCTGGAAGCTGCTTTGAAGGGCGTCTTTCCCCGGGTGCCGATGACTTTGTACTATCGGTTTGCTTGGTCCTCATCACACCCAGGCCATCGGAGGCAAGCTCTGGCTCGAAGAATGTGTATACATCTTCATCCTGCAAGCAAACGATGATGAACAAAGGCAGCGATAGACTCAACAAATAATAAACCTACACATATGGGTATCTCTCTATGACATCTGAGAAGCTCTTCAGCATTACCTTCCCCAGAAAATGGCCAACACACAAGACGTAGTCGATGGGAGTTGTCATTTGCTTGCTATGAACAATTTCGCCCAAGATACGATCGATTGCAGCACCCTGAATAAAATATGGGGGGGGTAAACATTGAATCAAAATCAAATTCAATGCTCTCTGTAAAACACGTTTCACTTACAGTTAAAGTTGTTGCTTTACCTTTGTTACACCGACAGCTCGAACCTCGACTGATCGACTACCTTGTACGACGTCAACCGATGCATTTGAAAATGGGCCCGTCCAGAGGTGCTGCAGCATGTCCCTTGCTTGAAGTCGCCCAAATTCTACATCTGTTACATAAAGATCAGAATCACCATATACAGTAGCAGTAATATAGTTGAAGACATAGTCCCTTGGAGGACAAGTTACCTGCATATTTGTAGTTCCACACGAGTGATGTATCGCGTAGTTCATAATGTGATCTGGGCGTTCGCTCCATGAAGTACTCAAACACTTGCTGGAAACAATTTAAAGGTAACATTTCTTTAAAATCGGCATTCCAAAATGGACAAAGAAGCAAAACTTAATTCACCTTTACACTGTCGACCCACTCCATGTTTAGGTGCTCCGGCATGGTTGTCATCCACTCCCCCTTTGTATGACATAAGAACATCCCATGTTCTGCCGCAAGCCACATATCATAGTCCCTGAAATTCTGTACAAATGAGGAACACCATTCGTTGCGATTAGATAATGACCAATTGTTTGTGACACCCATTAATGTGATTAACCCAGTAAAGAGAAGGGTAGGCATTCTCACCTCATCTAACAACCTTCTGTCGCTGCCGCTTAAGAGGACAATTGTCGTCTTTGGATCACTGCATAGGGCTGTCAGAGGTCCCTTCAAATCTGGGTGCAGTTTAAGCTCCATCTCTTTTATTTGGTCACCTCTTCCTCCTGGAGTATCTACTTGCTCTGTTAATGTAGCATTGAATCCCTGTGAAATTAATTGACAGGAACATGACTGAGCCAATCACAAACACCACATAGTTCTATTCTAGACTTGGTTTACTACTCGAGGAGTGTTCCAATTTTGATTATATAACATGCTAAACAGGTCATCTAGTTAGGTGTATTACGAAGAGATATACTATTGAACAAATATATCATTTTTCGTTGACACTTTTGATTTGTTTGAGTGTATTAGGCACAGCCCTGTAATCTCAAATGCAACTCAAATACACGAGGGTAGTAAGCATTTGAAAATGCACTATAGAGAAGTCGGTCCCACGAAAGAAAAATGGTGCATTCTTCAATCTAGGATATGTTCAGTTCTGTAAGTATTTTAGAAACAATTCTAGTCCCTTTCTCGAGGCGATGTGTTTTGAAATGGACAAACTGGGGCACAAAGATAAAAGCTTAAGGGTTGAAAGCATACCAGTATGAGCAATCGATTGTGGGAGTTGAGATAACATTCAATCGCATCTCCCTGTGGAAGCCCAGGTGGGACTTGCCTCGTCCTTAGTTGTGCCTCGACCACTGTATCATTGAGCTCACTGTCCATAAAAAAATATTACAGCAATTTAAGATGGTCTGAGTCAGAATCTCACGTATGCGATTATCGATACAGTAATTGCATGTCAAAGGAGGAACACATACTTTCTAAAGTATGATCTTCGGTCAAAATAGAATTCGTGAACTCATCGTAGAGAATCCACGCATTCTAAAATATAATTTGAGTTCTATGAGAATGTATGATAATGAGGTACCTCACAAACATTTCTGCCCATTCTTGAGCTGTGTGGGTTGTAACATGGTCAAAATTATGATGGTGTCGTTTCTCTCTTTCCTCAGCAGACATGGTCAAAGCTTGACGAATTGAATCGGCAACTTCGGTAATGTTCCAAGGGTTCACAAGGATTGCCCCGGCACCTAGAGATTGTGCTGCACCTGCAAACTGCAAATAGATTAGGTTAGATTAGATTAGATTAGCTAGAAGGTAATGTGCCACAAGGCAACAGTAGCAGACGAAAGGTTGAATGCACACACGTAGAAAATGAATTGAAATCGGCTGACTAATATCTAAGTACCTCGCTGAGAATAAGAACACCTCTCTTTGAATCTTGGCATGCTACAAACTCATAACTAACGAGATTCATTCCATCTCGCAATGAGGTTACAATCGCTACGTCTGCAAGACAGGAATAGAGACCTTGACATAAGCACACAAAGTCGAAATCCTACTAAGGATACTTGTGTAGATCAAGGAACATAAAATTAAACTAGCATAAGTTCCACATCTATGACTTTAAACAACCATGCAAGAAACAGGGTCGACAATTTCAATTGAACTCGGAAAAAGTTGCAGTTAAATTACACATCAAAAGAACACTGTACCAGTAACAGCATATAATGCACATAGGCCAAGAAAATCCAAGGACCGATCCTGCATTAACAGAAGTCTATTTCAGGATACAATCACCAGCCGTCTGGTGGCCAAATTTACGTAAAAGAACTAATCACGATATTTCATGGAAAGACCGGAAACAGCTTCCACTGTTTCCACTAACAGCTTACAAAACATATGGAAAGAAGATGAGTAAAGTTGACTGTAACAAACCAGGTGATGTATTGGAACAGCAGTCAGTGTCCCAAATCGGCCATTAATGCGCCCAACGATTTCATGAACCTGACTTGTAAGTTTCTGATCTGTACACATGTGACAAATATAATTTATTAGTACTTCAAATGAATACTCCAAACAAGAATAATGCATGTTTTCTTTTTGCTGTATGAATCAAGATAACTAGGAAGCTTACATTCAGGAACATCAGTTCTTGTTGGCACAGCAATTTGCAGCAGAACAACTTTATCACGCCATAGAGGGTTCTCCTCAAGAAACTTCTCAAATGCAAGTATCTTCTGTGGTATTCCCTTAATCATATCGAGACGATCAACCCCTAGCATCACCTATTAAAGAGTAGGACGTTTACATTCAAGAATGAAGAAACTAAGCCAGTGACTTTAATCAGTAGGTTGCTTTCTCTTAAGCAAGTAAAACAACATATGGAGGTTAAATTCAGATTAAACCTTACGGCCACGAAACCTTTCCGTCAGTTCTTTTATGTGCTCCTGCACCTTAGGGAGCTTAAGCGCTGATATAAACCTTTCTGAATCTATCCCTATTGGAAACTGAACATACAAAGAAGACAAACAAATCGTCAGTGTGCTAACAAGGACTAAAAGACAACCGAGACAAGATAAGGACAATCAAGCAAACATACAGCTGCCACCCTAGTTAGCTTGCCTTGATCCTCAACTCCTTCAGGTGTCCCTTCTAGACCAAGAATACGGGTACAAGCACTAACAAAGTGCCTTGCATAGTCATATGTATGAAATCTGGAAAATGAAATTGAAATTGGTATTTTGTGTGTGGACAAGATATAATGATACAAGGACAAGAAATGAAAATGATATTGCCGATAAAAACATCAGCAATTTAGGAGGTTACAGCTACAAGACTTGGTCTAGTAAGGGCTTACCCTACTAAATCTGCAGCGAGAACTGAACGGAGTAGCTCTGATCTAGAAGGCAGTGTCCTGTGGATTTCGGAGGAAGGAAAAGGCGTGTGGAGAAACCAGCCAACTTTCATGTTACTGTTGTATTCCTTGAGGCATTTTGGAAGGAACATAAGATGGTAATCATGGCACCAAACAACATCCCCATCCTCGTAGTGCTTATTCACTACATCAGCAAACATCTGATTGGCCTTCTTATATGCAGCAAATTGTGACTGGAAGCTCCTTGTTGTCGCGAGGCGATCTTCTTGTGGAAGGCCAAGATAGTGAAACAGAGGCCACAGTATATTGTTGCAGTAACCATTGTAATATTGATGGACAATCTCTTCGTCAAGGAATACAGGTATGCACCTCTAATGCAGTCAAAACAAAGAAAAATTAGAGTTGGAAGACAAGCTCAATGCATAATCACAAAAGGAAAAACAACCAATATTTCATCGCACATAATGCTTACTTTTTCAGCCAAAGCTTTTGTAAGTGCCTTCTGTCCTACCTCATCAGGCACATTAACACCAGCCCAGCCTATCCATCTTGCCTCAAAATCATTCACACCTTCATAACATGATCCAAAATGCATCACATTCTAGACCTTTTCCCATATGGATGCTATATTCTAAAGGAAAATTGGTAGGAATTAGAAATTAGGAGTATAACTGTTTTTGACAGCATACCGAGAAGCGCAGTAACAAGACCTCCTGCACTGATTTCCAAAGACCAAGCATCTTCACCTCTTCTAACAGCAGAAACTGGCAGCCGATTAGCCACCACCAGCAACCTCTGCCTTACAGGCCTGACATCATGCCTTGTGGCAGCAGCAGCTTCTTCCAGGTACTGTTCAATGTAGGAACTCTTCTGAGGGTCACTATTCTGTCTGAAGCGGAAGTCTAGTAATTCACTTGATTCACCACCACTGTGACTATGATTACCATTCGCCTCAGCCCTATTGCTTCTCCTCAGCTCTCTCAGCTCCCTTTCCCTCAGAAGCCGCTCCACACGACCTGGGTACGGGGTTGAGTTACCGTGGTACTGGTTTGCAGGCATAAGCTCAAGCCTTTAGAACCAGACCCTTTCTTTCACAAATTCACCAACTTATTACCAGCACAAGATGATCCTCAAAGCAGCTGTATGACCTACATTCACAAATCTTCACATTAACAACATTTCACTTAAACAGAAAGCCAGATAACAATACTGCCATCCATCAGCAGCTATAAGCCACACAATCATGTTTTAATTGTCACCATCTAAAGGACCAAGAAAACCCTGATAAACAAAAAGAGAATGGGATCCACAAGAATTGCACGAGACAAACACTTAATGGAGTCTCTGTCTCTCCAAATAAGTAGCTCGAGACAAATATATGAACAACTAAAGCTATTTTCAACCATAATTCTCTTTTGACAACAGTGCAAAGTCTCGAGCTTTGAATTCAACCCACATAAGATACAACACTAACAAGTCGCCAACTTTAGCAAAGACCCTTATCGTATCATCAAAACCCATGACAGATTGGAGCAAAAATAAACTAACCACAACAGAAAGAGCAGCACAAGGAACTTTACGCATTGAGGGGGGCAACAAAAATTTACACAGCACAAGATACACATAAGAAGAAAGGAAATACCTTCAATGAGCAGACTGAGCAATCGCGTAGTGAGGCAGAGCAGAATGTGGGAAGAGAAAAGTGTTTAGTGGGAAGAGAGAGTTTTTGAGAGAGATGATAAAAAGGAGAGGTAAAGGGAAAGCAGGTAAAAGGAGCAGCAGATTCCTCGTGAGAGGTTCACATGATAAACAGTAACGCAGAAAAGAGGCGTCCCCCGGCCCTTCTGTTTGCTTTACTCCTTCCTTCTTCTCCCTCCTCAACGCAGAGCTGACATCCAACCAATCCTCCTTGTCTGTAAATTCTTCCATTATTCCTCTCTTCGGGTTCGCTTTTTCTTCTTCCTCTCTTCCTCCCTGTATTAACTCCACTTGTCTTATCAGCTTTGTTTTGGTTTGGTTAATTCTTAAATTGGATTATGTTCTATGTTAAGAATTTGTTGATACGTCTTTTCCTGTCACTTGTCAGTGGAGCTTTTCAAAATTGGTCTTCATACTACAATGGACTGAAGACTTGCTAAGAAAATTGGATTTCTAAAGAATTTGAAGAATTTGTTGAACTTTCCCTAAAAAGCTAATTTGATTAGACTAATGTCTAAATAAGTTATACATGTTGCCTTTCAAGTTTACTGGATATAATCAAAAGAATTATACTTTTTATTGCATTAGATGAATCGATCATCGATTAAATAAAAAGTTTGTAACTCGTTTTTTCGGTGTTTAAGTACTAAGACTAGTGTCCCTTTAAAAAAAAGTGCATGCTATAACATTGTGTGACCAATGTGTACTCAACACAATAATCGTGCATTAACAAATCCACTTAACCTAAACCGTAACTTTAATGATGACAATTACCCGACATAAATTACGGTTATAACATGATTACCATCTACCTTCGTGTCCATGTGTCGACACATAAGGTTGGTTATATGGTCTTTGCACTCCTGAGTCCTGACCATCAAGTGATCTTTGCAGCACCCACCATCATTGCACTAGTCTAATCCTGTGTGAGCATTTGCTTTCAAATTCGTCATCTCATTTTTAAAACGCCAAATTCTTGTTCGATTGCATTCAATATCAACGAATGATGGTAAAATAATTGAATTTCTTTCTCGATAAACAAAAGTGGAAGTCATCCTGTAACACTATGACATTATGATATCATATCAAATAGCTCTCTTTTATACGGTGATAGAAAGCCTAATACATTTGAATATCCAGTGTTGTTCCCATTCAGTCTCTGTTAAGACTGAGGTGTAGCCTGCGTCATGTTGTTGCAAGAAGCAATAATCAGAGGCCAATAGAAGAGAAGATCGACGGCTGGTTTCGAAACTGGAAGTGGAACTGGACCGGAATCGCATTTCCCAGCAACCGAATGATATATGGGCCATTTTGAGCCCAAATTCCCTCGGTACTCACACACACGTGTACAACGACAAGCTTCAGAAACTAGGGAAAATATCAGTGCACAATTTCCATTCCCCTGTATTCTCCCCAACAACAACAAGAACCAGCTCAGTCAAGAAGTTTCTTTTAATTTCTCCCTTTCATCCCCTCTAACTAAAACCATAAATCCGAGTTACCAACCAGATCCTCTCTCTCTCTCTACCAAACAGTTTGCAGCTCTTGTGGCTTCATCTGATCCTCTTCTTTTTATCTTTTTTTTTTTATTCCTTTTTATTTGCCACCAGAACGAAAAAGATCCCCTCAGTCTTTCCATCCCATTCCAGACAAGTTGCCAATTTGGGGGTTTCCTTTCTTCCACTTTGAGAAAAAATATCCACAAAGTTTCCAGCTTTAGATTCCCCTGCAGAAGAATTTAGGGAGGGAGATGAAGATACAGTGCAACGTGTGCGAGGCGGCGGAGGCGAACGTGCTGTGCTGCGCAGACGAGGCAGCATTGTGTTGGGCCTGCGATGAGAAGGTGCACGCCGCCAACAAGCTGGCAAGCAAGCATCAGAGGATTCCGCTTACCAGCTCTTCCCCTCAATTGCCCAAATGCGATATTTGTCAGGTGAGTTCTAATCATCCTGGTCTGTCAGTGGTGATCCTCTTTCCAATTTTTTTCTTATTTGGGTTGATTTTTGTGATTCGTGTAAAACCCCTGCATAATGGGTTGTTCCTTCTGTTATTTTCTTTGCTGTATTTTGGGTTTGGTTTAGTTTGAGTTGTGGTGGATGGATCATCCTTAGGTGCACTTGCTGCTTCTGCTACTAACTGGTGTTTGTCCTGGCGTATATGAATTTCCTAGGGATGTTCTTTTTCATAAGTTAGGTTGGGACGAATTTGTTTTCGACATGATGAGCTTAGAGTGGCAAAAAGACCGTGTCTTTGAACTCAAGTAGCCCGAATTGTAAAACTGGTTCTAGTAGAATGATAAGGCATGCTTTCGTTTGAGGAGGCGAGTAAGGAAAAAGTATGGGATCTAGTCATGAATCTGTCCTAACAAATCGAGCTATTGATATGATCTAATTCTCGAGAAATTTCTTGAACAACAACAATTCTGATTTTTGGTGATAAACTAACTGGGGCTCTTCTAGTACTTCACCCAACCCGATGGTTTCATACCATTGTCTTAAGTCATCTCTACTAGCTCTAACATATGATCCAAGGTTACTGTCCAGCATAATGGCAGATCCTATTCATGATTGATCTGTACTGAGGTTTTCTTGCCTCAGTAGGGTGAGTGAGTTCCTCTCATCCCTGAGAGTGAGTGCAAGAAGGACCTCATTGTCACTTCATCCCTTTCCTTTCAGTCGAGCAAATGAATGAACCACAGCCGGGTAGCTCTTGGCGAGGTTTAAGATAAGATAAGTTGATAAAACAAAGGGGAGGATCGACCCGTTCGGTATAATTCCGAAGAAAGACTGTTGGCAGCTGGTGGAAACCTTTCTTTGGCCCTCTTCAAAAGGAAATGCGGGGTCGGGGTTAATCCCAAGCGATTTGTAGGCTATAATCCCCGCCAATTCAGCGGGGTTATGGAGCCTCCTCCAAGATTCACCGTAAAAGCCCGCTGTCTCCGACATGGGCCCGGTGAAATTGAATTCTCCGTGAAGATGCGGAGTACCAACGGCTATGTGACTTAAAGTTATGGCCAAAGCTCCCGCCATGCTGCATAGGGTAGGATTTCGGGAAACTTGTGGAGGATTACCACTTCTAGCATTTTAGGCCAGGCCTATGTTGAAGTCGGCTATGGACCTAGGGAAAACGGCCATGAGCCTGCATTCTAGAAAGGAAGAATGCCAAGGTTCTTGATCCAGCATAACACAATGAACATTGGTCTGGCATAATAATGAGACCTCTTCGTCAAATGTTCACGTGAATCCGCAAATCTCTGAGATCACTCAATCTGAGAACACATCCTCCACCTCTCTTTTGTACTATAGGGATATTGCTGAGCGGAAGTGAAGGTGCTATTAATGACCTTAGGAAGTGTTCTTATTTTAAATTGTCATCATCTCAGTTTCATTTTCACGGTTACTATCTATAGTGGAACCTTCTTTATCCCGTTGTCCTGTTGAACTGATGATAAGATATGATGATATTGCATCCGTTGATGGTGAGAGTAAAGGTCAATGTCTTTGTTCATTGCAGGAAATGGCAGGTTTTTTCTTCTGCCTAGAAGACAGAGCTTTGCTCTGCAGGAAATGTGATTTGGCCATTCACACAGCAAATGAATATGTGTCTGCTCATCAGAGATTTTTACTTACAGGAGTGAAGGTAGGTCTTGAGCCTACTGATCCTGGTGGATCTTCGTCTTCAGGGAAGTCGCCTTCCGGAGAAAAGCCATCGGCGATGAAATCTCAATCTATCTCTGAAAGAGTCACACCAGCAATTCCTTTCACTAGTTCCTCGAATGAGACTCCATCTGTGAATGGTGGTGGATTAAGGATCTCTGAGCCTTCTGCAAAGGTGCCTTTTTCTGAGGGTTATCAGGCTGGAGGCATCCAACAGTGGCCACATCTAGATGACTTTATGAGTCTAACTGAGTTGAACCAAAGTTACAGTTACATGGGTAATGGTTCATCAAAGGTATGCATTTCTCTGTTTCCATTGCAACTCTTGATTTCGATGCATCTTCAGATCTGTTTCTTTCCTGAACTTGGTATTGCTTCTGTTTTCACAATATTACTAGTATCAATACCCACGGCTACGCCGCGGGAGATTTAGCGATGTTTACTCTTCCTCAACTTTCGAAATCTACAATGAAACATTGAAACTACACCAAAGTAATACCTTTTATATAGGTGAAACTTATTATTTCATATATTTATTCAATCCATACCCAAGTTATCTTATTTGAGCAACCTTCATTAGAAGAAAAAAAAAAGAGGCAATCTTCAATTCGTACAGAAAGAGCTGGTCTTCAGCTTACTAAATGGCTTGTTCAGCAACTTGTCTATCAGTTACACAATATCGATGCCATTGACATGAGCAACAACAATAGGTTCTCAAATCTCAATGACCCTTACTGGTGAAGCTCTTGATCCGTACTAACTAACCGAACTACATGTCATGCTATTAGAAGAGTTTTTGGATACCACTGAGCAGCATCATTTTGTTCTCCCACTTGACCTGTGAGATTTGAGTGTTAGTGAGTAGAAAACATCAAGAAACAGGCTTCTACTAAAAAGCAAACTTCTAGGTAACAAATTTACACTTCTACTATAAACAAACTTCCAAGTGACAAATGAACAACTCTCGAACTGAAATGCTTTTTTTCCCTTTAGCTTGAAGGTACCACATAATAGGAATTGATAGAGTGATTGGCATTCCTCCAGATTGCACTGGTTTTCTAACTCCATAAACAACCCAATCAAAGAAAATCAATTCAATCATTCAAGTGGACTTTAATACTTATAAGCGGGAGATTATTAGAAGGTATCTCCAACTTTAACTCAGACTTGAATCATAAGTCCGATTCTTTCAATAAAGTAATCACAAACTACAAAATCCGAAACTATTCAGCAGCACCAAAGGCGAGCTACTAAATCAAAGGACAACAGTGGAAATTCACAGAGATCAACACCGGACCTGGAGATTTGGAAAAACCACATATATGCTTTGCAGATTCCCGGCTGGCGATCAATTCTCCTCCCCGGCAGCTACTTTACAGTTACTCCAGGTCCTGGTTCATCGGAAGGCAAGCATCACCTGCATCTATATGCACCACATCCATTCAATAGATAACCAAAATTTCAAAGTCAATCCAAATACTACATAAGCAAACCAACAAAAACAAAGAAATCCCATGATGAAACCAGTGCAGTATAACCTACTGGTATAAATCTACGAAGTAAACTATAACAACTGTCTTAAGAATCCATCAGTTGAGTATAAACTACATGACAATCACAAAGCAAACTATAGCAGCCTTGTAGAAACTTAACCACAGAGTTGCCTTGGGAAAACTACAGTTCAAGCACATGGTTCAATTCAACGTAAGAATGATTATTGAGTTACGTGAGATGAGGACATGCATTTACCTCCTCACCTCCTCCTTGAGTAACTCTGACATCTGCATCTCTATCATTGATTCATCGCCCTTCTCTACCTCTCTTCTTTGATCTCTACCTTGGTCCTAAAAAAATACACAACCTCCGGAAAGTACAACAACATGAAGTGGATGGTAGAGGTTGCAAAGATTAAGCAGAAGTATGATCTAACTACTACAACCAATACAGGGCACTCCTATGATTTGAAACCCATTATAGTTATGTCATATGTGAAGGGAAAAACAAAACAACAAAATGCATCCAATCACATTCAAGCCAGCATGAACAAAAGTTGGCAGTACATATTTAGTGTTTTAGTTGAAAAACTTTAGTCGGTGTGTGAAGACTTCCTAAATGTAAGATCAAAAAGTCAAGTAATTCCTTCCCTATTTTCATCCAGTACTATTTGGCTGCATATTCAATTGCAGTGATATACACATAGAAAGCATTATCCACTACGATAATGATGATTTGAAGAAAATGTGGAGATGGCAGATTCCTTACTGCTTGCTCTCTTTTTCAACATTGGTGTCTGACACGGTAAGCTAATTCGGCACCAGAACTCTCTGCTGCAACTGATGTGTACGCATCTGGATTTGTTCTGCAGCAGAGTGAACACTTCACGACATAGAACGATCCTATAGGGATTTCGTACAAAAAAGTATTCAAATTGAAACTGAACGATTAAAGGATTGTTACCGTCATACTACTGCTGTATTTACTTACCCAGAACTTGATGGATGAGAGAGGATCTCCGCCGTTCAACTTAGTCGTCCTCCGAGGCAGCGATGCCACGATCATACAAATCAACGATTCGAACTGATCCCGCGAAATCGAATCCCCAACGAACATCACACTCTTCCTAGTCATCCTCTGCGGAAACTGTTGGCCTGGGGGTTCTTGAGCATCAGTAGTACCTGAGCTAACATACATAATCCCACCAGAACCAGTTCAATAATTTTCTCCGCCATCGGCATGTTGGCGTCGCGCTGATCCTGCAGCTCTTCCCGATTAGCGGCAGCAGAAGAAGAGTTCATGCTCATCATCGCTCCACTTGCTTTGCTCTTCTCAATTGTGTGGCTGGGCATACTACCAAAGCTGCAAAGCACTACTCTCATATTTGTAGGGAGTGGAAACTCCAACAGAGAAATCAAAGTGAACCCAGTTGAGGTGCTCTCTTTGGTGCCAATGGTGGATTCTCACTCTTGCTGCCGCTGCGATTTTTGGCTCGGTGGGTGGAGTCGAAAGAGAGAGGAAGGAGAAAAGGGATTGGTATGGATATGATAATGGAAGTTTGGATGTCTGGAAAGAGAAGTTATGAGAGAAAAAAAGGAGATGTGACTGGGGACTGGGGAGGGAAGAGTATGGGAGAAGGATTTGCAAAGGAAGAAAGAGGGAAGGTGATTTTTTTTTAACTGATGGTCAAAAGGCAGAGGGTAAGGTGAAGGGTAGTAGTATATTGGGAAGTCATCTCTTCTCTTTTCCTTTTGACAGGGCATGGCTGGAGTGTTCTTGCGTGAGGGATTGGTAAAGGGGCAAGAGCAAAACTCTATAGATGGAATTCACTAAATGCCAAGAAGTGAAACAGTAAAAAAAGTTCTTGGGTAAAAAGCGTACCCAGCTTTTATATATAGAAGAATAATTGTGCTAAAAGCTGGTCCTTACCACTGTGTGAACTATGATGGACATTCTAGTTAATTTGGAGAAAGAACTATGCTAAACATATCCCCTGCAAGTTGCATGCTACCAAAAGCCCATTATGATATGGATGTAAGGAAATGATATAAGATTTGACATGGGACTCTAATTATCGGAATGAACCGATCTTTTATAGAGTATTACTGGATTAGAGCGCTTGATGGTCGAAAATTCGTGTGTTTGGACACTGGTTACCCTTAATGTTAATGCTTATATTTAACCAGAATACATGCTGGGCCTACTGCTGCTTTTACTTGTTTCAACAGAACAGCCTTTTGGTGTTTGTATCAGGCTGACAGTGGGAGGCATGGAGACTCCGACAACTCCTCTGCAATGATGAGGTCGGGCGACGATGAAGTGGATAACGACGACGAGTGTCTCGGTCGAGCTCCGGACAGCTTTTGGGCAGTGCCGGAGATGCCATCACCACCGACTGCCTCGGGGCTCTGCTGGCCAAGATCCACCAGGGAACAAAACTGGGATCATGAGGTGGTATCTGTACCAGATATAAGCTGCTCAGGTGCTCACACCGACTGTGATGGTAAGAAGCAACATGTTAGAACCCGAAAGAGGCGGAGGCAACAACAGCAGCGTTGGATTACTCCCTTTTGATTGCCGCTCTGCACCCTTTCGTTAGTCTTCAATAGAGGTTGATTTGTATTCTTCCATGATTTCTGTTGCGATCCTGCTCTTGCTTGCTTAGGATCGCGAAGAGCAAAAAGGCTGATGCTTTCAAAGTGGGCATTTTGAGTCGAGGGTGATATGTTTTCAGAAGAATAATGTGATGAAAACTGATGTGTACTACTGTGGTAGACGACCTGCTGCGAAGGAGAGTTCTTAATTTGCAGCTGTTAGTAAGTAATGTAAAGTGTGATTGATTTATGGAGTTTGCTCTTACTACTAATTACACATGATAACCAAGTAACCAACTCCTATTCATATAACAGAATCAAAAGCAAGCACGAACAGCCGTAAAGTTCAGACCTTTCACCACATGAGACCTTGAGATGGACCTCCGGTGCCTAAACCCACCGGAGAAGTCGTCGGTGGAAGAAGGGAAGAAAAAAACAAGTGGCAGAGGTTGCATGGCTTCCTGGACTGGATTTCGAATCCCGACGATGAAATCCGAGCTGGTTTCACGTTCTCCACGGACTTCACCATCACTTCCATCAACTTTCCGGCTGATCGCCGAGCAGAATGAGTCGTTGCGCGCGGATTAACTTAACTCTCGCACAATGCTAATTATGGCATTTGTTTAGTTGGCGGCACTGTGACTCATTTTCCCGCCAAAAGTGTCATCCCCTTGGCAGCTATTTACCGCCAAAAAGGCCACCCCGTCCACGCCCATCGGTATCATACCGCATTCTCACTCTCCACTTCTTCAGCATCTCTACGAGTTCCTCCTTCGACTCCGACGCATTTCTTCCCCAGTGAATGATGAAGCCTCTCGACCTGACTGCCGACAAAGGTGAGTTCTTTCACCCTAACTCCGCTCTCAGTCGAACATTCGACGTTTCCCCCCTCTTTTTGTTGATTTCTTCTTTTTGCTTAGTCTCTCACTGCAATTCTGCTCAGATTTCGCCAAGGAGTTCCTGAGAGAGTTCGTCGGTGCCAATGGTGAAGCTAAGTACATGAACATCCTCGTGAGTCTCCTTTCTTCGCTCTTGGAGATTTTCACCCCCTTCAAAACTCTAGTATTGAAAAATGAAAACCCTAGATCTCCCTGCTACGCATTGTGAATAGAAATTGCGGAATTGAGGGATGAATCGATGTCATAAAGCTTGTCTGATTGTCCGCCTAACATTTGTATTGTATCTGCTACAGCAAGATGTTGCAAACCACAAGGTTCGCGCTGTTCACATTGATCTTGACGACCTGTACAATGTAAGTCTCTCTTCGTATTTGGGTGTGCTGTTGTCTCTGTTTTTGACATTGGGAAACTGGGATGTGGAACCCTAACTTTTGCCAAGTGGCTGCTGGCTGCAGTGGACGGGCTCGGATGAAGATTTTCCTAAATGGGTTACTGAGAATACCAGACGATACCTGGGGACCTTTGCCTATGCAATTGATGAGCTAATGCCTGAACCAACTGAGACATTTCCGGATGATGACCATGACATACTAATGACACAAAGGTCTGAGGACCCGACGGAGAGTGCAGATGGTTCTGATCAGCAGCAGAAAATGCCTCCTGAAATCAAGCGTTTCTAGTAAGTTTATTCACTGAACTGACACTTCCATAGGTTCGCTTAACTAGTGCAGTTGGAAAGAATCGAATTTCCTAAGATGCTGGGTTTGCCATTGGCATGTTTTGTGATTTTGTTTACCCTACGAATAGGTCTGTTTTCACTTTGACATTGGGTTGTACTGTATGCTGTAGCTCACTTCATACTACGCTGAATGGGGGCTGTTGTTTTGCTTTTGTAACTCTCGTTCACTTTGTTGTTATTTGAAAATATTGTTCCTCCTGAAAAATTAATGCCTGAACAGCCGCACCCAAATAAATTAAAGTAGATCATCATGATATGGCTGCGTAAAATTTGTTCCAGTGTTGATATTGTTGCGACTTATTTCTGTATACAGTGAAGTTTACATTAAAGCAGCTTCAAAGGACAAAAAATTGATCATCAGATCAGTCAAAGCTTCCAATATCGGTCACCTTGTAAGAGTTTCTGGTATTGTGACACGGTGTTCAGATGTCAAGCCACTGATGCAGGTTGCTGTGTATACATGTGAAGAATGCGGCTTTGAGATATATCAGGTAAAGCACAGGGTGGTTGAGTATGGACTGGATTGTGTATTTTGACTAAAAAGGCTAGAACTGATCCTCTGACCTCTCCATCTGTTTTACTTTCAATTTGTGCTTCTGTTTTCCAGTTAAGTATATTAGTCTTCTTGCATTCCTTGATCGTAAGTGTTTATCTATTATTTAGGAAGTAACTGCACGGGCATTCATGCCTTTGTTCAAATGCCCGTCCATACGCTGTGTAACAAATAAGAGAAATGGGAATCTTATTCTACAGCTCAGAGCATCTAAGTTTCAGAAGTTTCAGGAGGTAAGTCACTGCATTCTAGTATGCAAGGCAGCCAACATGCTCAGAGCAAATAATGATTTCTTTTACTTGTTCTGGTAATGATCTGCAGGCTAAGGTTCAGGAGTTGGCAGAAGATGTTCCAATGGGCCATATTCCAAGGTCCATGACTGTTCACTTTAGGGGTGAACTGACAAGAAGGGTGGGTAACTGCCTTAATACCCTTTTGTTCATGTGAAGCATGGATAAGCTAAAATAAAATTTTACCCAATTGCTTAAGGGATATAAACTTGTGCTTTTGGTTTGACAAGTGATATTGAAGCTGTTAACTTGTCCCGTGCTGTCAGGTTGCCCCAGGTGACATAGTTGAATTGTCAGGAATCTTTCTTCCAATTCCATTTACTGGATTCAGAGCATTGCGGGCTGGCTTGGTTGCTGATACATATTTGGATGTGATGTCTGTCAATCATTCCAAGAAAAGATATGAAGAGTAAGGCCCTTTGAGTTTGTCTATGGCCAATCACTTACCAACCACTGAGTTTCTAGAAGTCCTTCCTCTTATCATATAAATTTGTTTTCATTTATTCCCTCCCACTACCCAAGTATCGTCTTTAAACAGAGTGAAAGAAGGAAGCAATTATTTGGCGTCTTTTATAATCTGCATTGTTGGTTGTGTTTAGTAGCTGAATCTTAAGCTGTCCATTTTTACTACAGATGCAATGTGCATGTTTATGCATCTTTAGTTAGGTTGCACTTTAAGCTCAACCAGGAAGTTTGCAAGGAAATGATAAAATCTAATATACAAGTGCTTTTATTTAGCAAATGGGAACTTTAGATGTTGTAGGCCTATATATCCCAATTGGTGTTTGAATTAGACATAGAGATCAGGCAGAAATTACGATATGTGAAGTCAGATTTTATTTTTTCTACAAACTGTTTTACAGTCAATGAGTGCTTACACGTCACCAACCTGGTTACGTATCAGGTATGAGCAGGGAGGTGATGAGGAAGAGCAAATTATGCGACTGGCCGGGGATGGTGATATATATAATAAGTTGGCACGGTCATTAGCACCTGAAATTTATGGACATGAAGATATTAAGAAAGCTTTACTACTTCTCCTTGTTGGTGCTCCTCATAGGAGATTGAGGGATGGGATGAAGGTACAACGTTCCCTTTGCGAAGGGACTGAGATTAATTACTTACTATCAACAATGGTCTTAATGCATGAGTGCACATCTTTCATTTACGGGGAGTTGATAGTAACTTGTAAGTTCTACTTGTGCCGATTTTCCTGATAACAAATCCAGATTAGAGGAGATCTACATATATGTCTTATGGGTGATCCTGGAGTGGCAAAAAGTCAACTTCTGAAGCACATTATCAATGTTGCACCCAGGGGAGTGTATACTACTGGCAAAGGAAGCAGCGGCGTTGGTCTAACAGCCGCTGTTCAAAGAGATCCAGTTACAAATGAAATGGTCTTGGAAGGCGGGGCTTTGGTGAGGTTCATGATTTTGCTCATCACATCTGCATATATTTGTAGCACATCGCTTTTGCTTTCTGCATAGCAATCTGATGTCTTGTAAAGTGAAATTTTATGTCATATGTCAAACTTTAATGAGTTCTTCATACTGTTTCTAACTTCTCTTTCCTAACAAACTTGTAACTATTGACACTCTGTTTCAGGTGCTTGCTGACATGGGTATTTGTGCAATTGATGAGTTTGACAAGATGGATGAATCAGATCGTACTGCAATTCATGAAGTTATGGAACAGCAGACTGTCAGCATTGCAAAAGCTGGGATCACCACTTCGCTTAATGCAAGAACTGCTATCCTTGCTGCAGCTAATCCAGCATGGTATGTGCTTGCTTCCTCTAGATTTTGAGACGCTTAATCCCACATCAACTCCTCCTCCCCCCACTGATTAGTACAAGAGTTTTGTTATCTGAGCGTCGTTTCAATCTTGACATCATGCAGGGGGAGATATGACATGCGGAGAAGTCCAGCTGAAAATATCAATTTGCCTCCTGCTCTTCTATCAAGATTTGATCTTCTATGGTTGATTCTTGATAGAGCAGATATGGATGCAGATCTTGAATTGGCTAGGCATGTTGTTTATGTGCACCAAAACAAGAAATCTCCTGCTCTTGGCTTTGCTCCTCTTGAACCATCTATACTCCGGTGAATACTAAACTTTTGATATCTCCTCAATTGTCATTTTAATTTCCTTGGTCCTTGTGCTGCTTATTCTTTTGATACTTCATCTCTCTTAAAGTCCCTGAAAATACTTCATTTTTATCTAAGCTAGTGCTGCCTGACCTATCCATATGATGCGATGCTCCAGTGTCATTGTTCTATAATTGTACACAGCATTACATATTATCAAAATGGAAGAACTAGCTAGCATGCAGTTGTCTATTGAAAAACAAAATGTTAACTGAGAAAGAAAAGAACAAAATCGGTTGTCTATAAGTGAGTGAGTGAGAATTATTTAGATGCTTTCAAGTTTCAACTGCTTATGTTGTCTATTAAAAAGCAAAATGGCGAGCTGACGACTGCTTGTGCTGCAAATTCGTTGTAGTGCATATATTTCTGCTGCAAGGAGATTATCGCCATATGTGCCCAGGAACCTTGAGGAATATATCGCCACTGCATACTCCAGCATTCGGCAAGAAGAAGCCAAGTCAAATGCTCCTCATTCCTACACAACCGTCCGAACCCTGCTTAGCATTCTCCGAATATCAGCTGTAAGTCGAACTAATCTGTTAGCACAAATGGATCACAAAATAGCCCAACCCAAACATGAACGAATGAGTTTGGATTTGGTTTTCTGTCACAAGTGGAGTGAGTTGCGACTGAATCCTGTATTACATGCCATTGTGAGCTGTTTAATGCAAACTTTGTTACAGGCATTAGCAAGGCTCCGGTTCTCAGAGACTGTGGCACAAAGTGATGTCGATGAGGCACTTAGACTAATGCAAATGTCGAAGTTCTCGTTGTATTCTGAGGAACGTCAAAAGTCTGGTCTGGATGCAATCTCCGACATCTACTCAATCTTGCGGGATGAAGCTGCAAGGGCCGACACAATGGATGTGAGCTATGCTGATGCTCTTAACTGGATTTCTAGGAAGGTAAGTCGGACAAATTTGCATTTACTTGAGCCTGCCTGCAATGGGTAAACCCAATGGTCAGATTACTACAACTAAGTAGCTGATGTAGATTGAACTTAAAGTAGTTTTAACTGGAGTCATTATTTCTGTAAAGCTTCCTTCTAGTTCTCACTGTACTGCCATCGTTTTTTTTATTCAAACACAGGGGTATAGCGAGGCACAGTTGAAAGAATGCTTAGAAGAATATGCTGCTTTGAACGTGTGGCAGATCACCCGCCCCAGCTTCGACATTCGGTTCATTGATGCCTGAAAACTGGAACCCCGTACGTGTTACAGATTGGCTTTGGCCTTTGGCTCTTCTTTCCCCCTTTAATTCTTTCTGGGGAACGTTTTTAGTGTACGAAATGATGTTGGGCCTACTGACAGCAGTATTGCTTCGTTCTGGTAAAAGGACAACTAGTCATGTATAATTTGTCAGCATGAAACAAAGATTATTGAATTGCTATGAATGTATGTACATGATGTTAATAAGTGTATGAACTCGATCTTGATGTATATTCGTCACAGATTTGATCTTAATTGTTTGGAGGACCAGTCTAGAAGGGAAAATAATTTATTTGTGGGGCAAAATAATGGTCACTAAAAGACACGGTCGCAACAGATTGAGATCTATGACTATGGCCGCAATCGTCCGTAATTACATTGCCGACCAACTATCGTATTGGTCACAATTGCTGAATGATTTGGCGACTAAACTCAAAAATGGTGATAAAATCCGAGCAGCAACGGGTTTCACATTCTCCGCCGCTGTAACCACAACTTCCAAGAACCTTTCGTTAACAAGGAAAAAGAAAAGCAGTTATCTTTCATCCCGTGTCGAGGATACGTATAAATCAAATCAGTGAGCCCAAAGGTTGAATGTATAATAGTAGTAAACTAGTAATGTACGGGAACAACAATTAAGCGTACTGACTTATCAAGGCTATGTAAAACCTTTTAGAACCAGCAATGTCATGAGAACCTTTTACAATCTATCCATTCAGTCGCCTGTCGACCTTGGCAATGCTCAAATGGTAGTAGTCAGTCAGCAGTGAGCAGCAACTAATCCCCCTTCAGACGACGTCGTCGTCTTGCACCAGTACTGGTACACGCCAAGCCGAAAGATGCGACCATTCCAATCACATAACCTATCAACGCGCCGTATGTAACACATATTGGCCATTCCTGAGACAAGGAAATCCAAACTACATTACTAGCAAATGATAAATCAGGTGTTCATTATCATGTAGAATGTTAACACTGTAACACCTAAAGGCTATGTTAGTTACATATCGTCAACAAACTAGGGATTACTCGACTTGCAACCAATGTCTAGAGACAAGGAATGAATGGAGACACCAAAAGTTACCTGCCATGGCCTTTCCCAATCAAGTGGCATAGGCCAAGCTCCCAACCAAGCTCCAATCACCGCACCATGTGCTGGTATGCAAAGCATGTATTCCAATAAGTCATTTGGCCTGTCCCAAAAAAAACTCTCTCAACAACTCAGTAAAAGTTAGAGAAAATTCGGTTTGATCATATGATGCAAGAAGGTTCAGTTCCCTGCCTAAATGAAGTATAAGTATGTTAGGCTAAGACCTTAGGCTGGGAGATGAACAGTGAAGTGCATTGAAAGCTTACTCTGTTCGTGCAAATATGCGTTGCCAGTCTCTCCACGATGAACCATATACAGAAGCTACCGGAACAACCTGAATGCAAATATTGTTAGCAAGTACTGCGAGGATTAATAGTTTTGCAAGGCTAAAATAAAAGGCAAACCCATTGATGTCGCATTATGTTCTTTATGTTGAAAGAGGCAGTGAAAATATACAAAATGCCTCGCACTGATATTACAAAACTGGTCATAGCATTTGGGGCTCAATTCACCATGTCGTAGACAGGTTGAATTCAAATCTATAGGAAAGTTCTTCAGAAATCACTAAACAGAGGATTACGGGAAAAAGCCCCTACAAGTTCAGTAGGGTACGTATATTTACTCACCGTGAGCGATGACATCAGAAGAGACCAATTACAAGTCTTCAACAAGTACCTATCACCAACATGAAAAAAGAAAAAGAAGAAAACAGATTAATAAGTATAGGTTCAGCTGTTTAAATAAACGTGCATACACTGCATAATTTCGACAAACCCATTATAACTAAATGACCCAAGCATAACAACAGATTTCACATACACAGGGCCGGCCTAGAGGGTGTGCTGGCCCGCCCTCCGGCACAGGGCCTCCGAATATTAGGGGCCTCCATTTAGATCCGTTAGTTACCGATCGTACATTGTAGATTGTATTTTTAGTATATGATTGATTGATTATGAGTATGATGACGATTTTAATAGATAATTTTAGCTATAATAACAATTAAAAATGATATCATGAAGACTACGAAAATAAGAAAGATAATAGATAATTTTATGGGTAACGTCTATTTTTTATCCAGACCTTTTTCAGATTCTTTTATAATATCCAAACCTATCAAAATACTAAAAATTAGCCGAATGTTAACTTTCGGTTAGCATTTTTGTTAGTAATATTGACTTGACAACATGATACTGACTTGGAAGAGACACATGAATGTCAAGATTCCAAAATTTTAGTATTTTAACTAAGAAAAGAGTTACAGAATTATTAACAATAACGTAAAAATGACTAATATTTTGGTGCATTATGAAAGATTTGGCTAATTAATAAATTTTTAATAGGTTTGGATAATATAAAAGAATCTGAAAAAGGTTTGGATAAAAAATAGACATTACCCTAATTTTATTTTAAACTATGTAGAAAGATATTACAGACATTTTAGTTTTATTATAGTTAAAAGTCAATTTAGACCACGTCTCAATTTTGGAACAAGGCCCCCACGAAGCATTAGACAGCCTTGGGAATTTGGTTTTGGTTTCTTCGTCAAACTAGAAACGTTATCATTTATTTCTTTTGTAATCATTTTCTGAGACTATGCGTTTTTTTATAATTATTTAATAATTTTTTTTAATAAATTTGTGGAGAAAAATTTTTAGGGCCACATTTTAAATTTTCGAACAGGGCCTCCGAATATCATGGGACGGCCCTGCACATACAAACTAAGCTCAAAGATTACTGGTCGTATCAATGTGTTTGAGGCTATAACTAGCACACACAAACATCAACTCTGATAACTGATTTGACAACCATGTGAAAATAAGTGAGTTTATTCAGCCACACAACACTACATACCGGGAGCCAACAGGTGCGCCTAATACAATAGCTACAGCAGCATGCACCAAGGCTCCTACATATTTCAACAGATATCAAGGAATGTCTGTGTTCAAACAATATTCTTATACAGAAAGCACAATAGAGATCAAATTGTAAGGAAAGGAAGAGATGTAATAACAATGAAAACATAAAGGAACAGTAACTAAGGGCAGCTGAAGATAGCGACTTGTATCCCCAAACCTAGCCATTGGAGACCTAATAGTATATGCCTACAGTCTTCTGAAGACATGACTACTGTGAACACTTATACAAGTATCTGGTGGGGCCACCACTACAAAAGCTGACCTCTACAACTATAACATCAAATCAATCTCGTAGTTCATATTCCACAAAAGAAATGGTTAAAATACTTCAGGATAGTGCCACAAAAAGCATGTGAAAGGATTCTGACAATACAGATCAACCCTTTGGCTCACAACTAAGTCAGCAAGTGAACGACGAACAGAAAGAACATAATACAGAAAAATAAGGACCACATTTGGTTCTAAGAAAAATGGATGATTTTGTTGGAATGGCATGTGCAGTCTACAACATATAGAACAAGTCCAATGCACACACAATTATGTCATGGAATATCTACACTCTCTAGTGCCTTACTCGTGAAGAAGAAAACAATAATATTTGCCTATTGAATCTAAGGGAAAGAACAGAAATCAACACTAACCAATAGGTAAAGCGCATAAGCCTCGTCCAACAGCCCTCAAGAACTAGAAAATGAGATGGAGAAAGGAGAAATTAATATATTGGTGACAATGCACAAATAAACCAACATTTCATTGGCAAGAACATCTTAACTGCCTGAACAATCTATTATATGACTACAAGCAAGCTCTATTTAGAGTTTAAACATCTAAAATTGATACAGCTTGCACATGCTAAAACATGTAAAAACTGAGAGAATAAGTAGAAAGCAAATGATAGACATGCATCACCGAGCAAAAGACAGAGACATGAAAACAATGAGTACCGAGTCAATTTCTGGGTCTCTCCGAAAGCGACTATAAAGAAGTAATGCAGCTGGAGTCTCGACAATCTAGCACAACGAGAGCAACAAATAAGAAAAACACAAATTATGCTTTCAGAATCTCATAACTCGTAAGTAATTTAAAAAGCAGAAAGCGATGAGACCATACCCAAATCAAGCGAGTCGTGTCTGAAGCATGAGAAACAAGATGGATGGAGTACCAACGATGGGCAATCCACAATCCAATACCCAAACAAAGTCCACATATTGTATGGACCAAGAAGACCTGCAGTAATGAGATTTTGCATCCAGAGGCTTCTACTGCTACAGAAGTCTCCTTATTCTTGCTGTGACTTCTACTATCATTCATGCTTGACAAATGTCTTTGGTAGGAGTGGTTTACAGCCAACCCACAATCCAATACTGCAGCTGCAAGTCTGACAACGCAAATGCATCCTTAAGTATTTCAAAAACCAAACTAGACAATAAGATAAGTCAAATCACATTAAAAGGATTTCAGTATTTCACAACTCAAAGCACAATCAACTGAATACGATGAATCAAATCAAAATTGAAACTTTATACCACAACTGTACATTTGTATTTGAACACCAAATATTTGGCATCAAAACGATTGAAAGTCAATAATAACGCACTCCCATTGTCCATATCTCTCGTATTATGTACACAATAAGCAAGCAGGCGAGATCAACAGGAAAAAAAGCTATTCAAAGGGCAAGGATCCAAAAGAAATGAAATCTCACCGTTCGTCTCCCACAGCACCACAAAATGATATCGTCAAAACAGAAGCTCGTCGGACCTTGGACGACGACAAGTAGGATACGCAGCGGAGATATGGTGACGACGGCGACGGCTGCTCCGAGAAGAAATTTGGCGGTCGACGGCCGTCCAGTAACAGAATAATCGCGAAGGAAACTGATTTACGCACTCGGATTCGTTGTTTGCTGTGAGAAGTGAGAACTGAGGAGTTAAAATGCGATTGCGCTCAGATGGCGCTCAGCCCAGTTTGTTTATTATTGAGCCCAACTATTATTTACGTGTAAGCATAGCCCAAGCCCAGCTGGATGTGGCCCACTTCCAGGAACGGCCTCCAACGAACCATTGCCAACATGACGGGAACGGGTACCCATCCCATTTAAAACGGGTACCCATTTCCATTTGAAGGGGATAATCCATCCCATATCCCAAACCCGTATGGGTTAACGGGTACCCATTACCCATACGAGACGGATAGCGGGTACCCGAATGTCCCAATCTACCCATAAATTGTCGAAACATAGCTTATCATTATAAATTTATAATCTGCCCTCACTGTCCTCACCAAATGCAACTTGCTCTAGCTCCACAAATCGGTTGTATCTCTTCCCGGGAACAATGAAAGTAAAAGAAAATTTGAGCAACAGAATAATAACAGCCAACTACAACATTTGCTTCCCACCCGATTGAAACAACAAACAGCCTGATTAAAACAACAATAGCAGCTTTGCTCGTCTATTCTAGTGGGGGTTTGGTGACTGGTGTTGATTTTGAAGCTTAAACTTTGGGATTGTTTCATTAATAAAAGCAGAATTTTATTATGGAAGTAAAGTGTGGAAAAGTGGCGGAAGAAGGGGAAAAAGTTCATGTCTTTACCAAGCTTTGCCATCTAATTACTACCTAATCTTTTTATAATTGTGCAATTCACATGATTGTTTAAGATAATGACGTAGTGTACCATGGGGGATGGAAAGTGGGCGCAGCAGTAGTTGTTGACTTGTTGTAACACACCAGCAGGAGGAATGCCAAAACAGGAAAAACCCAGAATCCCAAAAGGAGAGATGTCGATTTGTGAGCAAGAACCAACACGTACAACAATCAGTTGAAGTAGAAGAAGCCGATAGTAACTATAACCAAAACCCCCAAATATGAACCCCAAAAACCCATAACGTAAAAGACGAATCATCAACGAAGTTGTTACCTGAAAGTTGTATCAACGCAGACTCTCTCCTGCCGATGGATTTACGAAGCTCGCGAGTCGCGTCCCACTCTCCTTGGCGTCAACCTAATTTTTAGTCGTCACCGGTCAGCCCCCTGTATGAACGCAGACTTTCCCACCAGCAGTCGATGGGTCTACGGAGCTCGCGTCCCTCTCTCCTCGGCGTCGACCTACTTCTTAAACATCGCCGTTCAGGCCCCTCTTGAAATTTGATCTTGAACTAAACTACTGTAGCATTTTCAGTTTTCCACTTTTCCTTTTCGAGAGACCAGAAAATAGAAATGAGAATTGGTTGCTGCTGGGTTGTATCAAATCAAAAGAGGATTTAGTTATTTCTTTTGGGCCTGTCTTCAATTTCTTACTGTATGGGGTATGGGCTCTTGGGATCCAGATGACAGATTTAATGGGTATTACGGGTACCCAAAATACCCAAATGGGATTTGCGGGTAACCCACGGGTACCCGATCTAGAAATTGTTCATCCCAAGTCCCATCCCGTAGTAAATAATACGGGTATTACAGGTACCCATAACCCTCGAAATACGGGACGGGTTTGGGTGTTCCCAAATTCCCGTTTCCCGTTTTCCACCCCTAATGTGCGTAGAAGCGCGATGCAATTGCATGATGTCTTCCTAGCCGTCCGATAGTGACGGTGTTTTCTGTAATTATCATGGTTGTCTATGGTGGCTAACCGATTTCGTCCGGTTAACCAGATCGAAAAAGCCGTAAAAATCAATCATAGGCCAACCAATGAAATCGAAAACGACTTAATTGGAAATCCATCAAGCCAAGTTTAGGTGTGATTCCGACATATAGCCATCGACCAACTAATTCACCACAATTGTTTGTACTTTAACCCATAACCGTTATCACCATAACCAAAGAACTAAAATAAATCGATCAATATACCCGAACGGTTATTATATTTAACAGTTCTGGGCCAACCGATTAACCAGTAAAACCGAAGCCAGTCAGCCACCCGATCTAAAGACCATCGCAAATACCCCAATTACCACCTATTGAACTATGTAAATCAACTGCAAACCGTTAACTTTTCAGTTTTCACCTTTTACCCGCCGTAAGTAACCAAGGCTCACTCACTCTCCATCTCCAAAAGGAAATTCTATATATCTACTCCCAATCGTCAGAGTCAACTCAAGCCGCCCAACTCGGCGGGACGCGCTCCGACGACACCGGCGGCACCGCCCGGACGTTGATGTCGACGGGCAGCAGCCGGAACTGCATGTCGAGCTCCTTGAAAATTTTCACCATCTCTTCAATCAGCAGCGATCTCCTGACGTACCTCTCCCCCATGTCCTGATGGTTGATCCTGTGGCACGGCCACACCGCAATCCGAACTTTGTTCAAGTCCTCGGCTTCCTTGAGTACGATCATCGGCGATGGATACCAATGCTCTTTCTTGTTGTCCACGTATCTGTCACGAACCCAATAGCATACATAAGTTCGTGTCGAAATGAAACTAGTATCGAGTTTCGAGGTTTAACGAGGAGTAACTTACGCGTTGATCCTTTGCCTAACGGCAGCAATCTTCTCAGCTGGAGTGGCCACATGAATGAAGAACTCGATTCCATCGCCCATGTCCGGGCTGCGGTAGTAGTTACCGATGGCTTTCGTGGCGAGGACGCTATTCGGGATGATGATCTTCTGGTTATCGAACCTCAGGAAAATGGTGGACAGAATGTTCATCTCTTCCACGATCATCTGAAACCAAACGGTTGAATCGAAGGACAGTTTAACACATTGATTATTCACTGACTACTTGCTGCAGTGAGGGGGGAAAAGAGTTCTGGGTTCAATTAGTTTTTGACTGACCTGCACTCCGTCGATCTCACACCGGTCCCCCACGTCGAACGGGTGCATCACAAACAAGAACACGATAGCTTCGAAAGCCGTTTTGCAGGTGTTGCCGAAGATGAATGCCACCAGAACAAGTTGGGAGCTCATGAAGAGCAGGAACTTAGTCGTGGCGATTTCCAACATGAGAAGCCATATGACCACGATCAGGATCGCGACAAGAACGTTCACCATCCGGTGCAATTTGTTCACCGCTGTTTTCGTGTCGTTGAGGGTTAAAGCCAGGGCTCTTCTTTCTCTAAAAGCATTGACCTGTAAACTCACAAAGGAAAAGACGATGAAGTTGGTTCCTAATCAGTTAACGGGAAACATATGAACTCGTCAGGAAGGTTCATACCACCCAGTTCTTCAAGCATGACTTGGTGATCTTCTGAGTTTCTGTAGCTCCTTCAAAGAGACTCATGGCCTTTGTAGCCTCATCTTCTTGCATAAAGCGCAATAGATCCTCAAAGTAGATAAATCTACATCGAAGAAGAAAACAGAGATTGTTACAGACTACAGTAGTGGAACAAATGATTCTGAAGGAGAACGTGATTTGCCAGCGAGAAGTGACACCGAAGGTTCTGATGAAGTATCTAACAGAACTTGGCATGGGAAAAGGTCACTGAGACTTTTAGAAAAAACTACAGAGCACAGAGAATAACTCCTGCCACTGCATCTAGTTGAAACAGAATTGATGATCTCACACGTAGAAAACATAAACAACAAAAGAAACAAAACAAAGCACTATATCATCAGTTGCAACTTGCATCAGCAAGATCAGAAAACTAATATTTAACCGGAAAAATTAGAATGACTAACAAATAAATGCACCAGAAAGCTGAATCACACGCACAGAGAAGACACAACCCAAATATGCAAACAGTGTGTTTTAATATATATCGAACACTGTACCTAGAACCAGGCTTGGCCACATTCTGAAATATTTTCCTAGCAGCAGCCTTAGCTTCATATTCACTTCGAATCTTCGTTGTCGATTCGTCATCATCATGGCTCGAATCCTTTATCTGCTCGTCCAGCGTCGACAAAGTCCCAAGCCTTATTATATTCATCAGCCTCTTCATATTCCAGGCAGAGACATTCTTATGGTTCAGCTTATGCAAGTGATCAATCGTTATCCCATCATCACCCTCTTTGTCCGTATTCGAGAAGGCACCAGAAGCCCCCCTGGGAGTACCAACTCTCGGGCTCTTCTGAAGCCTCCCACTCCCAATCACCTTGCTCGGCTGAGGCGATGGAAATGTTGCTGCCTTAAGAGCTGGAGGCACTTCTACACCAGCATTCTGCAACTTCTGCACCTCAGCCAAAAGTCTTCCTTCTTCCTCTTCATTCCTTTGAATCTCGATCACAGGAGGACCCGAGAGAGTCTCGATCACATATTGGTTGAACAATGACTCCTGAATCCGATCGAAGTATGTGCTCACATGGAAAGAGGAAGCCAGGACTTTAACTACAAGGGTCTTCACCAGCCATATCAAAGTTCCCACCACTAAGCATAGCAGAACTTTCGTCACGTATCGAAGAAACCGGCTTCCGGTCTCCTTCTCAACTTTCTTATCAAACAGGAAATGCCAAGCTATCAACACTAACCCTAACCATAGACAGTTCTGCACAGGCTTTTTGATCCCATAGACGAAATAGAGGACTCGTTTCCGCAGCAGAAAGTTTCTCTCGATGAAGAACACTATGAACCTAATCACCCACCCTGAAACCAATCTCCCGCAGATGAGTACCAAAACCATTACTTCCCACTTCCACAGCGGAAGCTTCCACAGTTTCTTCCTCTTCAGTACTCGAATGGTGAGGGAACAAACTAGAGCAGCAATGAGTAAGATTAAGCTCACCCATTCAAGCAGAGTCCAGATGCCGAGCTTGTCCTTCTTCAGACCTTCAGGCAAGTCCTCCTCCAGCAACGGATCGTCTTCATCTTCATCGATATGATTGCTTCTCCCTACGTATCCAGATTTCAACTGCCCGGACTTACCGGCGGGCATCCGTCCCGATTTCTCCGGCTGCTGCTGATGCTGCGGTGGATCCATCAATCTCGACTTCGTCTTCTCTTTGAACAAATTCGACTTCCTCTTAAACGACGATTGGCTAGAAAAGGAACCAACACCTTCTCGAGAACTGCACTTCAAAACCTCCCCTCCTCCTCCTCCATCACCACCAGCAGCAGGACTCCCGGCGTTCGATTGAATCCCTGGAGACTCCTTGAACCTGCTCGCCTGCCTCCTCCTAATCGAATCGCTCGACTCGAACGAGACTCGCTGGTGAACCGACACGGGCGACTCGGAAACCGGGGCGAGATGCCGGAGGTGATGCAGACCGTCGTTGTTGTTGTCGTTCCCGTTCTGAAGCTCCGCCATCTCCAAATCCATATCCAAACAGAACTCCCCCGACGCCTGCTGCTTGTGCAGGAACTGCCCAATGAGCTTCGACGTCGGATCCTCCGGAACTCCAGTAGTATTGCCTCTCTGAGCCGGATTGAAATCGAATCTGTAGCTCCCGCTCCCGTCGTCGCCGCCCTCGGGCTGCTTCTCCTTCTTCCTGTCTCCATCCATTCCTTGCAAGAAATCGTAGCTGGATTCTCTCCATATGTTCCCGGCCGGAGCAGGAGCGGAGGCGGGAGGAGGAGTCCCGTTGGGTGAAGAACCTCCGCCGCCGCCGCCGCCGCCGCTGCCGCCGTTCATCTTGAGGAGCACCTCTCGCCGGTCGCTCGAATCGGCGGACATCTGATGGGGAGCGGCGAGGCAATGTAGGTAGGGGGTGTTTGGGAGGTGGGAAAATGTGAGGGGAAAGTGAAACGGCGATTTTCCGGGAGCTGTGAGTGTTTGTATTTGTTTATACTTTAAAGAAGAAGAAGAAGAAGAAGGTTTTTACTTTATACGGAGTAGGATTTTGGAAAGGAAAGGGATAAAAGAAAAAAGAATAATTAAAAAGGGAAAGCGAAGGAAGGAGAAAGGAGAGGACCGAACGACAACGACGACGTACTACAGGTGGCAATGAGGTAGAGGACGCCTGAGCCCCGACCATAATGACCTTTTCTTTTTTTCAGAGGACAAAATCATGGGAAGATCCTGAACTTCTTCGGTTTGGTCGCCCAAGTCCCTGAACTTCTTCGGTCTGGTCGAACAAGTCCCTGAACTTTATTGTGAGTCAGTCAAGTTCCTGAGCTGGTATACAATAATACAACTATATATATATACTACAAGTGGATGTATCAACGGTCTCATATTCGAATCCTCCTAGATCTTTCATGCATCAATCATCGTCTTAAGCCACATACTACACCCAACATCACCGAATGAGATCGAAACACCTATATGTCGAGGTGCTACTTTCATCTGAATAACTATGAGAGACCTCATTCATGGTCCAAATTCGACCAGTGCTACGTCAACTTAACACGAGATAGTCTTTGATTGCAAGAGTTACAAATTCGGGCATGATCATGGCAACAAATCATTACTAAATTTTACATCTCAACCCACAAAAATGTTATTGTTAAGTCCTATGACTCATCTAGGGCTAACCATGCCCATGTAATGTTATGTTATTCCACGTTCCAAGACAGAACAATCTGAGAGGTGATCGCAAAGAGTCAACCAAGTTAGGTAGCTGGTCGTGGTTCGTCCCGTTGATAACGCAACTGATCAATCCATCTTTTTTCTCTTCCTTTTGCTCCATAACTAACACAAGGCAAATGTGTGCAAGCAAAGAAGATAAGAGGGTGGGATTGATTGCGTCCACCGCCGGAGCAAGATGTTGAAGACGGAGATACGCCCAGTTGCAATCCAACTCATCTTTTCTCTGTTGAAAATTGACAGGGTTCTCTACAAGCTTCTGTAACCAGCATTTTCCTACTAAGCAAAGCCAAAGGTGCTCCATTTTCGGTTACTTTCCCTTTTCGTCTGCCTTTTCCTTTTCACGATGGATCAGCTGCGGGGGACCTATGAAATGTTCCACTTCTGCTGCTATCCACAGCTCTGTAGAAGAATCTTGAACGAATTCTGCCATCGACAAGAAACAGCATGTTCACGCACACTACGTCAATATTACGCAACGAGTATGATTTCCTTTACATATTACGTAAATGTTACGTAACGACATGGATTTGGTTGCTTTCGGCCGAGTGTACCAGCAGAATGGGGGAAAAGGACATGGATTTGGTTGCGTGTGGTGTGGAACATATATTCTGTGACGAAAAATTAATCAATAGTGACAAAATTAGTGGTTGGGGAAGGCGGCTGAATCTTTTATTGCATAGTGGAGGAATGGTTTGAAGGAATGGCCGTATATGCCAGATTGGTAGCAGACAATAGCCATGCATGCGCCGCCTATTGATCTTCGTTGTACCATACGTTTGTCGCTTTGCTTACTCATCAACTAATCCACCCAGTTAAAAGGACTTTGACAATTAGGAACCACAATGACGATATGATATGCTGATGCTATTAAATAAGTTTTCTACTCTATCAAGGAAACCATCACAAGGAAAAGGATTGATAAGAGTCCTACATAGACCAGCAGAAATTGCAGAAGGAAAACATTTCTACAGCAGTCTTATAAAGAATGCAAGATGATCACTAAGTTAGGCCAGGAGGACTTTGGGGGCTATTCTCTGTCCATCTGTTCTCCATTACCTTCCTGCACAAGCAACCCAGCAGAGCACTTTCCAGGCAGGAGATTGGAGCAGATGACAAGTTCACGACGTTTGCCAGTTTTGGAGCAATGCTTGCTGCATTAGAACTGCTAGTATGCTGCCAAACGATATGTTAATCACATTCACCACATCGTTGTTAAGCTGCGCAAACAAGCAAAGGAGAACATATAAAGATCGGGGTATTTCTGCAGTCACGTCTTACGATCAAGGCCGAGCAACATGTTGGTATGAGAGAAATGATAAAATGGTCGGAGTTTCTCACCCATTGATATCCTTCCTTCTCTTGAAACACTGCACCTATTATGCTCTCGCCGAAGTTTGCGATTTGGGAGGCTACCACACATATGAGCGCTTCGGCTCCATTTATCTGCTTTCAAGTACAAATGATTAGGGAAACAACAAAGAGGTACAGGGAACTTGATGAAATAAATGAGGAAGTCAAAGCTCGACAAGTAACAAAGTAAGTAATGATCCCTACGAAGATTATTCTTGAAGTACTTCTAAGAGTATTAGAAACCTAACAGCTGGATACCTTAGCCCCATCTTTCCACTCAATCTAAGTAAAATCCTCTCATCCACCTCTTCATTCCCACTCCCAGCATCCTCAGGTTTCCCTTACATCCACACTGAACTGCGTTTGATAGCTGTCTCGTCAATTAACGGTTCCGCTTTCCTTTCAGTTATGTGGTTGATTTGATATTGCATTGAAGTTCACATGAACTTCTCCGCTTCATCCTACTCACTAGAATGCCCACTTGAACTTTAACTGGCCCCTAATTGCAAGAAAACGGTTGATTTGAGAAGGACGGGGAAATGTGCTTGTGCCGCATTAGGGGTAGGCCAGACGGGTTCAAATTGGTTGATAGGGAAAGGGTATGAGTAAGCATTTACAATACCTACTGATAGTTGTTATTTAGCTATCCAAATCATGCATGCAGTTATACTGAAATTCTTTGGCTTGTTATCTGAGATTCAATTACAAAACTTAAACTTGTTTACTGTTTGGAATGCGATAACTCGTAGAAGGTAAGCAGTACCTGACCCATGAGACAACCAATTGATGCAAGAACGATTGAGGCAAGGAATCCAGCAAGAGTTCCCTCAAGACTCACAGCACCTTCAGTTCCCCTGGGAACAACCTTGAATGTCGTAACAAGGTACCTGCCCATGCCACCCGATTCATCAGAATCAACTACATGCACAAATCAGGAAGCAAAAAGAAGCAGATGCAGAGAAAATGGATAGGCAAAAGCAGGCGCTTTCACATACAATGGGGCCAAACTAAGGCATACAACTATAATAACTTAACTCCACGGAAAAGACAAGTCACGGAACCGGATAAACATATCCTACACAGATGATCACAAGTTTCAATATAATTGCAGAAACATAACCTAGATAACAATTCCAAGAAAAAGGTTTCATCTTGTTGGATTATAGATATACACCATTCTTGCTATTATCTCATTAGTCTGCCTGACAAGATGCAACCTTGGGACTAAAAACTAGCAGATGAACCAAAATCGAAGCAAACTTACTCATTTCTTACATATCATAGTTCACATTACTTACGTAGTTTTGCCATAGGCCTTGCCTATCTCACTAGAGACGGTATCATTCAACTTGGTACAGAAGCTAGCAACGAATCCAAGCTGCCAAAGCTGCGCAAATTCCACTCCCCCAATCCCATATATCGACATCAAAGCACAAACACAAGCAGCAGCGCTCGAACCAATCACGCTGCCAGGTCCCCTTCTCCCTTTCCTCTTCTCAGCAACCCCCTGAGCTTCCTTCTGCGCCATTTTCACTTTCGTAACTCCAGTCCCCTGCGAACCAGAACAACAGCACAACCCTATCCCACCCATTAAAATAAGAGAAATGCCCACACCATAAAAAATAAACCTTTCATCCAAAAATACCAGTAGATCACTCAAAATTGATGGGGTTTTTGGTGGGTTTGACTCACTATGACGAAGTAAGAGGCGACGAGGAGAAACCCAGATGGGCCGAAAGCGCGCCAAGTGAGGGTTCCGAGCAAGAAAGCGGCGGAAATTCCCGGAAAGGAAAGCCCCGTAACCAGAATGGGCGATCCGAGCACGAAGATCAGCAGATTGTTGAGGAGAGCGGATTGCCAAGTCGGATCGGGCGACTGCAGCAGCCCAATGGCCTCCGATACGACCCCTTGCAATGCATTGGGCGGGTGAAGACGATCCATTCTAGAGCTGAATCGCTGCTTTCGCGCGGTTAATGAGTGAGGGACTGAGAAGGATTTGGCAGGTTTGGGGGAAAGTTTAGGAAATTGGGAATGACGGAAAATGGAAGGGCAAGAAGAAGATGGATTGACGTGCAAGAGTAAAAGAGTTGACTGCGCCATTTCTGTTACTACGTGGCTTTCTTATTTGGATTTCTGCCGGCAGAAATCGTCGATTGTGCCGGCGAGGGAAAGCAGCAAGCAATGCAGTCAAACTGAAAAGTGTATATATCGGAAACACAATACCAATGGGCTTTTAGGACAAACAACATTACAACAATCCTCGTGGACTCAAGCCCAAGCCCGTAAGAAAGGACGAGCCTTTTTCTTCAATCTTATCCGGATAGACTGAGCCGAAGCCATAGCAAACGAAGAGAGCGATAAATTTGGGGATAGCGAGGTGAAAGAAAGAAGGAAACTTGCGCAGAAGGCAGAAACCATGGCGCTGCTGCTTCATGGCTCATCCGCCGTTGTGTTACCATCACCGTCTTCTTCTTCTTCGTGGGTGAATCCCAGCAGCATTTCGAGCTGTAACAGCAGCAGCCCCTTTGTGGTCGGATTCTCTGCTCCGGCACAGCAGCGGCGGAGGTCGTCACTGGTCGTTGTTGCTTCCCAGAAGAGTGCTTTCAACATGGATTACAGGATGAATAGGGATTTTAGGGATTTCAGGATGGCGTTGAAGGAAGAGGAGAAGGAGGAAGAGAAGGAGAGAAAGGAGAAACCCCCTCACATCCCACTCGACCAGCGCTGGATGTTCGAAGAATCTGAACTCGGCGGTCCTGTAAGAAAATTCAATTCACTAGATTTCTTGTTTCAATGGTGGAAAGTTTGAATTTTTGGAGTTCTCTTTGTTGCTAAGTAGTTAAGAAAGATTGGGTTTCATTTGCCTGGTTTTGGTTTGTTGATTGGTTTGGCGAAGGACATTTGGAACACTACCTGGTATCCAAAAGCAGCTGACCATGTGAATACGGAGAAGCCATGGTTCGTTGTGGATGCCACTGACAAGATCTTGGGAAGATTGGCATCGACCATTGCTGTTCATATCCGTGGGAAGAATTTGGCAACCTACACTCCTAGTGTAGATATGGGCGCATTCGTCATTGTGGTATGCATTACTTTTCGTAGCTGTGTTTATCTTTTTTGGGTCTCTCTCAATTACTCGAGTTATTGAACGAGGGATGAACTGATTTTCGATAGAGATGAAGTACATGTATTAGCGGGAGGCTATAAAATTGACTGGAATGTCTTCTATTAACAGCCATGATGGGGTTGGAGTTGCATGTTTGCCATTGAGGACCTATATTTCATTGATAAAATTTGGTTTGAGGTTAAGAAAACCTGTAGGTAATGAATGAGTTCTGATGAACTTCACTAACTGGAAACACAAAGTTCTCATTCTTCAAATGTAAATAGATGTTGGGATTGGAGTGTGTTGCTTCAACTTGAGTGACCAGTTTGATGAAAGTCCATACTTATCTGGTTTGCTTGGCGATGTTATGCTAACGAGTCTTGCAATGTACCAGACTTGGAAAAGCTTTTGGATGAATAGTTCCATGCAATCTGCTTCCTGAATCCTGATTATCTTAGTCTTTTCCTTGATCATGAGCATGATCAATGGATTTTACCTCTCATTTTTCGATTGTTTAGGTACTCATATCTTGGATGGATGCTAAAATGGTGCTGTTAACATGGCCAGACTTTACTCGGCTGCGATATTCCACTATCTGATGCTATTTTTAACTGATGTGATATACCTTTTGGCTGCTTCAAGGTGAATGCAGAGAAAGTTGCTGTATCTGGGAAGAAGAGAACCCAAAAGTTATATAGGCGGCACTCTGGAAGACCAGGTGGTATGAAAATAGAGACCTTTGATCAGCTGCAACAGAGGATTCCTGAGAGAATTATCGAACATGCTGTTCGTGGGATGCTTCCTAAAGGAAGGGTAAGTGTTCAAATTTCCAACAGATGAAAAATGAAAATTTATATTGGACAACTGAATATTGACATTTTAGAGTTGCAGAGAGTTATTTTGAAGATGATTGGTATATAAGTTTAGGCATACTGCTCAGCTTGGTGTATTCTTGCAGCTTGGCAGGGCATTGTTTAACCACCTTAAAGTTTACAAGGGCCCAGACCATCCTCACGAGGCACAAATGCCAGTCGAGTTGCCGATCAGGGACAAACGAATCCAAAAGCAGAGCTAGATTTGCAACTGAGGTAAAAAGATTTCAGATGGTAAAGCTAATGCGCAATTGCTAGTCGACTGCGGTCAAGCAATTGATAGACTACTGCTGTGTTGTTTGTTTCATGTATGTAGTTTGCTGCAGTTTGGTTGGTTCATGTAGGTTGAGGTCGTTGTTTGTATTTACCAAATGAATCTACATTGTATTTGTCTTACTTACAACACAAGGTAACCTTTACATTGAATCAGAAAGATGAGAATTTTTTCGGCTTATCAGTAGAATTCGGCTATGGAATGGGGTGTTCTTTTCGTGGAATAATGGTATAATGTCAGATATTACCTTGTTTGGATGGCCATTTTTAAGAGGGTGGCACCATATATCCATCACATGCATGCATGTGTGCAGCATCAGCACCTTCCTTCCTGATCAGGATTTTGATACCCCTCGTGTCAAAAATCAAAGTTTAAGTATAGATATAATCAGTGTCAACAAAGGCGAGTTCATTTTACATGGAGAAGAATTGTATATTGGACAAAACCCCAAATCTCATTTTTAGATAGTATGTGGTATAAAATTTATTATTAAATTTATTTTAATAATTGGAGTTATTGGGATCAACGGATTCTTAATCTAATATAAGATTATTATTTTTTTGTGATTATAAGATTTTTTTTTTTATTAATAGGTCTTTAGTTTGAATTCCATTAACTCTTAATGTAAGCACATGGTGATTCTTAACTTGGTATCAAAATCTTTTTGTGATTAAAAGGTCTTTTGTTTGAATTCCGATAACCCCCATTGGTAAGCACATGGCGTGTCATACATGTGCAAATTTCAACTCTATATAAGAGGGCATTCGTGTGAGGGTCTCGGGTGTGTTAGTATGTACGTGGAATAAGATCAATTACTGAAACTTCTCTCAATAACTCGAGTTATTGAAATCAACTGGTTCCTGACACTAGTTTTCTTAGAGATGAAAACATGTACGTACGGATCCGAATATGTTTCCATGTGATGTGAGCATGCAATGCAGCCGAGATAGATCGATGTCAAATGTGTACGATATAACCGATCGAGGTGCATGTGATTTTAGTAAATGATACGAGATCCACACTTGAACCTCTTATAACAATTTGAGTTATTAATACCAAGCGATTCTTGACGTAGTATCAGAGTCTTAAATTATCGAGAGTTGTTTAACACATATGTCACGTTACCATATATATATATATATATATAGCCAGCCATATCAGACTATATTGTACAAATCTGGACCAACAACGTGCTGATGCCTGTTATATATAGAAAGAAAGGTGCATGTACGACAAATCCAAAGACATTACCTAACATAGAAAGAAAGTTGCCTGGTCTACATACAACACCGGCCAAAATGCCACCTACGAAATTAAGAATCATTCACCAACAAATTAGCTCAACACAGCCTGACAGTCACGGGGTGGAAGAACGTGCTCGATCAGTGCGATGGAGTAGTTGGCCTGTGAGCCTGCTGTGACGGTGAGATGCGAAAGAATCATTAATACTATATTTATTACACATGCACACTATAAAAACTGATACAACCATTGCTGATCTTCTGTGTCTCTGCCTGCCTGACTCTCGCCGGAAATGGAGCCGGAGAAGGAGAAGAAGAAGATGATGGGTTCAAGCTTACTGCAGACTGATTCTCCGACAATGGTCTCTGGCAATAACTCCTACAACTACGCACACAACTCCTCTGCCCAGGTAACAAAACCAGAAGAAACAGAGTACTCATACAGCTTCTTCTTTTCCCTTTCAGTTGCGAATAGTACTATCTTACTACTCAAGAACCGGTCGATTTCAACAACTCGAGTCGTTACATATTTGATAATTGATCTTATACCACTTACAAATAATTTGGTTCAGAGGAAAATGATGGATTCGGTGAGGCCGAGAACAGAGGAGCTGATTGCAGAGAAACTGGACTTGGAACGATTATTGGCCGCCGGCGGCGGCAACACGTTTCGTGTCGCGGATCTAGGATGCTCGATTGGACCCAACACGTTCCACAACGTCGAGCACATTGTCCAGCAAGTCAGGCAAAAGTACAACCACATGATGATGACCTCCGCCGCTGCGGCGTCGCCGTCGTCGGCCCCGGAGTTCCAAGTCTTCTTCAACGACCAGGTCAACAACGACTTCAACGCACTCTTTCGCTCCCTCCCTCCGGAGCGAGACTACTTCGCTGCCGGAGTCCCCGGGTCGTTCCATACCAGGTATCTAAGCTGATTGCGTGTTAATATATACTAGATAAATGGCCCGCGCTCCGCGGCGGATAATAATGCTATATAATAGATTATAATATTCATTGCTTTTGTACAAAATATCTAACAATTCAGGCATTCAGCACCATAAAGAGTTTGTTATAATGGTCTTCTACATTTTAACTCAATAGATAAAGAGTTCCAAGTGCCACAATATACTGAACAATATGGAAGTAGTAGTCTATTGTTAGAATCCGCAAAAACCCAGTAAGTTGACCTCCATCAACATCTCACCAAGTTTGGAGTATCAAAAAGACCAAACCAATCAAATTCCTTTTTGTTACACTTAGACATCCACAAACTGGCAGCCTGCTGATATGCTTTTTTCATTATTTTCAAATAAGCCATAGGGCTTGGGCCAATTACCCTTCTCATTTCTCCACATTGTTGAGAAATATAGATAGCAAAAGGAATTGGTAACACAATCAAAACTTGAGAATAAGCCAATAGCACCTGTCATAACAGAACATTGACGGACTACATAATCTATTTAGACATTTTAAAAGTCCCCCATGTTTTCACTCAGTACTATCACTGAGATGAGATGAGCATCAATAGTACTGCATTATTGATACTTCTGGCAATAAGTTATGAGTAATAAAACAGAACTAAACCATAAAAAAAAAAAAAAACAACAGAACTCATAAACTTTCAGCACATCTCCTTAATCTCCAAGTCACATCTAACACATAGCATACAGGTATACGACTTTACTGGCTACTCTCACTAAACTCAATAATGACTACTTTTCCCCCAAGAAAACTGTTGGAGAAAAGAATTAGTGATCAAGTCATTAATTCATTGATAAGTAGCAGTAACAGCTCTCCATCATCAGAGTCTAGAAAGCAACCAAGGGGATGGTAGTATTTAATATTTATATACTAATGGAGGATGCCTCATTGAACACCTCTCTTTGCTATTTGCTACTCAATTGAGAAGATGAAGTTAAAGCATAGGACATGAAAATGTACTTGCATGTAACGGAAGCTTGTTTACACATAATTGGGGGCGAAAATCCAAAATTTGTGGTTGTCTTCTCTTTTAAGTTTGATAAAAACATGTAGTGTCAAAGCTAAAGCAACCATATATTATGCACCAAAATCATCTGAAATATATTGACCAACAAACCTGGAACTACCTTGATTCAACCCAAAATAGATAACAAATGCAGAAAATGGAAGTCCCTACTGATGAAATTTCTAGTTTTCTCAGCAAAGTTAATAGAAATGGTCGGATTTAGCATCTCACCAAGCAGTAAAAGAAATATTTTCTACGAAAGAATGTAGTTGATAGAAAGCATGGAGTATGAATGTTTTGTGGGTTTGACTATACTCCATTCACAAACAGCTACATGATTAAATCAGCAAGCACTCATAAACAACCTTAGCTCAAGACGCAGAGTACCATTAAAGATATTACTAAAGAGAGCATACTGCGCATCTGTCAAGATCAATTCAAAGCCAAGAAAGGAGACTACTAAATAAAATGCATTTTGGAAAGTTGCAAGAAATCTCGCATGAGGAATACACCTCTTAAGCCATCGAATCGACTCTAAGGAGAATGGCTCATTGAAATGGGAAACGATTTAGCCGAAACTTCATTAACTAATAACCACTCATTAATTGAAAATGCTTTAATTAATGTCTAATCATATCAAATTCATGAAGAACCCATCATAATCCATTCGCCTACTACTGAGAATGACGAAAGAGCCAGCAAACAAACATTGAAAAGCTGGCACTCATGCTTTGGCTTACTTCACAATAATATAACAATGCTAAATTAATGAAACTTGTAGAGTAACGTGAGATATAATACAACATGCATCAAGGGTGAACCATCAGGTCATAGTTCTCTTTTGGTTCACTTAATTCACAATAAGATCCAAGGAGTTGGCCAGTCAGGTAGGTTGATGTGCAAAGATTGCAGATGTCATGAAGCAAAACCGAAAAAGGGAACATGACAATAGATAAGCATGATTTACTAGATGCATGAATCTCACAACCAATATATATAGCTCAAATTATAAAAGCTAAATCAAGATACTGTGAGGACTCTCCTACATGAAGCTATTCATGGCTTCATTCAAATAATGAAACTTGAATAGCAAATAAAATCTGACTTGCCTCATTCAAGAAAAAGTATATTTTCCTAGCTGCCAGCCGGTCTGTGTGAAATGCGGTATGAGGAATCGGGAAGAGGTGAGGCTGATAGGGTGAATGGAGAGGCTGAATCGGTTACTTGCCTAGCTGTCAGGCGGTTTGTCGTCGGGAATCTGAGAAAAACTTCAAAATGGTAGAGGGTTTTGTCAAGAGCCTGAATTGACGGATGAGATAAAGAGAAAGGGTGAATTGATGGTGATCCGCGTGGTCTGCAGGGGACTTGAAGGGAAAAGATGAGGATGAATCGGTGGCGACCCTGCAATCGACAACTTGCTTAGCCGCTATCTTATCGTCGTCAGGAGATTGCAAGGGAGAAGGTTCTACGACCATCGCCATGTCGTCATTGTAGCAAGTTTGGGGAAGAAAGTTGGCGACTTGGGGTTACAGGGAAATCAATGGCCGTTCAATCCCAAACTCATATCGATAACTTGCCTAGCCGCCATCCAGTCGTCGTAAGGGCATCGGAAAAAGAGGGTGAAGTTGAGGAGACACAGTTATGGGGAAGGAGAGACGTTTTGTTGAATCGATAATCGATGGGTAACGTCACTCAACGCAGTACTTAGGCTAGATCGGACGGCTTTCCGTGTGGGTTGCAGGAAGTTTATTGTGTACCCGTGGACATCCCACTGGACCCCTTAAACCAAACAGGCGCTATTTATCTACACATAATATAATACACCGAAGGGAAAAACGAGAGTGAAAGTAGGAAGGACATTTTGGTCTTCACAATTACTTTTTTTATTCATTAAAAAGATACATGCTGGGATTCGAACCATGACCATTTTAAAGAAAGACAAGGATCATAACCAATCACACTAAGTACATTTGTTGTATCCTTTTAAATTAAAAACATATAATAACAGGGTGGAAAAAACTCTTTCCCCATTTCAAATTCCCTGCTCCAGGAGCGTTTGTAGGAAGGGTAGAATATGGAGTGTCAATTTTTTCTCTTTTCTCTCTGGAACGGGCCAACTTACCGTACACATGCGGATTTAAACGGGTCCAGAAGTGTCAATTTTTATTTATTTATTCCCTTTTATTTCTCCGTGGTGATAAAATATATATGAAAAGGCAAAAATAATACTCCTTTTATTGTTAAAAATAAAAAAAATTACAATAAACTAATGCATGGTATCTAATGGGCTAACCGCTAACCATAAAATAAAAGAGTTGGATGGGCCTGACCTACATGGGATTTGGCCATCAAGTAAACAAATGAACATCATTGGTTTGCCATTCTAAAACAAACTATTTTCTCTGACATAATATATATTATGCTATTATTTATATCTTAGTGGCTAAAATATAATGTATTTTAAAGTTATTCAATGGTTCAACTTCGACCAACCCAATTAGTCCAACTTTTATTATTTCAAATATATATTTTATAATTATTTGACATCATAATTTGATCATTATGATTCATAATGATCAAATTATAGTGTATTTTATAGGGAATCGTTTGGTATTTGTTAGTAAAATACTAAACATAAAGTTTTATTTGGTTATTTTAAACATTAAAACGATCCTAAACATTTTTCAGTTCCTTTTGAATTTCTATAATTTTATTCTCGAATAAGTGATGTGCAAATGACGAATTGTAGTCGTCTTTTTTCTTTCACTATTTTTTATTTTCAAATAGCAAGTTTAAAAGTAAAGAATAATTAGAATTTGGCATGGGTCGGTCAAACAGACTGAATTTCAAGTTTTGGCCCGTTTGTTTTATGCATTGCAAATTTATTAGTATGTTGATGGAAATGGATTGGAAAAAAGACATATAAGTTGTACCTTTGGAGAAATGTCCTCAAATGTTTGAATGCTTTGTGAATCAGGTTCCGTGACTTTTGTGATGGTGTATGTGCTTGACGATTGCTCGATGTTGTAACTACTTAATTTGAGAGTAAATCTTTTGATTTTCCCTATGAGTTGTGATACTAGTTCTGGTGGTTGCAGCATGTTGTCGTTGTTGGCCTGTAAAAGTTGTTCCGTCGTGATGCTAAATACCTTTCTTTCCTTTTTAACAAATTGTGTAGTAGTGCTATGAAACAGACCACCCATGAACGCTACGCTTATTATGGTCCGTTCTTACTTCCGGTGGTGAGAAATTGTGAATTGAGAATCATATTCGCCTACCGCACTGTGTCTGGCTGGTGGCTGCTTACTGTGCTCTCTAGAGTTATGAAACAGACTACCCATGAACGTTACCCTTAAGAGTCCATAACTTTGCCAAAAACCAATTTAGGCAATCAAAGATGGTGGATGTGTGATGATTTTTTATGGCTTAATTGTTTGTGGATTGGATATCTGATCTTTCTATGATTAGAGGGGATGTGTGCTTAATAGAATAATCCATTTTAATTCATGTTTATTTTTAACATGAACTTTAGTAACTCAAAACCTTCGAGACACATATCACCTACTGCATTGTATCATTTTGCCTGGGTGCTTGCTGTGTTGTCAAACTTCTTTGCTGCTGCTGCTGCTGCTGCATTTACACTAACAGGGGAGTTAAGAACCCATGAATGTTTCCGTTTGACACAAACAAGAGGACTTACTTCTAAATCGTGCACTAAAGATGATTGGAGGAAACATCTCTGTTGCATTTGATATATTGGAGACCATAACAAAAGCAACGTATAACATCAAAACCAACCATCTGAACTATTAGTATTGTTGCTTTACTCTTTTTTCGTGGTTGAGTCTCCTTCAAAAAATTTAGTTTGATTTTAGAAAATTTTGCTTCTGCAGTCCTGTTTTGCCACCAACGTGTTCAGTAGATGGAGATGGCAGAGGCTAAGACTATTTTTGTGTTGTTGTTGTTGGTTTAGGGATCGGTTTGTGAAGAAGAGGGAGAAGAGAGGAGGAAAGGGAAATGCAGGAGAGGGGGATAACTCTTTTCTCCGACAAAAATGGAGTGGAGAAAGGAATTATGATCAGTAAGGATATGGTTATCTTACATAACGGTCTCTATTCTGTTTGAATTGAGCTTGGGAGGCAGTGATAAGGACGAGCTGCAACCAATCCATAGTGATAAGAGTGCTATGAACTGTGATCATGTCTTATTTCAAGTTAGAAGGTAGTTTCAGTATAATGATTATTTAATTTGACAAGTTGTTTTGTCCATGATTCTTGGTAGTTTCAGTGCCATTCTAGCCATTGTTTAGTCTATAATTTTTGAGAATTGATGTGCGAGTAATGACTTTCACTTAGCTTCAACTATTATGTGTGTATTTATTGGCATGTGATAGGATTCTCTTTTCCTTTTCTTTGAATCCAGCTTCATACTCTAATTGTATCATTTGTACATAGGCAAATCATGCTCGAGATGACAACTCGCTGATATGGCTGGTGCAAGGAATGAAGCCATCTTTAGAATTCAGACCGACAGCGGGGAGGGATGCCCGGGACTAATTCAATGATGATTGATGATGGTATAATAAAAACTGCAGTCTGCATCAGCACGAATTTCTAGGCCTAAGTAAAGTTATTCAACCCAGAACTCTGCTTAGCGCTAAATATTGCCCTCACCCAACCTTGATCCTGTTTGACCCGCTTCTGAAGAGTCAAGATATATGACTAATCCTCTTCGTTCGTATTTTCTTATTGACTCTTTCTGACCCTTTAGGTTGGGGCAGGTCGGGAAGAATCAGATTAGTGGGTAGATCCTAATCAAGTGGAATCCCAATCCCTTCACTCTTACTTGCTTTCTCTCCCATTCCACAAGTGGGTAACATACAGTAATCCGGCCAACGGGCCGGGTAATAAGCTAGTTATCTAATATGGTGCGTTCTGTCGTATTCGGGATAAATCTGGAAAGTACAGTTTATTATTGCTATGAAAACGTTATCTAGATATCGAGTTAAAACAAATTTTGGAGCATAATACTATATCCTAACTCATAGACCCTAAACACTAAAATGGTGCGTATAATTTCTTAGATGTATGTCGACGATGAATCGTGATCGTCAATTACAACATCTGATTTGATTGATCTTGGTGTATGAGATTTATGGAATTAAAAGACCCCCACGAGATTGTTAAATTTTCAAGCCCGTAAGGGATGCGTTAGAGAGTGTGATATTGGGACCAATTGTTTTTTAACATGCGGCGGTATCAGAGCTTTATATGATCGAGAGGCGTTCTATTTGAATCCCCCACAACCCCATTTGTTAAGCACATGATATATTGACCCGGGCAAACTTCAAAACTCGAGTCATTGGGACCGGTTATTATTTAACATGCGGTATCATAACTTTACGTGATCGAGATTCTCTGTTCGAATCCCGACAATGCTCATTTAAGCGCATGACATTCAGACTTGCGTAAACTTCAAACTCATATGAGTAACGTTCCTTTGTGTGGGCATGTTGGTAAAATACTAAATAGTATAAAATTTATAATTGAACATCTTCCAACGACTCAAACTATTAGGACTGAACTGATTTATGACATGTCACGCCTTTAATTTCATTTACGATACAATAGAATCATCTATATATATATATATATGTTTTTGCTAACAACAACAACCACCCTTGTGCTCTGTTTTGACATACTAGTAAGTTTTAGCAACATACATGTTGGACTTATTAATGTACAAGTCAACTACACATGTATATCTCTCTAACAGGGTGTTCCCCAACTCGTCTCTTCATTTGGCTTACTCGGCCTCGTCGGCCCATTGGCTGTCGAGGGTGCCGCCGGAGGTAGTGGACAGAGGATCCCCTGCTTGGAACAGGGGAATGATTCACTACGGTTCCGCTCCGAAGCCGGTGGAGGATGCTTACAGGGCCCAGTTCAGGAAGGACATGGGAGGGTTCTTGAGAGCTAGAAGTGAGGAGCTCGTGAGCGGAGGGATGCTTGTGCTTGTCTTTCCCGGGTTACCCGACGGGATGCTTCACTCTGAAACCCAAGCCGGCTCTGTAATCTACTGCGTCAATCTCAGCATCTTGGATTTGGTTCGTCAGGTAAAAAACAAAAAATCATTTAAAACGGGAGAGGATTAATGTGATACGAGGCCAACTGGTTCTTGACGTAGTATCATAACTCGGACAAATTCGTGTGTCTGTGGATGCAGGGTGTGTTGGACGAAGACCAATTGGACAATTTCAACTTTCCAATGTACTTTCCGCACCCAAGGGAGATGAGGGAGCTGGTGGAGGAGAACCAGTGCTTCTCGAGCATCGAGCTGGAGGTGGTCGACCCGGAGGAATCGACATGGCTTCAGGGGGGAGTTGGCCTGAGAGAGTGGTTGGTCGTGATAAGGTCTACCATGGCGGAATCGTTCGCCAGGCACTTCGGAGGGGAAGAGATCGTCGACAAGATATTCGATGGGGCGAGCCAGAAGATCGCGGAGCGTGCTGAAGTCATCATGAGCACCAAATGCAAAGAACTACCTCTCTTGTATGTTGCTCTCCAGCGCAACTGACATTGTGACTCATCAAAGTAGAGTTGAAAAATGTCTGGACTCATTTGAGAGAGATCGATGATAGATATCTTTATTATTTTTCTGTTTTGTGGCAACTCTGATGACTGGAATAATGGGGATTGCTATTCGTCGCCCTAAAAACTCTTATTCGTCGCCCTAATTATATTAAATTTACTTTAATATCCCTAGTTTATTTTGTTTGTTTTTCAAACAATTAAACCCTAAAACAAACAAATACACCCTCTAGTTGCCGGAGCCGGCCACCTCATCAGAGGCATAATCGTAGACGTTATCACTATACGAAGAAAGAAGAAGAGCAGAAGATGATCACATATTAGTTTACCAAATGAATCACAATTTATTTAATTATAATCACCAACAGCTTCTGTATAGCATGAGTCCTTCAACCCCCACCAGAAACAGACAAACAGATAGAATTAGTAAACAAAATATTGGCTGCAGAATATTATTGGCTGACGAATCCTCTGAAACAAAGCAAAGAAGCTCTCAAAGAAGGGTTGTTTATTAAATCATATGATTCTCAAGGGGCCTAATTGTTTATTAATCATTCTTCTTCGCCCTCCTTCTTCCTCCTGGTCGACAGCAACCATGCAAAGCAGCGGTTGCGGGGAGCGATTCTGGCAGCAGCAACGGTGACGGGGAGCGACTCCTGGCGACGGTAGCGGCAACGAGGAGCGAATCCGGCAGCAGGACAACACGACGGGAACAGTTCTTTGGTCGGCGGCGGATACCAGTTCCGGGGTGGACGGGTTTGGGGATGGATCGTTTGATAGGTTTAGTTTCGGTTTGAAATTAGGGATATATGTGTCAATTTATCGTAATTTAGGGCGATTTTTTTCGAATTTTAGGGCGACGAATAGCAATTCAGGGAATAAAAGATGAAGAAGTGGGAAGTTTGAAATTAGCCTATTTAATTTAAGTCAATAATGCGTTGTTTTCCCAATTGCATTTTCGTATGGCCTCAACTTTGACCAAAATAAATATCTTTGTCAATCTTTTCGATCAATAACATTCTGGCCCGAACTATACACCAAAATAAATAATTTGGCCAAACCCGATGTTTCACCATTAATTTGAACAGTCAAACGCGTTGACTAACGGTCAACGCGCCACGTCACTGCCAATTCAGAAGATCTGATAAATATTTAATTTTTTTCATTTTTTATTTCTGGTTTAACTAAGGTATTAGATGATTTTTTAATTTATAATAATTTAAAATTATGGAATGTGTGGAAATTGTGAATTATTTTAAATTTTTAATGCTGACTTGGCAGTGACATGGCGCGTTGACTAACGGTCAACGCATTTGACCGTCCAAGTTAAAGGTCAAAAGTCGGATCTGGCCAAATTTTTTATTTTGGTGTATAGTTCGGGCCAGGATGTTATAGATCGAAAAGATTGGCCAGGATGTTTATTTTGGTCAAAGTTCAGGCCATACGAAAATATTAACCCTTGATTTTTTTTAAAAGCCAAGGGTTGGTTGCGGGTGAATTTATGGATTCAACCACCCAATGCTCATCCCTAAAAAACTGACAACAAACCACAAAAGTGTTTTCATCCTCTGAAAGTTTATACAATATCTATCGACGTTTATCATATTGAACAAATCTGGTTTCACATGTCGCATCGAACAAATGATAATATATTTTGATTCGATTTCGTGTAACACACTACAACAAAAACTAGCTTTTGCAACCAAAATCTATACAACCAGATCAACATTTGTTGTAAAAAGGCTAGTTTATATGACCTATTGCATTTTGGTAGCTAAAATATTGATAAATTAGTTGTCGATTACTTTCTCTTTCACTACCAATCACCAATTTAGTTGTATCTGGAATCAGTAACGCGGGCTATAGGGATCAATTGAGCTACGAAATGAATTTTGTGTCACGAAATTATTTTTGGCCACGAAAAAGTATTAGTGATCAATTTTCTCCTTTTAGGAACGATTTTGGTTGGTTGCAAATATCCATTTTTTTTTTGTTGTAGTGACAAAGTCGAAAGCTATATGGTGGTTGATCTGCTCTTGAAGCAGGTATATATATTTTTGGAAGGGACAACGACGACAATTACCGGGGGGAAAAACAATACTAAATATGGAGTAGTAGTTGGCTGTGTGACGATGAGATGTGAAAGAATCATTTATACTAATACGAAGACAGGCCCAATAAAACCCGATGCAAGTCAACCACTGCTCTGTCCCGTGTCTGCCTGCCTTACTCTCGCCGGAAAATGGAGCCGGAGAAGAAGAAGATGATCGGTTCAAACTTGGTTCGGCAGACGGATTCTTCTCCGACAATGGTTTCAGGCAATAGCAGCTACAACTACGCCAACAACTCCTCTGTCCAGGTAACAGAACCAGAAAACGAACACAAGCTAATTCTTTCCTCCACTTCCCAATACTACTGTCCCCATCTCAAGTCCAGTCACATCATTTAGAGAAAAATGACGGATGTAATGAAGCCGAGAATCGAGGAACTGATAGCCAAGAAACTGGACCTGGGATTCGGCGGCGACACATTCCGGGTCGCGGATCTGGGATGCTCGATCGGACCCAACACGTTCCTCAACGTCGAGCACATTGTCCAGCAAGTCAGGCACAAGTACCAGACCATGATGATCTCCACCGATCACTCTGACTCTGCTGCGTCGTCGTCGCCACCGTCGTCACTTCCCGAGTTCCAGGTCTTCTTCAATGACCAGATCAACAACGACTTCAACGCCCTCTTTCGCTCCCTCCCTCCGGAGCGAGACTACTTCGCTGCAGGAGTCCCCGGATCGTTCTATACCAGGTACCTAAGCGTACATCTGACTATGCTAATCTTACCGTACGTACGCTTCATCGAATTTTGCTGTTGAAACTACGAATTAACCGGAGTTTTGGGTATGAAACTATATACTAACCTCTGATGCGTGAACACCCAGTAGCAATTGTGTTCTGATCTGACATCTTTTAGTTAGTTTTAGCAACAAATCAACTATATGTGTGTCTAATTAATTACAGGTTGTTCCCCAAGTCGTTTCTGCATATGGCTCACTCGGCCTCGTCGGCCCATTGGCTGTCGAGGGTGCCGACGGAGGTGGTGGACAGAGGATCCCCTGCTTGGAACAGGGGAATGATTCACTACGGTTTCGCTCCGAAACCAGTGGAGGATGCCTACAGGGTTCAGTTCAGGAAGGACATGGGAGGGTTCTTGAAGGCCAGAAGTGAGGAGCTTGTGAGCGGAGGGATGCTTGTGCTTGTGATGTCTGGGGTGCCCGATGGGATGCATCACTCTGAAACTCAATTTAGCTCTGTACTTAGCTGCGTCAATCTCAGCCTCCTGGATTTGGTTCGTCAGGTAACAAAAATCAATTGTTAACATAATCAATTGGTTCTTAACATGGAATCGTAACTGTGACAGAATTTTGTGGATCGATGCAGGGAGTACTGGAGGAAGACCAACTGGACAATTTCAACTTACCGATCTACTTCCCGCACCCATGGGAGATGAGGGAGCTGGTGGAGGAGAACCAGTGCTTCTCGTGCATCGAGTTGGAGGTGGTCAGCCCGGAATCGACATGGCTTCAGCAGGGTGGCGTTGGTCTGAGAGGGTGGGCGGTCGCGATGAGGGCAGGCATGGAGGAACTGTTCGCCAGACACTTTGGAGGGGAAGAGATCCTCGACAGGATATTTGATGGGGCGAGTCAGAAGATCGCGGAGCGTGCTGAAGTTATTATGAACACCAAATGCAAAGAACTACCTCTCTTGTATGTTGCTCTCCAGCGCAAGTGACAATGTTTGGACTCATTTGAGAGAGATTTTTATGCAATTGAGATTACATGGGCAGTTAAGTTCGCATTCAAATACATCGAAAGTGTAATCAGTATGGTAACCATTCATGTACTTTCAAAACTTTCACTCTCAGATCTACACATCATTCACAGCCTCAAACGAACTGAGGGAGCTGATTACGTGCTCATAGACCCCGATGCCCTTCAAGAACACGCTCTCTTCCAGAAACTGTGCAGCAGCAAATTACAAAGCTCCCATGTTAGCCAGGGAACCATATTTCTGCAAATCACAGAGCTGAGTAGCTACCATAACAAACATCAAAGAAAGCGGAGATATGATCTCAAACCTCATTATGGTCGTGCAGTAGAATGGGAGTATTGGTCATGGGAGAGAACCCCAATGCAGGAATTCCCAACTCTCTCATGAACCTTGCATCAGTAGTTGAAGCCAAGATTTCAGGCTTCCCCAGCTTTCCTCCAGCTGCAGCGATGGCTTGCTTAAACACGGACCACCATGGATTAGAATCATCAGTTGCCGTCACCAATGGATTCCCCTTCAAATCTCTTATGGGCCCTTTCTCCTGTATCTGTGCCAATCAAAGCGAGGGTAACTATACAACAGAATTAGACATATGGCTACATGAAAACTTGGGTATCTATTAGTGTTCATACTTCCCACAGTTAATGTGAGATTTAGGTGACTGAAGATGCAATCGCTTTATGGAGCTGATGGAACAGCATTCAGACATGATAACACCTAGTATGTAGACATTATGATAACCTATGGAAGTAAACAGTCATCTGCCATCGGCCATTCTGGCATTTGCTCTGAGATGAACTGCAGCTATTAAGCTAGGTTGATGAACCGGTCGATTTGGGAAATGCTCCAAAATTCAGTGGCTCATAATGAACTCTCAAGTACAGGAAACTAATAACATTGTTATCGAGTATCAAGAACACATATCAATCAAATAGGAACGAATGCTAGGAACAATCCAAGCTACTGAAGACATTGTTATTGATTATCAAGAACTTACCTCAAATGTCATGTTGCGTTCAGCCGGAGCCCATTCTTCAGCAATTCTTTTCCTCATCAGATCCGGGTCTGCAGCAGGAGGCATCCTAACATCATAACCTGCTTCTGCCTCCGAAGGTTGCATATTCATTACAAATCCCTGCTCCAAACCAACATACAATCCAACTGATCCAAGCTAAAACAAGCTGCAAAGTTTGGATTTTGGAGACTGTAAATGCAATACTCTATACTTACTGTTGGGGAAGGAATCCCAGCTTTCAAATAGACAGGATTAACCGAGATAACCTCAGAAGCGGGAGCCTTCCCAGCCTTCAGAACATCAAACTGACTCTCACGGAACCGACTAATAACTTCAACACTCTCCATCAAATTCTCCGTCGCCCCATTATCATACATCCTCGAGCCATGCCCAGGCTGCCCAATTGCCTTGATAATCACCTTCCAAGGCGACCGATCCGCATAGAACACCCTGAACTCATCGTTCACCGACGCCTGCCCTTCATCCAACACGAACCCAACTCGCAATTCGTCGAACACCTGGGATGCAACAAACTTCTGCGCGCCATCTTCCCCGCCAATCTCCTCCTCGGGGACATACGAGACGTGAACAGTCCGAGCAGGCACGAACCCTCTACCCTTCAAGTTCCGGATGGCTTCCAAGTACTGGATGGCGATGCACTTGTCGTCTTGAGCTCCGCGGGCGAAGATCTTGCCGTCCTGGTCGCGGACGGCGGCGAACGGCGGGTGGATCCATTTGGAAGGCTCCGCCGGGACGGAATCGAGGTGGGAATTGAGGAGCAGGGAAGGGAGAGATGGGTTTGACCCCGTCCAGGTCAGAAGCAGGACGGGCTTTTCTGCAACGAATTCAAAGGTTTGGGCTTTGAGGCCGAGGGATTCGGCGATGGATGTGAGGAAAGAGACGGGAGCTGTGTAGTTTGGATTGGGATGCGCGGTTTTGAATCTGAGGTATTGCTGGAAACGGGTCACCGGAGTGGCTTCGTCGGCGGTTGTGGTGGAAGAAGAGATGAGAATGGCGAGGAAAACGGAGAGCAGTGGAGTTGGCATCGCTGCTATAAGTTAAGCAAAGGTGAGGAAATGGAGGAACAACAAGTCAACGGCTCAAAGAAGAGACTTAACAGTCAAAAGATCTTATCTTTATTGGCACCCTAGAAGAAGAATCCATGAAAGTCGCAGCAGATGGAAGAATGGATGAACCCTAATGGAAGTGAAGAGATACAACTTGTCGGACTGACAACTGCAACCGCCGGAGTTAATATCGCCGGGGAATCGATCTTCCGTCGAGAGCCCTAGTAGACGCCTTTATTCCGATCACGCTTTCTCTGGTTCTCCGATGTAAATCACTTTTTCAGCACAGGACGAAAGGTGTTAGTGGCGAAAGTCACAATTATCTGTATTTTCATGTAATTTTTCGGCTTTTTTTATTATTCCCAGGGATTTATTTTACCTCCATAACAAAATATCGTACGAAATCAATATATCGACAAAATATCGTAAAATGTCGCGATATTTAAGAATTTATCGTCATATCGTCAATTTCAATTTATCGTCAATTTATCGCGTTTCGTATTTGGTTTTGAGGACACGAAACGTTTCGTGTTTCGGCGTTTCTCCACTCCATTTCCCTTTCTTCAACCGTTTCAAGCTTTTGTCACAGTTTCCCCCGATTTTGGGCCAGGAGTGGTATGGTTGGGCCCGTATCTACTGGCCCGAATCCGGCATTAGGCCAGAAAACTCAGGTTGGGCTGGCTCATCTGGGCCTTGCTTATCCAAAGTTGTCAGGTGTAACTAGCTGTTTTGGCCCATCTAAATATTGGCCCATGGGCACCTGATTCAGAAGAACCGCAAAACCCATTAAAGCAACTATGAAACGTGAAACGGCTGGTCGAAACTTGAAACGGCAGGTCGAAACGTGAAACGTATCGTAACCTGAAAACTAAAATCGAAACGCGATAAATTGACGAGAAATTGAAATTGACGAGATTTCGCGATATGGATAAATATCGCGAGTATTCACGATATTTTGACGATAAACTGCTTCGCGGCGATATTTTCCTGCCGTCCCCGTTCTTTCACCTCCCAGAACCCAGAAAGCTTCTCCGGCGAGCGACCAAATCCGATCTTTCCCTCCCTTTCGCCGTTCCAATAGAAACGGTGATGATTATGCGGCTGATTCCCCTCCCTATTTGCCAATTGCCTCCACTAACTAATTGAGGATTCGGTAATTCGATTCGTGGTTTTGGCGTCTGAAAACGACCGGCGATGGTAAAGCAGTGTATTCAGAACCTCTTTGCTGCCGCAGTAGCTCCCGTCGCCGGTAAGGAAGAGCTGAGGGATTTTTCCGCGACGGAGAAAGAGGCGGGGTGATGTACATGTCAAGTGTCAACTTTTCAAAGCACGCGACAGAGCGATGGCGCGTGGGAAACTTCCAAGGCAGCACTTGTGTGTCCGAAATGGACAGTCCATTCGAAACGCGATTGGGCGATACGAAGGAGACGGCGTCACCAGTCGCCACCAAGTCATCCGTATCCCACGCGCGCCAGAGAAACGCTCTCCTCTTCTTTACTTTACTTGTACCGTCAAAGCGAAACGGAATCCCACTGAATTAAGCAAAAACAAAGAAGGGGAAATCAAAATCTGACTTGCCGCAAGACTCCGGCGACTTGGCGGCGGCGGCAATTGGATTCCTCTTCTAATTTTTGTCATCAAGTTCCCATCTTTGCTCTGCTAATTCTCTAATCGGGAATGGCTCCCCGCCTAATCTCTCGCGCCGCCGTGGCGGTGTTGCTGCTGCTGTCGATGGCGTCGTCGTTACTCCCTGCGGCGAGAGGTATATGGTTGTCGATCCCTAGCACGGGAACCAAGTGCGTCTCCGAGGAGATCCATAGCAACGTCATCGTTCTGGCGGATTACTATGTCATCAACGAGGATAAGCCGGAGCATGTGCCGAAGGTTTCTTCCCGGGTATGAAATGTTCTTTTTGGTTTTGTGGAAATTGGGAGTTGGTTTCTGGATGTTGCTCGATTGCTTAGCTTTGTGGGATTTTGAATCTTTTGAATGCCTTTGGTTTCGGGTACCCTCCGGAGCTTGGGATTATCATCTGGGTTTGACTCAATTTCTTCGATTGAGCAGCTCTGTGGGATTCAGAATTGTCAATAACTGTCATTTTGTGGGCTTCTGCATCTGAACCATGAAAGTCCCGTGCTGGTGTTGGTGTAATCACCTGAGATTATTTCTAGCTCATGTTGATGTACAATCATGTAGTACTTGGTGGATTTTAGTCGATTGGTGCTTAACGAAATGATGAAGCACAAATGATGGAGCATTTGAGATTGGTTGATGAAATGGTATAGTTAGTTGAACTCCTGGTCTGTGCGGTTGCCACTTGCCAGGTTGCAGTTCAAGCAGCATGTTGTATGGTTTGCTATGATAGGGAGTTAGGGACTTAGGGAGGAACGGAAACTAAGGATTTTGAGGAAGAACTGTTGTAGAAACAAATAGTAGCCCACTATTCTTTGAATCCTTGTAGGATTGCGTTAGAAAACCATCAAAGCTTTGTTTTTTAATACCTCTCGTGTTTTCTGGTTCTCTGGCCTTTATAAAAACAACACTCAGGTCAAATGTGTTAGTGGACTGTCTGTATATCTCAATGATCCAAGTTTAGGCATACATCATTCAATCAGTGTAATTCTCACCAGGCTCCTATGCCATGCTTTTCTTTGGCTATGGATTTCCTATTGGGGTTCTGTCCGCATTTGATAAACGTGTTCTTCCCATATATTTCCAAAACTGTCTTTTCTATATGATCTTTGACTGCCATTTTCTCCTTTACATGAGATCCTCTTGTATTAGCTGCTAAGTATGCTTAGCATCTACTCGTCGTGTGGTGTTTTCCCCCTTGAATTCTTATTTTGCATCAGCTGGTTTTGAATCGGCTTTACTTATCTTTGAGCAAAGTTACGCAGAGGAAGATCTGTCTATGCTAGCTAGCCTTTTGGTCCTGTACTTGGAATATGAATGATTTTCAAATGTTTGCTATACAAAAGGCAGCCCATATTCGTTCCAGAGACCATGTTTTATTTCTAAAATGCTGCAGCATTCTTTCCTGGTATGATGACATAACCTGATACTAGAAATGCCCAAGTTTCGCCTAGAGCTAGTATCTAAGCTAATATTTTTAGGAAGCTGTTTCATCTTTGCTAACCAAGCAATGACCTCCGTTTGTTTTAGGTGACATCTCCATATGGAAACAATCTACACCACCTGGAAAATGTGACTCACGGTCAGTTTGCCTTCACGACCAGTGAAGCAGGTAACTACTTGGCATGTTTCTGGCTGGACGAACATCAGGAACATGTCTCTAACGTAAGTTTGGGTCTGGAATGGAAAACTGGGATTGCCGCAAAGGACTGGGATTCAGTGGCTAAGAAAGAAAAGATCGAGGCAAGTTTATTATTAATACTTTACTGCTGCAGATTCTGCTATGCATATCCCGTCTACCTGAGTGTTATTTTGTTTCTCTATTATCTGTTGATTGATGTCTTGCATTTATGGTTGTAGGGAGTTGAGCTTGACCTTAAGAGGCTAGAAGCATCCGTTGAATCAATCCATCAAAATCTGATCTATCTCAAAGAAAGGTACACCCTTTTTATTGATCTATTTTGCTTCAATCAAGTGTTATCAGATAGCCAAGTATATAGCCCGATAACTATCTCGTATATCCTACATACTGGTTGTCTTATTATCGTTCTGTGATCTTTGTTCCCGCCAATTCAGCAAGACAAAGTTTATAGACATACTAAAGACGAAGTTGTCTGCAAAACCATTAAATCAATTGATAAATTGTTGGGTTAATGACATTAGTAAGCCTTGTACTATGTTGTTTTGACAAATAAGTCTCCGTACTAAGTTGTTTCTACAAGCATGTCACTGTAATATGCACTCATCCATCTTTTAGTCCTCTGTTCAGAATCCTGTTATTAGTGACACATGCTTAGTAAGCACATCCTTGATAGCTTGCTACCTTGTATACTAGAAATCATGTTTAGCCCCTTAGTCTCTCAATCCTTTTTAGCCTCTCGTTTACTCCGATGCATTTGTTATTTGGGGCGTGTTTGAGAGCAAAACACTCTTTTCCAAACTACTTGATATGCGACCCATTAAGCACATGTTTATTAAGAATTGATCTGCCACACTAGTAATGAATTTGGACGGAAATTTTCACCTATGGTACCTGAAACGGATGTGCAAGTGTAGATGAAAGGGACAAACATACCACTGTCTTAGATTTGTAGCAGTAGAACCAGCTGAATGTGTGAAGAAGGATGTGGAAAATGGCTTAGCCCACATCACGATGCTTGACGCATAACATATCTAAAGCATCTGTTGTTGCTCCGAATTCATCTGGGTTATTGTGGCTTTAAATTGACAGGGAAGCAGAGATGAGGGAAGTGAGCGAGCAGACCAACGGTAAAGTGGCTTGGTTCAGCATCATGGCGCTCAGCGTGTGCATTGCAGTTGCGGCGTTCCAGTTGTGGTACTTGAAGCGGTACTTCCTGAAGAAGAAGCTTATCTAGATCCCCAAGCTCAGTTCATACTTCTTTTCTTCTTATTCATAGTTTGATACATGAATACTCAGGCCTATCTTCTCAAACAGATTGTACACACTACACATGGTCTCTCTTCTCTTTTCTACCCTTAATTATACTCCTTTCTGTCTCTATTACCCTTGCTTGCAAATTTTTAATTTCTAGATCTTACTTCCATGCTTAGGTTTGGACTGTATCTCCTAGTTAAGAACTATACAGGAACTGCAACCAAAAATGTTGATGAGAAGGGTAGATGACAGTAGACAGATCAAGTAATCCTGTTCCTGCTGTTAGTGATCTCAAAATCCAATGGACATTCATGTAAACCGGCCCTGAATCGATAATCAAACCGAATGCTCGATTTGGCTTACACAATCAAATTACAGAAAAAGACAGGCAAAATGAGGATCATAATCGGATTAAAAGCGCATTCAAGGTTCAGCTCCAACTCCAGAAATTAAGATCAAAGGCATGCACAATCTGCTAAAGGAAAAATCCAGTTCAATTTCCAAAAACCTCAAACAAATGTTAATCCAAATGTTATCCCAACCCCCTAACAGGATTGATCATGACTCAAAACAAACCAAATTAAATCTGACTGTCTGATGATCTGATCACCAATGTTAAAGCTAATTTAACCATGGGCTCATCTCAGATAAACAAACAAAAGCAAAATGTTCAGAATACCCCTGACTCAAGGAAAATTAAAACAAAGATCTCTCAACCATCCCGCCCAAAAGCCATTTTCCAATCCTCCATTGCTGAATTTGTCAATCATTTCCGCTTATTGTTGTTCTGCTTCCCATTCTTCCTGTCCTCCTCCTTCCTGTACTTGATTCCACAAGCATTGCACAGCGTCTGCAACACACACCCCCAAAATTCGTACCCATTACTACTCGAATTAACTCGAAAAAAAAAATAATACGAAATGAGAACATCCGTCACACACACACATACCCTGCCCCCTTTCGGGCCACGGCGCCACATTGGAGTGTCATCGTTCCCACAGAGCAGGCATTTCTTCCCCGGCGGGCAGTAGTTCCCCTTCCCACGCCGACGAGGCATCACCAAATTCTCCTTCCCCATCGCCGCCGCAGCAGGAGCTGCAGCCTGAGAACTAGTAGCAACAGCAGCAGCAGCAGCAACAGCAGTACTGCCACCTCTGGCTGCAGCTCCAAACAGAGTTGGTGCCAGAGGAGGTGCAGCAGCATTGGGCCTGCAGACCGGAATTCCCACCACGGTGTTGTAGCCAGGGTACTGGTACATCTGTGGCGCAGGAGGAGAAGGGAAGGAATTCATCATGGTGTTGTTGTTGTTGTTGTTGTTGTTGTTGTTGTTGCGATTCAGCGTTGGCGTCAGAGCAGCCATCCTCGACATCAGCCAAGCAATCCCTGCATTGTTGTTGTTGGCAGAGGGATTGCTGTACCCTGAAAATATGCTGCTGCCGCCAGTGTTGTAATTGAAAGCAGAGCCGGCGGCGTTGTTGTTGTTCTGCAGGTTGTGGTTTGGTTGCTGGTTGATCAGACGAAAAGGTGCTGGTGCTGGTGCTGGTGCTGGATTAGGGAGGGTATGGCTGCGGCTGCCTCCATTGTGTTGCTGGCTCAGCATCATAACATGATTCACATTGTTGTTGTTGGTTGGCATGTTGTTGTTCGTCGGCATCATCTGACCACTGATATTGCCGCCCTGCAGTTTCAAAGAAAAAAAACAATCAAATTGCGGGCTATCCATGCATAGGTGGAACTGTTGCAGGCAGGGATCTTCGGCACTCAGGATTGGCGTAACAGGATAGAATATAGGATGAGATTTAGATTGGTTGAGAGGAGAACCAGACAGAATCTGAGTGATTTAGAATTGAAGGTTTGCGATTTTTACAAGAGATTAGAGAGGATCAATAATTCGGACCATACTTTAGTAGGTTTTCCTCTTTGATTGATTCATAACGATAGACATGGGCGTAGTCAGAATTTCACTCAAGGTGGGTCTGATCGTAGAATAAAAAAATTAAAAATATATAAATGAATTTTTTATTCATGTTCAGGATGACTCGCAAAGCATTCTAATAGTTGGCCGACATATTTTCATTTTCAGGGTGGAGAATTCAACACCGAATTAGGGATTCGTAATCTCGGAATAAACAATTAGAAGCATGATTTTATCTAGAGTAATATGTACCATAGAGTTTTTTCGGTGAACAAGTGAATCTAGTGAATATGAGGTATTGGGTGTTAAGTATTATGGATTGTGTACAAGTACTGACATTTTTGTGTCCTGAATCTCAATTGAAAACCAAATTTCAAGCTCGTTGCGATAGAACTAATGGACATCATATGTCCGCATACTCTAAACCCTAATCGACCAATCTTAATAAAAATACTACTCTTTCCTTGGATCGCCGCTAATCCTAAGTCGTAAGAACTGAACCACGAAAGCACACCATATCGTACTAACGAAATACCGCGGATAACTTACCACTTAAGCCAGTGCTAGATGATACATATTTCAATGGAAAGTAATCAAAAGAAGTGAAAACAGAAATGTACCTGTGGAGCACTGTTGCTAAACTGCCCCAGATTGTAATTATTAGCAGAATAGCAGCTTCGACGATGATCAGTTTGGCCTTGATTAGAGTCAGAGCCAATAGCTTCATTAAGCATCTCCTGATAACTCTTGGGAGCTTCATCTTCCTCGAGGAAGCCCAGCGACAGGTTCAGATCCAAGTTCCTCATTGTTGTGTTTCCTGCTGCAACTGCTTTTCCTTTACCTTTGTCACGCCCTCCATTATTGTTTCGCTGCTGGGAATCCATTGGAAACTTCGAAAGCTGAAGAAGAAGAAGATGTTTTCAGGCAGAGACATGCATGGAGGCAAGTAAAGAGAGGAGGGGGAAAAGGACAAAACTTGAAAACTGGATTGCTGACACACAAAAACTGGTTTTACTGACTGCATGCTGCCAAGAATTGTAATGATGAGAAAAAAAAGGTTGCATTTTGAGCGTGAATCAGTGTTTTTTCTTCTTTGTATACTGATTTCTGCAGAATTTAACCGTTGTGGGGATTGTATTTACAGATCATCAGTTCTCAAACAAGGAACAGAGAGATTAAATGGTTTTACATAGCACAAATGTTGAACAGAATGAAGAAATCGATCCCATTATCACATATATATATATGCACGACCACCTCCAAGATCGAACAGAGAGATTAATATCCACATACGCCATACGGTACAATTCAGATCGGATCGGATCAAACTCATGAGAACCGCGATCCAATATTGAAAGACATCTTAGAACTAAGGATTGGACGGTCATCGTATTCAATTTTGATTTGGTTTGATTTGATCCAATACAAATGTTAATTCGATCCATTTTTCTTCAATATTTATAAAATTTACAGGACCAAGGATCAACCACATTGTATTCAATCCACAGTTTGATCCAATACTATCTGATACGAACCAAACCGCTGCACACCCCTTACATAAAAAAGTTTGCTTGATATTGTAAAAGTTCCTTCGAGAAAAAATTAGAGATTTGTCTTTGGTTAGAAATTCCAATATTGACTACAAATACTAAGATATCATTTTTTTAAAAAAAAAAAATACGATATGAGTACGTTACGCTATTATTTTCTATGGAATATTAATTAAATAATACTTTTAAAATCTCATCATTAATTATAAAGAGTTATAAATTTATATTTTAGAAAGGTGGATATAAATATAAGAAAATTATTAAATTATTAATTGGTTTCCTTCAAATACGTATATTAAACGTGTTATACGCATTTAGTACGTGAAACATCAAATAAACGAAAAAATAAAACGTTTACCGCTCCAGATGGAGCCAAGCGCAAAAATCAAACCCACTCAAACCACACTTAGTACGTATACTAGATCTGAAAAGGCAAAAATATGGGATCCTAAGAAAACTCAGCTCGATTTATTTTTATTAGTTTTATACGAGCAGAAATCCGGCTTGCGACGACACCCATCAACTAGGTTTTATAAAATAACAAATATGAAAGGAATGAAAAAAAAATACCCAAAAAATAAATTATTGTCTTTGATAAAACGGTAAAATGGTTGGATTTTGGCTTGGAGATTTCGAGTTTAATCCTGATGGCGGCGATTTCGTAAAGGGTGGGATTTGCCTCCAACAAAGAACCTGCGTAATTTTTTTTAAAAATTTCATGTTTTGACAGATAAAAAATATTTCAACTACAAAAAAATTGATAAAAAGTGTGTCTCAATACATCGATCTTTTCTTCTCTAAGCCGCAAGTTGAATTTTCTCTTAATAATTGATAAAATTATGGTAGCCTTCTCCTTGAAATGTTCTCCATTGCCAAAGATTATAGATTTTCTCAAAGGAGAATCAGATCTAAGGTCGACAGTTCGAAAGGAGAAATCAGATCTCGGACTAGCTAGCTATCAGATCTAAATTTTGCTCTTTTATGGTAAATACCACAAAATATAATTGACCAATATTGACTCGTGTTTGTGAGAGAGAAAAAGAACCAGTTTTACGAGGAAAATTGAGAATAAAGAACAAAGAAGATGCATCACGAACAATTAGATTCAACGATAAAACAAACAGAAAATGATGAAGATGAAACGAACAAAATAACATAGACTTATAGGTTGATGACTGAGTGAGGGAGGGAGGGAGGGTCTTACTAGTCTAGCAAGCGCAGGAACGTCTGACGATACTACTGTGTGGGCGAGTTCAACCAGAAGAAATGTCCGCTTTTAATAGCGGAGGCTATCCGTGCAAATATGGAAGATAAACTATTTCCTTTTAATTACAGATAATTATTAATTTATTTTTCTTTTTTTTACTTTTCTACCGTTACAGTTGTGAATAATAATGTTTGTGGTATAACCATCAGAATGACCAACGAGAACGTGGTTCTCCTCATGTGATTCAAAGGTGTTGTGTTCGAGCTCTAATAACTTTCTACTATAGTAATTTCTCTTTTGTTTTTAGATGTACCAATACTCAGTAATTTATTCGCGATAAATAATATATTTGCTTATATTAATAATTAACACGTGATGAATCATGATTTGTAATCCATCCAAAAGAATGGTAGAACAATGGTCTAAGAAAGTCGAGAGCAAGAAAAGAATAGAAGACTCGTAGAAAAATTCATCTCAACAATAATCGTTTACTATTGGAAGACTTCATTATTAGACAAATTTGTCTATTGTCAACTTAATTGATTATACATTAGTCGGATGGAGAAATGCAGCATTAAAAAGTCGGTGAAAGTTCGATAGATCCTATTTTAGAAAAAGATATAGCTACTTATCGTTGGCTTTGAGTCCATTTGACCAAAGAAACGCAAATTCTACAACGTAATTAACTACTAATCGGTAATTAACTACTAATCGATAATATTGCTCGAAAAATAAATCAGTTTTAGATCGATAGTAGGGTATAAAATTAGCAAAATATGATGCGGCTAACTTACGGTATTATTATATGGTGACGTATTCGGTGTACTCATTTTTTTGGGTGAATTCAATGCACTCGTCTCATAACCGTCATTTTAAACAGGCGAATCATGTAAAAATGATGTCAATCATCGCTTATGATGTGATGAACAATAAAGCACATGAATTCGCACAAAAATCATTCAAGATTTACTTTAATTTGAAAGATTTAGAGTTAAGCTTAAGGTTTACAATTTGGGGTTTAAGGATGGAATTCAAAATTGGAGGTCTAAGGCTTAGGGTAATCTATTAATTAGTTGGGGTCATATGTTATATCATCGTATTACACTAATTCTACCAAATAAATTCAAAATTCGACACCTTAAGACTAGTTTTAGAGTTGGGTGCATTGAAAGCACTCATTTTTGTGAGTACACCGAAGTAGTTACTATTACTATATTATAAGAAAAAGAGTTCAAAACGCAATTTGATATGTATTCAGGGTATTAGACGGATTTTTTCTCAAATCCTAAATATGGTAGAAATATCTAAACAATTTATGAATTGGAAAAATAATTTTGATTTCTTAACATGTAAGAGAAAATTAAGTTACAAAGGAAATAAATTTATAGAAAATGCACTTTAAAAAATATATCCTTGTGTGGGATTGTAATAATGGAAAGTCTTTGATTATAAAAATAAAGGATGGAAAGTCTTTTTTATTATTATGGAAAGTGTTTTAATTTTTTTTTTCAATATACATAAATTTGGTTTTGATGGAAAGTAAATAAATTTGTAACTATTTATTTTTATCTAGTGACAATTTTCCTCATCTCTCTGAGCACCATCCCACTCCTATACATTGAATTTTGAGATTTTCAATTTCAATTTTCCTTTTTAGGTGCTATTTAAGAGGATATGCGCGGAGGGGAAGTTCATTTTGGTATTTGAATCTAGAATCAATTTAATACTAGTATGGATATGTAGGAGCACTTCTAGTATGCTATATAGCATCGATGGTTTACTGAATGACTTAAAATTATACTATAATATTAAATGTATAAGTTTAGGTTGTATCATAAAGGAATTTGTATCATTATGTTATGATACAACTTTACAACGTGAAGTTGTATCATCAAATAAAGGTATAAGTTCAAGTTGTACCATAAAAGAATTTGTACAAAATGTATAGGTACAATCTGAAGTCATACCATAACGTTAAAGATACAATTTCAAGTTGTACCGTAAAGACAAAAACCTATAGCACCAATACTATATAGCATTGTAAAATTCCTCAGCACTAAACCTCTATCTAGTTACATTAACTCCAAGAGATTGATCTACTAGTAATGTGAGAATGAGAACATCCACCATATTCTAGATTCGAGAAGAATAAATAACGATAATCACCTTCAAACTCTTTTAACTTTTTTTCCTATAAATCGTAGATAGCCTAATATCATTTAAATGCACCTTATCCTTTGCATACAATAGATTAATGTAGAAAACCGATTTCGTAAAAAAGAGGGAACGAATGGAAAAATAGAAATAATAAATAAACCTAAAATGGAGTGCCGCTGGAAATTGTGGGGGGAAGGGGATAGAGATGAACATCTGCAGATATTGATGGGCATGGGCTCCTCTTGGTTGCAATTCCCCATTCCGTCAATTTTCGTTCTACAGAGGTCCTTCCCATTTGACGAAAACCCTCTTGTCTGATAGCCAAAATTCCTCTCCGCCATAGCCAAATCTCAAAGCTTTTATACATCTCTAGGACAAACGAAAGAGACCCTAATTTCCCTTGTTCGCTTTCCCTTCAGGCGGTACTGCTTCCAGCTTCTTCACTTCTGGCAGCTCAATTCGCAGTCTTTGCCGTTTCCTTTTTCTAAAGTTTTGAACTTTCGGATGAAGCTTTGAATCTTTTTGTTGCTGTTTGTGGCGATGTCTGTGGAGAGATCATTCGAAGCGTGGGAGGAGGTTCAGCGGCAAGGCCATGACCTCGCGGATAGGCTGGCGCAGGGATTCACGGGTCTTATCCACACGCATATGACGAACCCACCCGCGATTCCATGGGCGAACGCTCCCAAATCGAAGATCTTCGATCTCGAGTTCCCCGGCCACAGTTTTATTAGTAAGTCCATGGATTTCGGAGTGTTGGCGGATAACAGAAACACTGGGATCGCTGGGGTTTCTGCTATTCTGGATATTGGGAACAAAATTGGACAAGCGGGGGCTGAATTTGGAGCTGGCTTGAATGGTTTGGTGGAGCAATTCTTCAGGAGGTTGCCTGTTCCATTCAAACACGACGAGGGTATGGAGGTTGGGGTAAGGATAGAGAGCAGGAGAAGTGATGTCAATTTGAGCGTTGAAGGGCAGTTGGACCTGGTGAATACGAAGTTGAAGGAGTTTGGGTTTGTGGAGAATGAAGGGAGATACATCAGTACAGCAGCTGGTGGAGATGAGGGAGGAACAGCTGATGGTGAATTGGGGACCTTTGATTTGAAGTCCATTGGTCTTATGGGGGGTAGTAAGCCTCAGGTATCTTGTCTCTGCTCGTTCTGCTTCCCCCTTAGGAAAAAGTGGCTGCCTTGATGGACGTTTAGTATGCTGAACCATAATGATTTGGCTAGAAATGTATGCAATTGCTTTACTACCATTGTTTCCTTTATGAATCTTTTGAATGTTTGTCTAAAGATTATGCCTAAATGGAGTTAGCTAGGAGGTTCCTATACATCATTGCTCCTCTGATATAGTTCCTTTGTGGCCATTGCTCCTGTTATATAGCTCCTTTCTAAGTTTCTATACAGCTCTTACATTTGTTAGACTGTTCTTGGTCCTTGCTCCTTGCTTTTTTAGGAGGGGAGTGGTTTCGGATATAAATGCGAATGAAATGCGTTCAGCAAAGTCTTGCCTCTACAATCCATTTTATTGAGTCTAAGGTTCATTCTGATACGGTAATGTAGCTGATAAGATTATATTTTCATAGTGTTTTGCTCGGATTCTAGTTCTGTTATTACTTCAACTGAATCAGTGTTCACAAGTGAGAGTTATCCAATTAGTGGGTGGTCTTTAGTTGGAGGCCTTCAGAGTATAAAACCTTCCAACTGATTAAGTGTTGCTGCCTTGTTCTAAGACTAAAGTTTTCTGGTTAGAACTTACTGAGACCTCTGTAGGATCACATCCTGCATTGGGATTTTCTTATCCCGTGAGTGCAATTGATTTTGATGGACTTATAGTTCTGATTTTAATTACCTTAGCAGCTGTACGTTGCAGTCATGTTATGATCTATTTTCTTTACGGATTCGTGCTTCATGCATATTCTATTTTATCTTATAATGTTTTCTCTGCATCTACAACAGGGAACCTTAAATTTTACATCAACTTATGAGAGCAGAACTGGCAATGTGGAGAGCTCTATGGTTGCTAGGGGTGATTTATGGAGAATGGAGGCATCACATGACAGTTCCACATCAGGAAATGAGAATTCGTCTCTCTTCCTAGTTCAACTTGGTCCAGTACTTTTTGTTCGTGATAGTACACTTCTTCTACCTGTTCATCTATCAAAGCAGCACTTGCTTTGGTATGGCTATGATAGGAAGGTACAAATGGTTTCACTCTGCGGCAGCTACTAAGATGTCTTGAATGAATGTGCTTACATATTTCTGAACATCAGATGGCCAAATGAATTTAGTTGGCATACACTGTTTTTCTTATCAATGCTCCTCCTCTCCCCTGTTTATTCTGCTTTCTTTTCTTCGTTCTGTGTGCTTTTCATTGGGACCTGATGTTCCTTATTTTGATCAGGGTTTCCTAACCTTGATTACAGTAGATATATTCATTTTTTTCATAAGATATCTTCCTTTTGTGTCTTTCAGAATGGCATGCATTCTTTATGCCCAGCAGTGTGGTCCAAGCATAGAAGGTGGTTGCTGATGTCAATGCTCTGCCTTAAACCGTTAGCTTGTGTAAGTATAAGTTGACTACTTTGGCAGAAATATATAAGACTTTGAATCATTGTCTATTTCATGTAATTGCTACTATTGGTTGAAATGAATCTCGGTTGGGTGTCACCTAAGTTTCTCTTAAATTATAGAATGTCGTAGAAACTTCTAGAAAGGGACTGCCTCAGCACTATAAAAAGCGTTAGAGAAAGAAACAAGTAATGCTTGTAAGTTTATCAAGGCATCTTTTCATGAATCGAGCGGAAATATGAGCCACATGGAGCAATAGTAGATGTTAAGATCGAGAAAGCTTTTGTTTATAGCATTCACAGCTGTAAATTCCTGTATAAAGACTTGACACGCGAAGTCTGGTTGTGAGAATTTGAAAATCAACATGAGTCGCAGTATCTTACATTTCCAAGAAGTATGCCCTGAAGTTGGCTTTCTGATAGTTCTCTTGTCTATTTGCTATCCGTGTGCAGTCGTTTGTCGATTTGCAATTTCCGAATGGCCAGTTAACTTACATATCTGGTGAAGGTCTAACGACAAGTGCTTTTCTACCGGTCTTTGGGGGACTTCTGCAAGCTCAGGGTCAATATCCTGGTGAAATGAGATTTAGCTTCTCTCACAAGGTAGCTATTCATGGTAGCTGACTGGTCTTGGACATGTCTTGATACTTAAAAGATGTTATGGTTTTCACAACTCTGGGATTGGAATATGCATTGTTGATGTCATCAACTAATTAGCTGTTCTCATCTTACCAGAACAAGTGGGGAACCCGTATAACCCCAGCGATACAGTGGCCCGACAAGTCATTTTCTTTGGGTTTTGCACAAAACTTAGCATGGCATAGATCTGGTCTTATGATGAAACCAACACTTCAGTTCAGGTTTGCACTTATTCCCATTCATTTTTTATTAGATACCCTACAATGGAGCATTTTAATTTCATCATTAATGTAAACTTTGCAGTTTGTGCCCTTCGTTTGGTGGTAGCAATCCTGGCGTGCGAGCTGAACTACAGCATTCACTGAATGAGCAGCTGAATCTGATATGTGGCTGTGCGTTTGTCCAGCAGCCTTCTGTATTTGCATCAGTTTCTGTAAGTGCACTAGGACCCCAAAGTTTAGTGCACGTTTATGTACGTTTAGTGAAGTTGAAAAGGGTTCTTTAAACTGTCCACGCCTTTAATTCAACGTGTTTGGCGATTGGATTGTGTTTGCAGATTGGCAGGTCTAAGTGGAATGGTAACGTCGGGAGTTCCGGGATCGTTTTGAAACTAGAGAGCCCCCTCTCAGGTGTTAGTCGACCAGCCTTGTCTGTGCAGATAAACAGTGCTGTCGAGTTTTGAAGGTTGCATTCAACAGTGTAAACCTGCAGTGTAAATATGGCTGTAGAATTTACAGCCCACAGAAGATGTGAATACAGACGAACAGACTTTTATCTTAAATCCAAATAACCCATCATGTAGCTGAAATGGTCTCTCAATTTTGAGGTTTGTAGCAAAATGGTCACTTACAACTTCAAAAGACAAATGAGTACCTAAATTTCTTCTTGCTTTTAGCAAAATGATCACTCGCATACACAAACCTTTAAGGATTAAAACAACTTTCTTCATGTACATACCATAACGATCTTTCACCAAATTTCATTTGCAAACAAAAGAACGAATTACAGATGGTTGAGGTAAAAATTAACTGATTTAAGTTAAGAACGAACTCTCTGTAACCTTCCTAAAGAAGCCTGGTGGAAGAGGAAGGTTGGGAGAGATGGCTAGCATCATCATCATGGTCATCTTTGCTCACCGCCGATGAATTCATTGTCCATGGTGCATCAACCATCGATATGCTCTTCTGACCTGGATCGCTGCTCTCCCACGACACGTTTGAGATGTTGGTATGGCTATCCTGCGACAGTGTCTGGAACGCTCTGAATCTCGCGTCTGCGCTACTGGCATCACTCTCACCTCGCTTGATGATTGGAGCTTGCACAGGAGCTTTCCCTTCCATCATCTTAACAACAGAGGTCATCGGCGGCCTTAGCGTGGGAGATGGATTGGTGCACAACAGAGCTAAGTTCAGCAGCTTCCTTGCCTCCTCTTTTGAGTACTTTCTGCCTAGTTCTGGATCAACTAGCTCTAGCAGGTTGCCTTGCTCTTGCAGCACATAAGCCTGCATTTTGGTAATGCATGTATTTTGTTTTAGAAGTGATGCATATTGTTCCTATCAGGTTAAACAGTTATGGTATAAAAACCTACCCAATCAAGAAGGTACACAAATTCTTCCTTTGGCCTGTAGTTGGTATTGCTAGTTCCACTCATGGTCTCCAGAATAACAATACCAAAGCTGTACACATCTGCCTTGTCCGTCAAGTAACCCCTCATTGCATATTCCGGAGCCATATAGCCTCTGCAGAATGAAAAACAAAAACATAAAGTACATATACAATCAATGAACAAGAATTGCAGAACTCTTGAAAAATGAAAAATGGTACTTGTTTTGACAGAGGGTGGTGGACTGCTGCTTACATGGTTCCAGCAATTCTTGTGCTAATGTGGGTGTTCTCTCCTTCATCAAGCTTGGCCAACCCGAAATCCGAAATTTTGGCATTGAGATCTTTATCGAGCAAGACATTAGTTGCTTTTATATCTCTATGCACAATTTTCAGCCTCGACTCCTCGTGAAGATAAGCCAATCCCTTTGCAATTCCCAGCAGTATATTCTTCCTTGTTTGCCAGTCCAGCTTCAGCTTGTTTTCCTGCTTACCGAACAAGGCACGAGCCAGACTGTTATTTTCCAAGTATTCATACACAAGCAAGAGCTGGTTTCCTTCAATGCAACATCCATAAAGCTTGACAAGGTTGGGATGTTGCAATGCAGATATCATCCCTATCTCGTTCACGAATTCACGGTTGCCTTGTTTCGATTTGGACGAGAGCTGCTTCACTGCAATCACACCTCCATCTGATAGCATACCCTGAAAATATAGCAGTGGAAAAAATAAACTCAGTGTTTGATCATAGCATTACTCATTTGCTTGAGAATCAAGTAAACCATGGAAATAGATGTAGTTTCACCTTATAGACCGGGCCAAAACCTCCTTCTCCAATCTTATTTTCAGGATCAAAGTTATGAGTGGCATATTTGATCTGTCTTAATGTGAACATTCCAGTTTGAAGATCAAGCCCACGTAGTTCTGTGAAAGCAAAGAAAACTCCATAGGCCATCTAGAACGAAAATCTAAAGCGTTTATTTCACGAGAATGTTGATGTGTAATCTAACTGTACCACTATTTCCATCATCCTTTCTTCTTCTTCGCATGAAGATGAACACACAAATCAGGAGAACAACCAAAAATGAAGAAACAACAATCCCGGCAATGGCTCCTCCAGATAATCCTCCACCTCCTTCATCGACCTGGAAGTCTGCAGATCATGCACAGCAGCAAAGCAAGCAGTGTTTCTTAAATGAAAGCTTAGAAAGATAGCTAAAAAACTCATCATATCTTCTTCATTACTATGAATCACATTTCACCTACTTGGAGTTATCGATATGCCAGAAATGAGAGGTCCATAGACTCCTCTATCAGGAATAGCTGTAGTGCCTTTCCCAGACCAGAAGAGGTGTATCTCCAAAGTGTTACCCTCCACAGTTACATTGTCGAAAACCTCGGTGATACCACGACCAACTCCTCCTGCTTCTGTTATGATATCAAAGTCCGGTCGGACTACCTCTCCCTACATGAAAGGTATAGACTAACCTGTTAAATGCTGAACCATACAGGGAGATATATTTACCAAAAATTATATACAACGATGAAATCTACTCACCTGAATTGAGATGTCAAATATGCGCCTTCCAAGGCTGCTAAAAGTCTGATCATTGGAGTACATGATCTCAGCGAAATGAAGCTTCACGGTGTAACTTCCTCTGATCATGCACAAGCCATAGTACTTGAGTGATTGAGGAGCGAGGCGTGCAGTTGAATAGACACCAGTCACATTGTGGCCGAAAACGTTCCTTGCTAAATAATCAGCATCAACATTGCCTAAGTAGATTCCAGTACTACTATAACCCCATCTTTCTGATACTGAGAAAAAGTTGGATCGACCATTGGCTGTTAGGTCTTCTTCATAGTTTTCATCCTCAAACCTTTCCCTGGGACCCCCACAGTTTAGAAACAAGGTATGTTCTGCACAATACAAAATCAATCACCATCAAGTCTCTAATCACTATTATGTGTTACTTTGGCAAATAGTAATTAGGATCAGAGGTAATGTGTACCCTTGGGATCCCTAGGGCAAGGCAGGTCCTTTCTTAAGCACCAAGGTACCCTGCAATGCAAAAGGTTAAGGAATTTTTATTCTAGCAGTAACAGAAAGAGGGTAGTAGGAACTTTTTAAAAAAGCAAGTGGCTTACGAGTTGCTCGCAGAAGGTGAATAGCTGGAAACCAAGTTCCTGTAAGATAACAGACACAAAATGTAAGCAGTTTGCTTAACTCCTTGCTTGCCGCGAAATGAGGAGAGTATCATTGAGGAAAAAAAATATGGATGCTTACACGTCCAGTTGCTGACAGCTAGGTTGAGCTCTCCCGGTAAAATTGTTGTAAGACAAGTCACTGGCAATAAAATTTTAACATCTTTTAACTAGGGTCTTACAAAGAGGAAGAGCTACAAGCTCTCTTTGAATTTGGATTTCAATGTAGTACATATCAAGAACAAAAGACTTACAAGTTATCCCTACTGTTCAATACCCAACCAGGTACTTCTCCAGTCAATGAATTGTTATTCAGAAACCTGTAAGGTTGTGAAGCAAGTGATAACTTGATGAACAGGACAGTACACAGTTGGAAAGAAATGTTATCATTCAAAGGTACATCCTACTCACGTGTACTGCAGATTTTCCAAACTTTGGAGGGTGGGTGGTATGGTACCTGTCAAACTGTTGAAGCTCAAATCCCTGCAAAAAGATGAACATGAAGAACCGATGATGAAAGTATGCACAAGAATAGAAGCACACTTCAAAAGTGCAGAACAAGAACAGTATTTAATCTTATCAGCTGCAAACATCAGTTTTCAATCCAAAAGTTAACAGGAAACACTGCCAAAAGCCCAAAATGAAGCAATTCTTCTGGAGAAATCTGCTCACAGGTGACTTACAAAGTTTTTAACTGTGTTATTTCCCCAAAGTTATCTGGGATTGAACCAGTGATCAAGCAGTTCCTCAGTACCCTACAAGAGAAACAAAATTTCATGATTCAACATATTTCAATAAGGGAATGGCAGAGTTTGAGCTTCAGATTTAGTAGAGGGATTAACAGCACAACTCACAGTTCTTCCAGCTTTGTCAGGTTCTTAATATCAGGGAAAACTGAACTTGGTCCACTCAAATCTGATATTCTCCTGTTAAACATGACTGATCTCAGGCACCACAGCAAGAATAAGAGATATAAGAAAGAACCAGAAAAGGAGCAAGAAGTTATTCACAGCTGTGTCAAGTTTGTCAGCATGGAGACGGCAGTAGGAATAGGACCCAGCATTGACGTGCCTTGGAAGTCACTGAACAAAAACAAGGTAACATGTTTGCCCAACAAGGGTGTAAGTTATAACTACGAAAATGGAGGAAGAAACTTGTGCTGTTAGAGGTATAAATACTCACAGTCGATCAAGATTGGTCCAGTTGCCTATAAATTCTGGCAGATTTCCGGAAAGACTGCTCCCATCTATCCTACTGAAATTCAGCATAACTCTCTAGAGTGAGCATAAGGTGAAAAGGAAATTAAGGTTTCAAGTGAAAAAAAGGAAGAAGATCAAACTTACAAGTCTTCTATGTTCTGTAAATTCCCCAAGCTATCCGGTAACGAGCCCGTGAAATTGTTTGCAGAAAGAAGGCTGTGCAGCAAACAAGAAGCACATCAATCAAATAACCATATGACCATCAATGCTGCATTCTTTGTATTAGTTTGCTGCAAAGTTAAAAAAGCCAGAGGCTTTTTACAGTCTCTTCAATCTTCTCAAATTCCCAATGCTTCTTGGAATTGGTCCACCTAGTAGATTATCTTCCAACACCCTGAAAATGCAAACTCTAAATCAGCAATTCAGCATCAACTCTTGAAACTCTGACTAGTACTGATCATAATAATAACAAAGCCTCCTAATCAGTTGCAATGAACATACAGTGCCTCCAAAGTAGCAATGTTTCCAATTTGCGACGGGATAGTTCCACTTAGTCTGTTACCCAAAAGAGACCTGCCAAAAAAAACTCCACAGAATTAATCAATCAAAACTTGCAGGAGGAAAGCTGCTTATGGTTAAGAATCTCTTCAAAACAGCGGGGATCGATCCTCATCACTTGCTTACAGAGTCGTTAAGTTGCGAAGCTGTGCAAGACTCGAAGGGAGGGTTCCATTGATGTAGTTGCGAGTAAGATCCCTAGCGAAAAACAAAACAACAACAGAACAACAACAAAAAATGATGTTTAACATGGTGTGTATCAGAGCTTTTGCATTCCCCTCAAATGAGAGACTTCCCATTTCACTTACAGCTCGGTAAGACGAGTCAGGTTCCCAAGTTCAGGTGGCAGAACTCCAGTCACATTGAATCCTTTCACTACCCTGTAGAGAAAGACGATCATCGCCATTGATACAATCAATACACCATTTCCTTCACTGGCCCAACTGATCGAAGAGATAATCAAGAAGAAATGGAAAGAGATGATCAAGAAGAAAGAATGCTTGGCTTACACGTTGGTGACATGACAAATGGTGCCACTGCCATAAGAACAGTCGCAGGTAACATTGCATTCGATGTCGTCGGCGATTGTGCGGCGCCACTGAGGGCTGCCGCAGGAAGTCCTCTCCACATTCCATCCGGTGTTCTGCAGCTTCCCAAGTGCTTCAACTGATCAATGTAAATTAAATAGCAGTAATTCCCCAGCACATGGAAAAGAAACTTTGATTAACTAAGTAAATGAGCTCGAGTTAAATTTTTGTTCTCCATATTAATGTGTATTCTAGATTGATCAAAAGTTCAAACATGTGGTTATACGAAAAGAAAAAATCTATATTTTGAACCATTCATAAGAGATAACACAAGTTAGGCAGCACGTTGGTTGGGCCAAAAACAGCAAGGGATAATAGCACATGTGTTGTTCTTCCTTGGCTAAATTATTCTTTTACCGATGGCCTAAGAAGAAGACGAAGCAAAATGGTGGTAATTGATTCCTGGTTTGACCGGCGGTAGGGCCCGGTTCATCACCAAAACTCCTAACCACTCCAATAATGAATTCGGGAGACTAACATTTACCACCTTAATCAGCAATTAGTTATGGATTGGACCGGGTATTATTTATTTCCCAAACCGGGGTTGCGGGTCAAAGACCGAGTCAGCACTGGATAAACCTTGTGCTCGGATTTTCTCCGCTTTTCTTAACTACTTCATGCATGCAAAGTTGAAGTCAAAGGAGGCGTTTTATCGAAAAACCACCCCCCAAGAAAGTTCATTAATGTTTGGTCAAAATCGCCATCCTGAGAAATAAAAGAGCACCTGGTTCTCTTACAGCAATAAATTAAGGTAAAAAAAAACTAAATTACTACGGAGCAAAAGTTGGGAGAATCAAAATCGCTAGACAATAATTCTCGAATATGATATCGAGTAATTTTGACTTGATTCGTACGATTGTAGCACAAATAAGGGTATGGATTCCTTATCTTTCATCGTGTCACAAGTATGTTAATTTTCTCAAATATCTAACTGTATTTATACTGCTTTGGTTCTTCTGAAAAAATTCAATAATTATGGCGTGAATTGAGCGATCTAAATCAGTCTAGATCAAACTTACGTAAATATTTATCCGACTTAACCTATAATTTACACAATGCATAAATAAATTTTAAAATTTTCATCTCGTCCTATTATCATCCCTATCTACTGCTTGGATAAAATCCTCTTGATCTCAAGTAAATTTCTTTTTACTTTTTACCACCCAAGAGATTGTTATTATGATTGTCATTATCAATTATTGTACAGCTGAGAGCCAGAAAATACTACCAAAAAAATTTAATACAGGAACCTACCCTACTCTGCCCTACCGTTGTGCTAGCAGCCAAGAAAGACTGGTTTTCCTGAAAACGACTGTCATTCAGATTTTTTTTTCCTCCATTCATCAATCAGTTTGCAGTTTGCATTTCCAGTCTCATAACCCTATCCATCCTTCCTCTATCGAAATTTTTCCAAATTCATTCTGAATTTACGAATCCAAACAATCTTCCTTCAGAAAATCGTCGAATTGCCGTAGAACACATGATGCATTTTGCCCATTAACGGCCAAGAAATGAGTAAACCACCAAGTAACTAGAAGACGGGGAAGAAACTAACAAAACCCACTTTCTGAACCACTAACGCAAGCCCGGAGAAACAGAAATCTGAGTGAAAGGGAGAGAAAGAGAGAGTTTGGGTTGCGTTGCGTACCTTCTTCTGGTGGAAGTAGAGGTGGGGAAACTTGAGCAAGAGATTGCAACTCTACGAATATGGACAGGCAACTCAACGCCAACAGAACGGCCGTCGACGTCGGAAACGGCATCGTATAAAGCAGCGTTTTCCTTCCCCCGTCGGCGCAGAGTGCAGTAATTGAAGGTACGACGAGAAGAGGAGATAAAGCTAAGCTATTGGGTAGAAATGGAAGGGAATTGGATGGAGTAAGAGATGGATTCGAAGGCGTACTACTTGCTGCAGGTGGCAAGCAGAGATGGGGATTTGATTTCTAGGAGGGAGAGGGAGACAGAGACAGAGAGGAAAGTGCAGAGGCAGAGTACTCTGTTTTTTTTGTTCATACAGAGATAAGGGCAGGACAGGGGAGAAATTGCAATGTGGTCTTCCTTTTTGAGCATTGAAAAAGGAGGGTACTGATTTGGCGACTGGACTGAAATTCTGTTTCTTTTTTTTACTTTTCACCCACCACGTTGTTCTGAATGAACATAAAAATGGTAATAAATCGAACATAAAAACATAGTAATAATTAATTAATACTTAATTCATTTATCCATATCATAAAATTCATATTTAGACCGTCGTCTCAACTTGACACGGAGTTCTTTGATAATGATGAATTTCGCTCATTGAGGAGACTCCATTTCTTTCTCGTTAGGTTTTTAACGGTCGGGCATTATTAAATTTTTAGTAAATTTTTAGTCGATTTGTTTATCGTTTTCTCGATTGATATAATCGTTGGGAGGGAACATAAACCTGATCAAATTCAACTGGTGGGTATCAAAGTATAAAGGAAGGAAGAACATGGGAAAGGACCAAACTAAAGCATTACATTCTTGTGGACGGATAGACAGGATCACCACTAGGTACTGTCTAATTATTTATGGAGATATGGTGTGAAATTGTCCGGAAGTGTGATTAATGTTAGAACGAGACAATCAAACAGGATGAGCGAACAACGAGGCGATGTGAGCCTTCAGCGGATGGGAATTGGTGTAACCGTCGCCGTTTTCATATATCACGCTGATGGAACGCGCGAAGTTGAGAACGCGATCCGTGAGGGCGACGGGCAACGGAGTTGGTTTCCGACACTCTTCGGCGATGTCTTTCCAGGCCTCCAAATCTCCTTCCAGAGAAATTCAACTGTCGCCTCCTCGGACGCATCATGCTCTTTCATGCAACATTCAACTGCCGAAGCAGCATGCTTCCTGTTCTGCTCAAACTGTGAATCAAGCAGCATCGGCTCGTCACAATGAAATTTTGGATCAACTTCGAATCAAAGAGTTACTAACTAAGCAAGCGATATTCGAACCTTTGTATCTTCAACTGTAATACATAAGTACTACATTTGTTCAGTCTTACATGACAATCGTCGATCGATGTTCTGATTGTTTTTCTTACACTACTACATTTAGCTAGTGCCAGTATACTGAAGATTTGAGTTTTCCTTACCTCTTCATTAGCATAGTCAACCGCAAAAGTAGGTCCTGATTTTGATAGTTCGATCTCGATTTCATCGTACAGGTCAATAATTACACGATACATATTCTTCATTTCGTTGGGTAGTGATTCAAGCGGGCTCACATCCAACCTGGAATGATTAAGCATATGGGTAACTTTTCGTTGGGTTTGGGTCTGTCTCGATCTCAAAAGTGCGCATATGATGTACAAATTGATACGTGCATATATGATGCTCGTGACGAATTTTATCAAACCTTTGAATGACCGTTGTAAGGATTTCAACCTCGTCGTACGTGCCAAAATTATCGTATGTGTCGTCTAAGAGGGACAACATCGATATGATCTTGGTAAGTATGATTCTTGCCGAGCGATACCTGGGCTCGAAGTAAACCGCGTAGATCCAATAATAACACTCCACAACTCTGTCCCTGGCGTACCGAAATCTGGTGGGTACTTGCAGGCCTCCCCACCACCTAATGAAAACAAGTTGTCCTCTGAGTGTCACACATATAAACTAACTCATTGGAGTAATATATGTTGGTCGCATTAGGGCAACTCACTCTGTGATCTCGCACAGCTCTCTCTGATGGCATTTCTGCAGCTTGTTGAAGTCCAACTTTGCGAACCTTAGGAGTTTTTCATTGTTGAAGCCATGGTCGTCGGAGTAGAAGTCGATGTAGTGCCTAGTAAGTGTTCTGGGGACACATTTCCACAGAGGAAGGTTAAGGGAAAACTTCACTTGCTTTTGGAATTGGGAAGTGCACTTGGTGAGAATGGACTTTAGGTTCTTGGTTGCAAAGACCAGGGCTTTGTCCAATATGTCTTCTCCATGAACGGCAACATGTGTTGCCTCGTACAAACTTATCATCCCTTGTTCGTCCGATGCCAACGATTCCTTCAACTTTCCTTCATCATTGTCCATGAACTTTGTAAACATATCTGCAACCCACTATCGTTATAATTAGTAGAATAGCAACTTGTCGATTTAGTCGCGTTTTGAAAGAGGTTTTGAACATTTGTTTATATACACCTGGGGTAACATGAAGGCCTTGTTGTCTGAGAAGACGAAACCAAAGAGCCACATGGCAGAGATCCGCCTTCTCGTGGGTAAGGAATTTCTCTCCCAGTTCATGTATTTTCTGAAGTGATTCCTCAATCTTAATCTCGTAGTGATATCCCACACCTAATCGTTGGACTGCATCTATCAACTGGAGCTTGAGCCCAACATCGGTCTCCTCATCCTCATCATTAACTATCATCACCATCTTCTCACCTCTTCCTTCAAAGACTCATATTCGGTTTCTAGCATAGCTCGATGAGCACTCTAAAATGTAACAATTACATAAATTATTCAACGACAAAAAGAAAATAATTGAGGGTACTTTTGTGATTCAAGCCGGTTGAACCACTGGTTCGATAATGGTTAAAACAAAGTGGATCTAAATTCTAATAGAAGTGCATATTTGATCATATGTATACTATAGGCAAAGCAGTCAGAATCGCGATTTTATGTAAAATCGAAAATGAGGGTAAAATCGGAATCGTAAAATCGTTGGATTTTAAGGTCCATATAAAAATGAATACGGAATAATATTAGTAAGGAAAATCATGAATAACACAAAAGCACGTAACACTTACAATGATAATTTTTCAAGGTTAATGTTAAGATGTGGTGAATCGATGATGATTAATACGTTGATGTGAATTGATTATAGTCGATGGTGGTTAGTGTGAGAGAACTAGATGATGTTGGTGGACGAGAAGAAAGAGGGGCGTAATTTTGCGAATTCTGGAGAAAATAAGTAAAATTGACTCCAACGTTTGAATCATAAAATCGTAAGATTTTAAGGATTTAAATAGTGAATAGTGTAGGATTTTAAGGCCCATAGCTTCTATAGTGAAATCAGAATCTGAACAGATAGGTCAAATCGTAAAAAAAAAACGTAGGATTTTAAGATTTAAATCGAGGTTTTGACTACTCTGATTGTAAGAAGGCAAATCACATTGTAATAAACCACCAACTAGTTTCAATACTAATCACACAGTGACGCGAATAATTGACCTGAGCATCATCAGCTAAATCATCATGGCAGAGGAAGCGATCTCCCCATAGTGTGAGATGATAGCTAGCCGAGATACGATCCATGGCTTCGGCGGCTGCGTTTTCCGGCGGTGCTGCAACGGCGGCGGCGGCGGTGGCTGGCAGGGATGTTGCAGCAGCAGCCATTTTCTGGTTCTGTCTAAAGATTCGAAGGTGTGTTTGTTTTTGGGTTTGGATGTGTTGTGACTTAGATGTCGATCGATGGCCCAATATATATATAGATAGATATATTGTCGGCGGGTGTGGACTGTGGACTACACTGCTGAGTGCTGATTCACATGGAGAGTATTTATACGATGATAAGAATATTTTAAATTTCCACAATTGTTGAAACTTGAAAGTGAAACCGTTTACTATATTTTATCATTAACGGTGACAAGGATTTGATGTAATCCCTCGCCACATTTTTTTGGGTGGTGTACTGGTGGTGCTCAAATAAACTATTAACACAAATAATGCGGTTAATTAGACCTCACAATCGGATCGGGTTGGGTAATTTTGGATTGTACCAAAGTAATATATTGTCAAATCCTCCCATGTTTCAATGAAATGAAATACAAATTGCGCGAATCGTCAAAAAAGAAAAATTACAAGAGTAATACTATTACAGTTACAGGAAACACATGATATTTGATTATCCTTAAACTCCAAACATGTCATTCAAATCCTTGCGAATTTTTTTAAACATATCACCAATTTATGAGTGATTTTATCATTTTGGGAGTGATCTAAAATGAAACGGATCGACCTGCTAACCAACCCAACCCGGCCCACAAAAATCACGGATTATCGAGTTTGGATCATTCGAATTTTGGGTTGTAAAAAACTTCTACTTTACATACCGATCAACGGGTCGGGTTGTAATTTCACAGCTCCCACCGAACGCATAAAGACAACCCCACAACCAAACAACCGGCCGGCCTGTAATCATTTCTACTTGTCCAGGCCCGTCTGGGCCCAGTTATGTCCAGACACATGATTCGTTGGAATACGTTCGGCCCAACCAAAAGGTGAACAAAATGGAACGCTGCAAACTAAATCTAGGCCCAACCCAACTTTGTAAATAATTTTTTTTTTGAAGTAAACTTTGTAAATAATTGGACTGCGTGGATCGGCTCCGGATAGCATAACAACACCTAAGGTGTTGTTATTATAACAACAGGGGTATAAGGGTAACTGCACAATAATAACTGCACAATAATTAAATAATTGTTTTCTTTTACCTGGCATTAATTTTGAAATTCAAAAATAATAATAAAATTCATTGAAGCGCGCGTTGAGACATTTCAGTTTTCCGCTTTCCCCTTTCCCCTTTCCCCTCTGCTCACGAACTGCTCACGAACTGCTCTCCGACGGGACGTCTGCTTCGGTCTCCCTGTTCTCGCCACCAAATTTGCATCTGCATCGAGCGATTTCGTCTGCGGCTTGTGGATTTCCTTCGCGCGATTCTGTTTCCTTCGTCGCCGAAGTGATTTTCGAGGTATGCCGGTGATTTCCTCCGATAAACTGGAACTGTCTTCTCCTCCGTCGTCAGTTTTGGTTTGCGAAGTCGCCGTTGTCGTTTAGCGTCGCCGGAGTTCCACTTGTATGGTGTTAGTTTGGCGTCGCCGTTTTCGTTTTCGTTAGCATTGTCATTGCTTGCTTCTGCTATTGAATTTACCACCTTCGTTTTCATGTTTGCCCTCTGTTACTTTCGTTTTCCAGTTTTCTGCGATGTTTTGACGCATGCAGTCTAAATTTGTTGAAGGAGACGAGGAAATTTCATAGTTGTGCGTTCTGGTTAGGTTTTGTTGGATGTTTCTTCATTTTTGTGGTGTGCTTTGATTATTTTAGGGTTTCTGGTTTCTCATGAGTCGTTTGTGGTGTTGTTTAGTAGTTCTGTTGTTTTTTTTCTATATTTTGGTGGTGCGCTTTGTGTTTGGTGACAGTTAGTGTGTTTGTGGGTTGGATTGGGGCCTTTCTGGAGGGTTTTAATAAAACTATTGTGTATTTTAGGGTTTCTGGTTTCTCATGAGTCGTTTGTGGTGTGCTTTGTGTTTGGTGACAGTTAGGGTGTTTTGTGGGTTGGATTGGTGCCTTTCTGGAGGGTTTTAATAAAACTATTGTGTACTTTCAGGCTACTGTTGGTGGTTCTTTTAAAAGGTTTTGTGGTTTGTGTTTCGGATTTCACAGTTTGGTTTAGAAGATTTACTGGTGTGCATTTGCAGTTGTTGTTTGTCTCCTTTACATCTGATTATTGAGTCGTTTGTGGTGGTGTTCAGTAGTTCTGTTGTTTTGTTCTTTTTTTTTTGGTGGTGCGCTTTGTGTTTGGTGACATTTAGGGTGTTTGTGGGTTGGATTGGGGCCTTTCTGGTGTTTTTCCAGGGTGATGTTGGTGGTTCATTTGGAGTTGTTGTTTGTCTGCTTTAAATTTGATTATTGGATTGTTTTCATGGGTTTACAGTTTGCATTAGGCCCTTAATGGTTTGGATTTTATATGTTCTGGTATGAGATTGCTTATGTTGGTTTGTGTTTTGGTTGCTTTGTAGGCATGGCACCTGCTAAGAAACGTGCAGTAAAGGGGAAAGAAAAGGAAAAAGTTCCAACACCTAAGCAAGAGAAAGATGGTGCAGTAAAGGGGAAAGAAAAAGAAAAAGTTGCAACACCTAAGCGAGAGAAAGATGGTGCTTCTTCTGTGCCTGGAAAGCCGGATAAGAGGCATCGTAGTAATACTAATCGTATTCTTGGCATCATGGAAGCTGACAGTACAAGTGAAGAAAAACTGCAGATGCTTGATCCTCTGGGTTTTAGGGGTGTGTCGAGGGTTAAGCTTACGAGACTCCCGGATAATTTTATTGAATGGCTTTGCAAAAGCTTTGATGTGAGTTCAAGGTCTTTCCCGCTGCTACGGTCAGGGAAGTTTAGAATTGGAGAGGCAGATGTGGAGAGAGTCTATGGTTTGCCGCGTGGACCGTATGTTGTTAAGCTGGATATGTTCAGTGCAGCCCAGAGGCACAGGTGGGGAATTGAGTTAGGGCTTTCCAATACTAAGAAAGGAAAGGCGTCATTGGCAAATGTTAAACTGGCATTGGAAGAGGAGAGGGACAATAAGAAGTGGAGGGATCTTTTTGTACTGTATGCAATGGAGGCAGTTCTGTGTCCCAGTGGAAATTTGAAGATTAACCTCTCCTATGCTGGTTTTTTGCAAGATGAAATGGTTGCTGACTTCACCCAATATAATTGGTGTAAGCATGTGGCTGACCATTTTAATGACAGTATGGTTGAAGTGGTTCAATCAAAGTCAAAGTTCCCTGGTGACGTTCATCTTCTTTTTGTAAGTGAATAAATATACCCCTTTTCGAATTTTGGTTTACTGTTTCATTTATGGTTTGTTTATTGACGAATGTGGTGTGGTTGAAGATGTTTATGGTTTGTTTAAGAGTTTTAATGGTTTGCTTTTGCCCCCCCCCCTGTGTTATAATGTTTCTGGTATTGTTTTTCATTTATGGTTTGTTTATTGACTAATGTGGTGTGGTTGAAGATGTTTATGGTTTGTTTAAGAATATTTATGGTTTGCTTTACCCCCCTTTGTTATAATGTTTCTGCTATTGTTTATCATTTATGGTTTGTTTATTGACGAATCTGGTGTGGTTGAAGATGTTTATGGTTTGTTTAAGAATATTTATGGTTTGCTTTTGCCCCTCCCCCCCCCCCCCCTGGTTGTGTGGTGTGTATTATAATCTTTCTGGCACAGTTTGTTTGTGGTTGCTTGACTTCTGTCTGTTTGTATATGTGGCAGATTTCGATTCTTGACCGTGTGAAGAACCCCCCTGAGCTGCCCATACCGACCTGTAAGCATAGGTCGTACAAAGTCGCAAGTGCTGCTTTTCAAGTACTGATGGACGAAGGTCATCTCAATATTGGTCATCGAGATGTAGTGATGGAAGAAGAAGCAACCTCCAGTCAACCAATGGGACGAGAACGTGTGCTGGGTTCAAAGAGGAAAAGGCCGGTAGATGATCTTGATATGGTGAGGGAAGGGGATCTTCCGAAGCTTCCCCATCTTGACCTCAACTTGGATGGTGTTCATTCGGTTGAAGAAGTGAGTGATTTTTTCTGTGTTATTCGTTTTATGTCTTTCTTTAGAGTACTTTCAGTGTGCTTTACAAGTATAGTGGTTTGCATTAGTTTGTTTACGGAATACTTTATTTTATTCATGTGCTGGTTAGTTGTGTTTTCTGTTGTTTGTTCTTTGGCTTGCTTTAGTGTACTTGTGGTTTCTATTAAAAGAATAGTGGTTTGCATTACTTCGTTAAAGGAATATTTTATGGTACTCATCGTTTGGTAGGTGTTTTTCTGTGAGAACTCAAACATATGTGGTTCGTATAAGTGTGTTTTAGGTGTTCATTAAAAGGAATGTGAGATTCTTTAGAAGGTTTATGGTTTGCTTTTGGGCTGTTCAGTAACTTTGGGCTGTTTTCGTGTTTTTGTAGGCATATCAGTTGAAGAATGACATGGAAAGTTATAAGAGGGCTTTGTTGAGGATGGCTGCTCATTACAGTTCGAGCATTGAACAAGTTGATGATCATATAAAGATGCTGGAGGGGCAGCAACCAGAGGATAGTCCTGAAGATAATGTCGATTTCACTGATAGAGTTGATGATGTTTCTGTTGCTAAGGGAACCAATGATGTCGGTCGCAATGCATCTGCTGCCAATGCTGATGATGAGACTGGTGCTAACAGTCCAAAGTCCCCGGGTCTTGATGATTTGTCAATGGAGATGGATAAGGATGGTGCTGGTAGTGTTGATGTTGTGGTGCCAGATGTTGGTCACAATGATCCTGCTGGCACTGCTAATGATGATACCTCTCCTAAGGGAGTGTTAGATTCGGAGGGACTTGATGATCATCTTGATAATCTGACAATGGAGATGACACAAAAAAGTGTTGATTCTGAGAATGCTAAGAAGGTGATGGAGATGGACAGCTGTGAGGAAAAGGGACAAGGTGATGATGGAGATGACAATGTTGATGCTGCTAAGTTGGATAACTTGGTTGAGAAGGTCGTAAAGGTATTTTTACTGTTTTGTGTTTGAATATTTGTGGTGTGGATTATACTGTTTTTGGTTTGTTTGTCATGTCTTTTGTAGTTGGTTGTTTTGCATTTGTTAGTGGTGTGGTTTACATATATCTGGTTTTGTTAAACACTTTTGTGGTTTGGTTTCTGTAGTCTGCTATGGGGGATGTTTGTGAAGATGTGGTGGTTGATGAGAAAAGGAAAGAAGCTGATTCTGAGAATGCTAAGAAGGTGATGGAGATGGACAGCTGTGAGGAAAAGGGACAAGGTGATGATGGAGATGACAATGTTGATGGTGTTGATGCTGCTAAGTTGGATAACTTGGTTGAGAAGGTCGTAAAGGTATTCTTACTGTTTTGTGTTTGAATATTTGTGGTGTGGATTATACTGTTTTTGGTTTGTTTGTCATGTCTTTTGTAGTAGTTTGTTTTGCATTTGTTAGTGGTGTGGTTTACATATATCTGGTTTTGTTAAACACTTTTGTGGTTTGGTTTCTGTAGTCTGCTATGGGGGATGTTTGTGAAGATGTGGTGGTTGATGAGAAAAGGAAAGAAGCTGATGCCGGTGAGGTGCTTGAGGGTGGTGATGGTCGTGGAGATTTAACATTGAGTCAGCTAGTTAGGGAGGGAAAGGTAATTTGTTATACAAAGGTAATTTGTTGTACTATGTTTCAGTTTTGGTTTGTGTTAGTTGTTTTTAGTGTTGTTTTATCTAATTTGTGGGTTGCTTTAAAAATCAGAAAAAATTTAAAGTGAAGAATGCAGGAAGCTCATCCGGTGTTGATATTGATGTGTTGAAGGGTGCTGTGTTGCGATATGCAAGGGATTCGAATAACTTGTAAGTTAATGTGTATAGATTTCATACATATGCGGTTGTTTGTATATATTTTTTTATATAGTGCTTATTAGTACTTTTCTAATGCCGACTGTTTTGTTTGTTATGGATTATGAAAAATAGGAAGGAAATCCTTTTCAGTCGCATTGATGGATTCGATTGCTTGTATAGAAAGGACACAGAGACTTTGGCACATGGGAAATGTGTAAGTGTGGATGTTATTGACTGCTATGCTGCCTATCTGAATCGGGAGCAAGTGAGAAGAGGGCAACTGAAAAGATGGGTGTTCTATTCAGGGCTGGCGGTGAGTTACATTTTCTGCTAGTTCTGTTTTGTTTTAGGGTTTTTGTGGTGTGCATTATAATAGGTCTGGTTTGGTTTAAGGGTTTTGTGTTGTGCATTATAATACGTCTGGTTTGGTTTAGGGTTTTTGTGGTGTGCATTATAATACTTCTGGTTTGTTTTAGGGTTTTTGTGGTGTGCATTATAATACGTCTGGTTTGTTTTACTGTGTTTATGTTGTGTTCTACCTTGTAGCAAAGAGTGCAGGGGATAGTGAAGAACGAAGGACCACTGCCTAATTTTTTTGAAGAGACTGATGAAATTATTACAAGTTGCAAGTGGATACCAGATGGTTTGGATTTCTCACAATGTGATTATGTATGTATTTTTTTAGTCAGATTTGCTAGATTGTTTCATGTGTGTTTTTTCTTCATTGTGCTTTTGGAGTACTGACTTGTTTTTGTTCTGCATGCAGTGGATGTTCCCCCACTGTTCTGATGACCACTACAGGATGTATGTAGTGAATCTGAAGAACAAACGGTATGATTATCTTGACAGCCTTTACCCTGACGACCTTGATTCCAAGTTTCGTGCTGTTGCGGATATGGTGGTCCGCTATGCCACAGAATACATTCCTGCCTGCAGAAAAGAGCCCTTCAAATTTGAAGAATTCAAGTGGGTTAGACAGCGAGGGGTGAGACAACGTGGTGGGATTGACTGTGGTGTTTTTACTATGAATTTTGCTGAGTTTTGGGATGGCAAACTGCATCCAGCTATGAGGAATTGGCAAAGACAAATCAATCAGAGGCGGGATGAGATCACATTAACATTGCTGCTGAACAAGGAGAACAGTGTACTTGAAGAGGTGAAGAAGAAGAGTTTGGAGTTTGATCGCAAGGTGGACTAGCTGATTTTAGCATGCATTTGCAAGAACAGTTTCAGATTTCAGTGTGTTAATATGTGTTTTAGTGTGTTAATGGTGTTGATTAAGAGGATTTGTGTTCGTCGTGTATGGTGTGTATTATAAGACAAGTGGTTTGTGTTAATACATAAGTGGTTTGCTTAATGAGTGTTCTGGAAAGTTTCCATATGTTTGTGGTTTGGTTTTGTTAAGAGGTTTCGAAGTTTGTTTTCTTTCCTGTATGGTGTGGTTTGTAGTGTTTATGGTTTGGATTAGGTGGTCTGTGGTGTGGATTGTAGCGTTTTTGGGTTGGTTTAGGTGGTATCTGGGTTGTTTAACCTTGTTCGGTGTGCATTGTGGTGTTTATGGTTTGGATTAGGTGGTCTGTGGTGTGGATTGTGGGGTTTTTGGGTTGGTTTAGGTGGTATCTGTGGTTTGTTTAACCTTGTTCGGTGTGTATGGTGGTGTTTATGGTTTGGATTAGGTGGTCTGTGGTGTGGATTGTGGGGTTTTTGGGTTGGTTTAGGTGGTATCTGGGTTGTATTCAACTGTATCTGTGTTGATCAAATATTATCAACAACCTGCAACTGTTCATATTTGTCTCATAGTTGTCATTGAAATCTAAAAGTTTATGACAGAAAAAAAACACGGATAACAACAAGGAAACTAATCACTCATTGTTGCTTGTTGGCGGCCTGTTCATCAATTCTTTGCTTTCTAGCCCTCTCCAGTGCTACCTCAAGTCCACCTCTTGGCCTCTTCTTTGATTTCCATGGGTCTTTTCGAGCCTTGAATCCCTTCACATTGGCATACTTGTCATTTGTAGCTGAAGCAGCAGCGCTTTGTGAGGGTGATGTATTGGTGGTTCCATCTGTTGAAAAAGCAATATGCAAGATACTGGTGAACATAAGTAGGGATTAAGCAATTAGTGGATTGGATTAAGATGTTTATGGTTTGCATTAGATCATTTGTGGCTTGGATTAAGCAATTACTGGTGAATATAAGTAGGGATGCTAACAAGATGTGTGAAATTACCAGGTACTGTTTGCTAAGTTTCTTGAGTCTGAAGGCTTTGGAAAGCTAGTTTAGTGAGCTCTGCAATCTTCTCCTTAACCATTGAGAAGACCTTGTCATTCATTGAGACTTTTGTTGCTAGGATAACCATGCTAGCACACAGTTCTTGATACCTCCCTGCATAAGTATCTGTTGCAGCACATTCTGTTGTGTTTATTGTGAACTTCTCTCCAGATTTGGCATCTCTCGTCCATCGTGGCAGAATGTATTCCTTAGGGATAGTCAATTGCTCAATATCATCACCATTGAATCCAACCATCTCTATCTGCCTGATTACATGTCTGCACAACCAGCCTGAACTTTCAAACAAACGACATGAGCACTTGTATTTCTTCTCCTCTTTGTTCACTAACACGACTCTTTTGCCGAATCCTCCTAGTTTCTTCACTTCATAAGCTGTCATTCCATCTCTATCCATAGATTCATTCCGGAACACAAAAAAGCAAGGCTTTCTGAATACTCCTCAAGGAAAGAACTGTAGATCTTAGTTGTGTATAATTTTGCGACTTGCTGAACAAGTGGGCTTCTGTCATACCTGTTGGAAGATGACATACAACATACAATCATTCATAAAACATCTTGTCTACATTAATGATTTTATGGTATGTATTGTACTGTTTGTGGTGTGGATTGTGGTGTTTATGGGTTGTATTAGGTGGTCTGTGGTGTGGATTGTAGGGGTTTTGGGTTGGTTTAGGTGGTATCTGGGTTGTTTAAGCTTTTGCGGTGTGCATTGTGGTGTTTATGGTTTGGATTAGGTTGTCTGTGGTGTGGATTGTAGGGGTTTTGGGTTGGTTTAGGTGGTATCTGGGTTGTATTCAACTGTTCTGTGGATGCATTCTACAGTATAAAAAGTTCAAATAAAGGAAGTAATACGTACATGTTGTTTGGGACTGTGTTTGCCATTTGATAATCCATGTCCATTTCGTCTGATCTTTTCCGTTCGAGCAACTTGTTGAAGTATGTGAAGAACTCAACTAGGTTGTCATCTGGTTGAAGGTAGTTTCGGAGGTTGCTGTTACAAGACTCACTCAGCTGTGAGCTTCGCATACCAGCTGTGAAGTGGTCCTTAATCCATGCTGAAGACCACTGTTTTCTCACCTTGTAAATTGAATCCAACCAGTTCCTTGGATTGGTGCCTTCTTCTGGATAATATGTGTCTAGCAACCTTGACCAATTGTACTCAAATTCTTCCTCATTTTCTACTCCAAAAGTGACATATTGTAGATCTTCTAGAATGTTTGTGTTTGTGGTGTCGAGATGCTTCATTGCATTCTGCTTGATATGAAAAGTACACAAGCCATGGAATGCTTCAGGAATGACGGATCTAATCCCAGCGGCGATTGCAGCAGCTTGGTCGGTGAATATTGATGTTGGTCGGCTGCCTGACATACATTTCAAGAATGCATCGAACAACCACTTGAATGTAGCGGTTGTTTCATCATATAGGAGAGCAGCCCCGAAGATGCAAAGTGCACGATGGTGGTTGAAGCCAACAAACAAAGCTGTAAATTAAAAATAAAAAAAGAACAACATAGAATTAAACATTGAAACAAACAAAGGCTGTCTTTTTTGATATATATGGTGTGCTTCAGGACGTTTTTAGTATGGTTTAGGAGGTTTGTGGTATGCATTGCGTAATGTTTGGTTTGCATTCAATTTCGAAATATCAAGAAAATTATCTAGTGCAAGGAATCCTTCTTAATGCAAACCACAAACCTTTTAATGCACACCACAAATCTTATAAAACAGACCACAAACCTCACAAAGCAAACCACAACATTTGCGGAAGCAGACCAGAAATCTATTAATGCAAACCACAAACCTCACAAAAGAAACCACAAACCTCACAAAGAAAACCACAAACCTCACAAAGCAAACCAGTGCAAGGAATACTGACCTAGTGGACGATAATTCTGGTTTGTCCTGTATGTGGTGTCGAAGCTGATCGTATCTCCGAAGCAACTGTAGTCAAACCGCATTCTTGCATCAGCCCAGAATATACTTGCAATATCTTCGTTACTATCTACCTCAATTTCATAGAAGAATGATGGATTCTTGTAAGCTTCACGGCGAAAATGTGTAAGAAGTATAGTTGCTTCGCCTGGTTTCATTGATTTCTGCCTTGTCCCTGTGATATAGTTCTTCAGATCATGAAGGGTAAAAGGTACATTCTCCCTCCCCCCTGAAGTTGTGGTGAACAACTCATATGATTTCCGTAGTGAAACTCCACAATCTGCATGCACTTTTGCGACCATTGCATGCATTTCTGAGATCCCCTTGTTCGACCTCAAGAGATGTTTGAATTTTGGAGGGAGGAGATCATGGTTGTGTTCTGTTATCCACTTGTCCAGCAGTCATTCATCCTTCTCGATATCATATCTGAATTTGATTATAGCTGGGCAGCCAACTCTAGTTTCTGGTACAGCACGTTGATAAGCCTTCACATCTATTGATCCTTTATTCTTGGGATTTGACTTGCTTGTGGTCTTGTATCCTTCTTTGCTGCAGCAATACCTAGCATATCGTGCTGTTTTGGTTGGCTGTCTTTTTGTAGAACGTTTGACAGCTCCCATGTCCCTCACGCTGAAGCCAAGGTCGTGAGCATAGTTCTTGTAGAATTGTTTTGCTTCCTCAATGGTTTTGAATGCCAACCCCAAACTAGTGTAGTCTGACTCGGACCTGTTTGATGTCACACCTGTAAGCAATGATGAAAGAAATGAGCACTTGATCATTTCATCTTGCGATAATTTTTGCTAGAAAAGTGTAAAGTGGTTTGGGTTGTAGTTATTCATGATGCTTTTATGACATTTATGGTTTGCATTACAGTGTATGATTTTTTTTACAAACAGATTGGGGAATGTAACGATTAACGTTTTAATGGTGTGTATTGAAGGTGTTTTGGTGCGTTTAAGAAGTATTGTGGTTTGTTTTGGGAAGAATGTGGTGTGTTTGGCGATGCTTTTGGTATCGTTTGTGGGATTTTTGTGGGCGGTTTAATGATTTCATCTTGCAATGATATTTGCTAGAAAAGTGAAAAGTGGTTTGCATTGTAGTTATTCATGAATCTTTTATAACATTTATGGTTTGCATTACAATGTGCTTTTTTTACAAACAGATTGCAGAATGTAACGATTTAGGTTTTAATGGTGTGCATTGGAGGTGTTTTGGTGCGTTTAAGAAGTATTGTGGTTTGTTTCTAAAGTGTTTTGGTTGATAGTCTCTTTTTTTCCTGTGGTTTGTTTTGGGACGAATGTGGTGTGTTTGGCGATGCTTTTGGTATCGTTTGTGGGATTTTTGTGGGCGGTTTGATTGGTAGTGCTTATGATATGGTAAATGGCTTGTATAAGCGTGATTGTGGTGCTCATTGTAAGAAAACAGGAAGGATTGAGTTGAGCGTACCTTCTTCTTGTTCATTGTTGCCACTGTTAGTGGAAATAGAGGTTTCCAGCTGATATCCAACTTCTGTTGCATTTTCAGAAGATGTTGCAATTTGCAGGAGTTGTTGAGCATCTACAGAACCAACAGAAACTTCATCTACACGATTCTCGTCCATCGTCAATGTCTTAGCTGCGATCAGGAGCTTGCTCAGCCGTCGCCGCCGTTGCTGTAGCTGCTGCGATCAGATCTCGTCGCCGTTGCGTTGCCGCCGTTGCTGTAGCTGCTGCGATCAGATCTCGTCGCCGTTGCTGTAGCTGCTGCGATCAGATCTCGTCGCCGCCGTTGCTGTAGCTGCTGCGATCAGGATCTCGTCGCCGCCGTTGCTGTAGCTGCTGCGATCAGGCTCTCGTCGCCGCCGTTGCGTCGCCGCCGTTGCTGTAGCTGCTGCGATCAAGCTCTCGTCGCCGCCGTTGCGTCGCCGCCGTTGCAGTAGTTGCGTTGCTCCGATGAGGATTCGTCGCCCTCGTTCAGCCTCGGCGCCGCGCGATTGGACAGAGAGAGAAACGGAGAGAGAAACGAGCTGGAAATTTTCGGACAAAAGGAGCTGGAAATTTTCGGAAAAGGAGCTGCCAATTTTTGGTAGGACAAAAATGCCCTTCCTTTGTATTTTACCCTAGTCAACGCATGATTTTCAAAAGTATGCAGAATGGTGGGTTCCTATTGGTCCACCTATGTTGTTGTTACTATAACAACAAATATGGTGTTGTCACCATATCCGCTCCCGAGATCCAGCGATTCTCGATTCTGCGATTGTTTATTTTATGAGCATATTAAAGTTTTTCTTTTGAGGACCATAAACTAGTTTAATTTGGTACATGGGTTGATGGGAACAGTAACTTATAGATACTAATGCGGCGTTGGTATCGGTATTTGTGATATACCGAACATCGTATTGAATTTGTTGATATTTGGTATTATCGAATTTACATTTTTTGGGGGATTGAGAATGATATTGAATTTCAAGTGTTATTTGATATTAGAGATTATGAGATTGGGATTGGTATATACCGAAAACTCGATCAGTACTGAAATATAGTGCTTATGGGTTGCTGAGTCGTTCCATGTTTGAGTTTGTTGGTTTAGTTGTTAATTTGCTTCTTAGGCACCACACTTTTCTAGTGTACTGTTAACTTGTTATTATACTTGAGATTTTTTTCCATTTGGTTTGTACTAGTGTTGGCACCACATCATTGTTTGTTTTTGTATGTTTTGACTTTTGAGAATGGTTTGTAGGGCTAGTATTTGCTATATTTGATTTGTAATTTGAAGAAAAGTAATTTGGTATCTCGTATATCTCGATACCGAACAAAATTTTATGGAGTGAGGATGAGAAACCGAATCTATTTTTTCGATTGAGATTGTAATTAATTTTAGAATACAATTTGATATTCATAATTTTGATATTTGGTCTCGGGATGCTATTTGATTCCCACCCTAGATACGAATATTATGATTGCCCTCCACGTGTGACCAAATTTTGGTTAAGGGTAAACTCCTGGCATATCAGACTGACACTAAACTTTTCTCGTTGAGCTAAAAACCATATGATAATCTCATATTTCCCCCACAGATTATTGAACCCAGATCTAGCCTTCCCCATCACTTTTGACCACAAAAAGATTCTGGTCAATGTGCCACCCACGGGCAACGATATAACCCATTAAATAATTCAGATCCTAAAAGCGGCACAAAATTGTCTAAAATGGAATCTTTCGTCGATAGTTCGATTGTATAGAAACTATTGTCTTTTATTATAGACCGTCATGTAATTCGATTTTCCTGGTTACCGTCTTCTTAACATATCTTGGAGAAAAACATAGGGAAAAGAAAAAAATTAAGCCAAAATAAGAGGAAAAGTTAGGCTGGTCCGATATGGACTCTACATCTATAAAGAATGCAAGATGCCTCCACTGTGAATTATCGCTAATTTGATTGCATAGAGATAATCGTGTTTGGATATATACAATCATGTAATATGATTTTCTTGGTTAGGCTCCCTCCAACCATGAGAGTCAAAATCCCAAAAATGTAAATTTGAGAGGCCATTCTTCTCCAACCATCCAAAAATGATGAGCTAAAAATGAGAGAGATCAATTTGGGGGGACTAAAAATGGGAGGGAGAGTGTGCAAATGTGTAAAAAATAAGCGGTCATATTTTAACACCTATATTTCAACGGTCATAAAAATGGCTATAAAAATACGGTTATAAAATTTCATACTTCTCTTATGTCTTTATCATTAGTTTCTGCACAACTCATTCAAGCATAAACCAAAATTCTTTCAACTCTCACTCCTACACTCTCTCATTCTTTTCCGTTTCCGAAAGCAAGCAAATGACGTCCTCCAGCAGAGGAGATGGTTTTATCGGGAAGAAGACATATTGATATTATTGTCTACGGCTTGAATAAGAGTATAAGAAAATGCGACGGTCGACCACCAACCAAAAATGCTTAAAGTTTTGGGAAAGAGTTTGGGAGGAGGCTAATCGGCTTGATATTGGTACTAAATATCTAAAGGATCACACTCTAGATGCTTTGGAAGGTGGATGGAGACTTATTAAAAAGAAATCATGCACCTTTTGAAAAATGCTTTGGCGAAGACAAAGAGGAGTCAACCGAATGGCACAGTAATAGAATAACAACTATTTTTCGATAAAAAAATTATGCTCGAATAAAAAAAATTCTTTGAAAAATTTGTTTCACTTAATAATGACCAACTATGAAAAAAGTTAACATGTCTCGGAGAGTCTTACCATCTCCGAGAGTCTTACTATCTTCTTCACATATCTCAGAGAAAAACATAGGGGGAAATAAGGTGGGACGAGAAGAAAAGTGCATGACGAACGACCAGCTGCGTGTCGCCACAAAAGACCAACAACCAAAAAATTATGCGTTGGACACCAGTTCCTCAAGGATTGTAAAGATCGAATAGAAAGTTGTATCGAAAAAGTTAGTAATATGATGTTTTTATCGATATCATTGTTCGACCGTTTTATATACCGATATACTGACCTGAACTCCAATGGACAAATTTTTCGGTCACGTCACCGGTACCATACATTTTCTTACAAACACTACATTTCATAGCATCTCCTAGAACGAATAATTCCGCAACGAATACTTCTGAGATGCCCTCATAAAATTCTCCAAAAACAAATAAAATTAAAAGTCATATCATCTTACAATCAAGCCAACAAAAACTATTGCATTTCCTTTGATTAGTCTTCGTTTCTTGTTTGATTTGCTAAATAGTCAAATACTTAACATGATTATGGGCAAACAAAATGAATAATAACATACAAACAAAGAAAAGCAAAATGGTGCATTCAATGATACACAAACAAACAAAACTGCAAAAGTGAAAGCCAAAACAAGCTCAGATAACAGGAAAGAAAGAAAAAAACAGAGGATGTAATGCAAATAAAGTGGAGCTAAAAATGGAGGAACTCATCTAGTCTTCCTCTCCTTATAGTCATCCACCACAGTCACTGGAATCGATAACGGTGGCTTTCTCTGAGAAAGAGAAAGAGGAAAGGTTGGGGGGTTTGAACTTTGAATTCACACCCTGTGCTGTCACTGTGTGAAGAGAAAGAGATAAAAAGGATAGGGGGGGAAAAAGGCCTAGAGAGAGAGAGAGAGGAAAGCTTGCCTTAAATTACGTTTCCCGTTTGCTGAAGAAAGGGGGAGAGAGACAGAGAGAGAGAGACGATGGTGGGCTCAGGAGGAGGAGGAGATAGGAGCAGCAAAGAAGCGGTGGGGATGATGGCACTTCATGAAGCACTCAGGGCCGTCTGTCTCAACACAGACTGGATTTACTCTGTTTTCTGGACTATTCGTCCTCGCCCGTACTCAACTCTCTCTGTCTCCCCTGCTTTTTTCTCTCTCGATTTGAGCTGTTTCCTTAAAATGGGTAACCAAAGCAAGGGCTAAAAATCGTTCCTTTCTCTTTGTGGCAGGAGGGTCAGGGGAGGCAATGGTTGCAAGGTTGGGGACGACAATGGAAGCTTGTAAGTTTCCCCTTCTCCTTCCCCTGCACCACAAAGCTCTGTTTTTTTGTTCCCATTTTGCTCTTTGTGGGTTCCCATTTTTCCTGTTTTGCTTCCCCATTCTTTTGTACTACTCTGTTTGGTCTACAGAGAGAACAGAGGCGACCCTCTGTTTGGTATCTGGTTTAATCCCACAACCGATTAGTACGATATGGTATCGTACTAATTGATCATGATTAACAGAAAGTTTTTGAATTTGAAGGATGTTGATGTGGGAAGATGGATATTGCCGAGGAAGAACGGGAGGAGATGGATTCGACGACAGCATTGATCATGGGGAAGAAGATCCTGTGCGCAAAGCATTCAGCAAAATGTCTATCCAGTTATATAATTACGGAGAAGGGTGGGTACTCCGTAAAGTGTCTTTCTTTCTCTTTTCTATCTTTGTTGTGATTGATTGAGTCATTTGGGTTGTGATTCTGTGTTTTCATGAGCAGGTTAATGGGGAAGGTTGCTTCAGATAAGTGCCATAAATGGGTGTTCAAGGACCCATCTGAATCTGAACCAAATGTCGCCAACTACTGGCAGAGCTCTTTTGATGCTGTATGTAATACTAATTGACTGATTATATCATTAGATGTTGGGATTTCTTTGTCTACAAGTTTCCATTTGTTATTTGGATCGTATTTGTGAACTCTGTAATGGAGATCAAGCTGGTGAGATTAGCCATCCAAGTTATAGTAACAAAAGTACCAACTTAACCATCTGTATTCAATTTAATCGATATAACCGGTTAGTATGTTCTCGTTGTAGCTTGCATTAGTATAATTCTATGGCTGAAGCTTGACTAAGATGGGCTTGTTTTGGTGTATTTCTTATGCAGCTTCCCACTGAATGGACTGATCAATTTGATTCTGGGATTCAGGTTAATCGCAAATCATGATTGTGTAAACTTGATAACTGTGTTCTGTAAACTTCAAATCTGACATGTTTTTTTGGTGACAGACCATTGCTGTGATTCAAGCTGGCCATGGCCTACTCCAGTTGGGTTCCTGCAAGATTGTGAGTACTCTTTATCTTTCTTTCTGAATGTTCTGTAAGTGCCATAAATTTGGTGTGCATCTCATGACTGAAATTTGGTTTCTTGTTTGCTTATCAGATAGCTGAAGACCTGCATTTTGTGCTGAGAATGAGGCACACATTTGAGTCACTAGGCTATCAATCAGGCTTCTACATCTCCCAGCTCTTCTCCTCCACCACCACCAGAAACAACAATTCTTCATCACCTTCAATCCCATCCAAGCCATCTCTAATGATCCCCACCCGGGCTCCCCCGATTTTCAACTGGGGCCATGGCCAAAGGCCACTCCCACCATCTGCAGCAGCTTCCATGCTCCCCAACTTCCACAACCCAGAAAGTCGATCAATGGGGTTCCCAACACAAGGGAAAGAAGAGCCACCACCACCACATATGTTCCTGCTCCCACATTCGTCGCCTTCCCCAGCGTCGGAGCACAATCGAATGGAGGGGATGATGATGGGGACAGGAGGGGAGCATGAGAGCGACATCAAGTGGCCTAATGGCTTGTCTTTCTTCAGTGCACTGACTGGAAGAACAGACGTGGATGCCAAGCTCTTGTCTGGAACCAACAACAGCTCTGAAGCTTCTGAGATGCATGATAGTCATCCATTTTCGTCGTCTGGCTCTCGACCGGATGGCTGTCCCAGCTCAAGAAGCTACTTGGAATGATTAAGGAGAGTACTGTAGTAGGGTTTCTTTGTTGTTGAGCTTTTGTTTCCAGGTTCAGTTTTAGACAAACTGTAGCAGTAGTACTGTACTTTTGCTAGTTTCTTATCATATAGCTGGTGTTTCTAATTTGATAATCCTAAGCTTAGGGGTTAATACCACTATGAATGTCTGAATCATGCTCAGATTATCATATGTAGTGTGTCAAATTTTTGAAACGAGATGAAAGTCCAGAATACACAAGCTACATGTCGCTAGATTTCAACAGTTGACCAGACTATGATTTATTTTCTTCGTTGAAGTCGATGTATCATATGAGACGTGACTCGAACATGTCTAGTTTTGAAGGCTCTGTGGCTAGGGAATGAACGGTGGAGGAAATGATGACACCAATACTGATCAGACCAATTCAATACTCTGAAGAATCCTTCTCTTTGTTATCTAATTAGTATAATAAAATTAGGGTTTTGAAAGTTTGTTTTAGATCAAATTGGCATTGGGTTTCTTACTTATGTAAGTCGTCCACATGATGTTGTTGCAAGGACCAGTGGACGACACAGCTCCCAAAATATACTCTTTTGAGTTAGGATTTCTATATAGAAAGCTAACTAGAGGAGAGACCACCGGGGAGACAGGATGTGGAATGGATGGTCAAGCAAAAAAAAAAAAAAAAAAATCAACAAGTGCTAAATCGTAATTAATTAGGGTTATCATGAATCAGCATGATGTCAGGAATCAAAATCCAGTAATACTATATGTCTATATTGGATGTTGTACCAGAAAAGATAAATATTTGCGAATAATTTGTGGTTCAATCATAGTTTAATCCATTCGTATCGATAAATTTATATACTCGCTTGAGCTTTGATAGCCGATTTTTTCAACGGACCGACCGATATAGTTTAGCAAACATTGGTTTGTATATTAGCATTATTTTCCTCTGGTTTGCAGATACATGTAAGAGAATCGAGTTTTTTTAAAATGCGATTTATCATAACAATTCGAGTTATCTGTTGGAACAACTAGGTGAGTTATTAGATGGTAATATTGTATTCGTATAGTACACAAGGAGAGTTACGTGACTCAAATCCTCTTCCTCAAGGTTCTATTCTTGTTACTTTAGGTACCGTGTTATTCCAATAACTTAAGTTGTTGGGAGATACCAATAACAATGATCTTGTAGGGATTCGAACTTGTAATTTCCGTTGAAATGCTCTTATACAAATAACGAAAAATTATGTGATACAAATAGTTCAAGTTATCCACACCCCAAATGTGAGAACTTATATCATTTCCTTACACCACGATGGAAAACGTATTTTGACAAGCTTATATTCATGTCTTGAGGGCTGGATGAAATCCTTCTCTACATGTCAAAAGAAGTGTTTCTGAATTCTGATGAGCTATCAAGAAGGAACATAATCTTCAAACTATTGAGTAGTCCCACAAAGAGGACTCTTTTGGGATCAAGTCCCCCTCCTCAAAGAGGAATTTTTTTTGTGTCGTCTCCCTTTTGGTCTTCTTTTGGGAGACGTTAGGGTCCCATTGCAACTCAACATGCCCTAATGGACCACCGGTCAGCTCTAGATTCTTGGTCCACACTCCAAACACTGCCTTCCCTACCAAGAAACCCACATGTTTCCCCTATTCCATTTTATAACATCCACATCCCAACTCACACCAAAACATATAGTCGGCTTTTGACTACTCTCTTAACAATGTGTTCGGAGATTCATTCGACCATGATTTCCTCGTTTACCACTTCATATGATGGTACGTGAACGTGGAGAGTGCTAATTGTTGTCGGTTGTAGACAAGCTAATAATACACGGGAGGATTTTCACCAACACCATGTTACTGAATGATCAAACATTTTCTACCGCTAAGATCTCCTAACAATTTCGATTGGGTATTTTTAATATCCGGATGGCGGATGGTACGATAGGGTTTGTCAAACATTGATCTCAGTGGATAAAAGATAAATAAGGGGTCGTTTGGATGGGTTTATTGTCAATGTGGTATTTGTAGAGTCAAATAACTCATTTATTGCTCATGTGGTATTCCAGTGTTATTTTAGTGGCAATTGAAATAAAGTATCTCGTTTGGTTGAACCATGCAAATGTGGTATTTGACATGTGGTATTTGGTAAAAGCAGAGTGATAAAACGAGTTATTTCGAAATAACACATGAGTATAAGTTATTTCAAATAACTCGTTTTGAGTTATTTGTAAATAACTCACTGTCCAAATAACTCATTTCACTAAAACGCTGCCAAACGAGGTATTTTTTTTTCCAAGAAATGTCAAGAGAAAACCTATACAATCTACCCCGACCCTGCCCAACCCAATACATCAGAGAAGCCAACCCACAAAATCAAAGGCGCAAAACTCTAAAGGGGAGAGTAACAGTGCTTTCTGCGCCACTCTATGGGCAGCACTGTTAGCAGTCCGAGGAACTGCCCTAAACTCTAAAGAAATAGAGACGGAAGAAAGGAGAAGGGAGCAATCCCGAAGCACCGGACCTCCAAGGAGTCAGAGAGAGCACCTTGACGAAGCTGCCGAATCACCACCTCTGAATCTCCTTCTATGATGACCCGAGGCAGCACTTTGGAGACTACAAGGGCGATGGCGTCCCTAGCTGCTAGGAGCTCCGCAAGATAGGGATCAGCAAAACCGGGATGGAGAGACCCTAAAGCCAGAGCCACATGCCCATCTGAACTGCGCACCACAAGACCAGACGAGCACCCAGAAGGACGAACAACAGCATCAAAGAGGAACTTCACAAAGCCAACAGGAGGAGGGGACCAAGACGAGAGGCGTGAACGGGAAGACTGGGGCGGAGCAGGGACCAAAGGAAGGGAGGAAGACAGATCGCGAACTTGGAAAAAAACACTGACGAGCGAGAGACCGGGCATGAGGCTGGACATGCTCAAAGACCACCTTATTTCTAGACTTCCAGATCCTCCATAATACACAAACGTATAGGAGAATGTGGGTTTGGGGGTGCTCAGAAAGCATAACATGTCGCCACCAGAGACTGAAATTCACAGTCGGGGCCGAGGAGATGAAATCATTTAGACCCATGGGCGACCACAATCTTGTGGCCAAGGGGCATTTGAAGAACAGATGTTCAAGACTTTCCGGTCTTCTCCAGCAAACCGGGCAGCGAACTAGACAGTTTACTCCTCTGGTACTTTGAAAACCATAAATTAATTAATTCTAAAAGTCAAAAATTAATTATGACCGTCAGAAGTTAATTCTTTCTATCCCATAATTTGATATATAAACCAACCATAAAGGTTGTAAAGCGCCATAAAAGGACCGCTTTAGTGACTCAATAATCACTTGTAACGGATCATTAAGGACCCAATAACATCAAATAAAATAACTGATGTATTAAAACCCAAATAAATGGACCAATGAGGCCATTAATTGGTTAAGAGCCAAAGTTAGCTTGCTAAGCTTCCGCCCACTTTTTTAAAAAAAATTGCTTTAGTTAATCACTAAATTCTTGTAACGTTTAATCAAAAGGTCATTAAAACCCCAATAACATCAAATAATTGATGTAATAAAACCCAAATAGGGAATTAACGACACCAAGCGTCAAATCAGTCCGAAACGGACGAGTGCAGCCATTAAATGATCATTTTAATGCTCACCGGACGAGCCGGTTCGGAACCCGGGGCTGGCCGGGTCGAACTCATTGCCAAACGAGGTATTTGCGTTCAAATAACTCATTGTGAGTTATTTGAACCCAAATAACTCATACAAATACTCCATCCAAACGACCCCTAAAGCTAGTAAGAAGGAGACGGTCATTCACGAAGTCCCACATACCTTTTCTCTGCATTACAGGCCCATCTCCGTTACCCCAGGCCCAATCCAGCCTCCTTCATCCATAGTCCAGGTCCACCAGATATGAATATGATCCACAAGTCCATCCCTTTCCTCCAAAACCCAATTTTCCTTCCCAAACATTATCCGAATAAAAAGTAGAGTTTGAGCTGTCGCGCTGACGTGGATACTGGATAGTAATCCAGTCCCATTCGACATCTGTCCTTCTCTCTTGCATTCCCCCAGGTTCTCCATTTCGCAACACGTGTCCCTCTCATCTTTTCCTTTTCCCTTCCTTCTTACTATCCGTTTTTCCTCTTTTGTCCTCTTACGTCTCTTTCCTCTCTCTCTTCACTGTATCTCTGTCTCTTCTTCCTTTTTCCCGAAGTAGAAGCACACACGTATACCCAAAATGTCCGAAATCATCCACAAGATGAAGGTTCTGATTGCGATCGCCGGGATTTATAGTTAAATTGAATTTCCGATGATTAATCAGGTAATTAATTGGCTCTTCTTCTTCAGGAGAAAGTGGGATTGGGTTCGTCGGCGGCGGATGCGGATTCAGGGAAGGGGAAAAGCAGAGTGGACAAGCACGTCACCCATGGCTACCACCTGGTGAAGGGCAAATCCCGCCACCCAATGGAAGACTACATCTTCGCCGAGTTCCGCAAAGTCGACGGCGGCAACGAGCTCGGCCTCTTCGCCATCTTCGACGGCCATCTCAGCCAGACGGTGCCGGACTACCTCCGCAGCAATCTCTTCGACAACATCCTCAAGGAGCCCAATTTCTGGACGGAGCCGGACAAGGCGATAACCAGGGCCTACCGCGCGACCGACACCGACATATTGGATGATGCAGGGGATTTGGGGAAAGGCGGCTCCACGGCGGTGACCGCGATCCTGATAAACTGTGAGAAGCTGGTGGTGGCGAATGTCGGGGATTCTCGCGCCGTGATTTCGAGGAACGGTGTGGCTAAGCAGTTGTCTGTGGATCACGAGCCCGGTTTGGAGAAGGAAGAGATCGAGAATCGCGGCGGTTTCGTCACCAATTTTCCAGGTAACGAAAGGGGGGAATAAACCCTCAATGAAAGTTAAAAGCTTTGGCTTCCCCTGGTTTAGATGATCGGCTTTCAGTTTCCAATTTATGAACTTGCCTACCTTGTGGAACGAAACTGGTCGAAACTGTTGATAGTTGAGTTATTGGGATGAACTAGTTATCGATTGCTGTGTTGGTGGCGAATGGCACTTTCCAGTTTTAGTGAGGGTATGAGGCTAAAGCTTAATGATCATCTCTTTCGAAACTGTAGATTATCTTCTTTCAATGGTGGAAGTGGTAACACTGTTGCTGATTATATCTTTCGCTCAAAACCCTCCATAATGTGGTGATTGGGGGGATTGGGTTTGTGAGCATTTGGATGAAAGGTTCCAGCTTTGGGGTTGATACGCTCATACGCATGTACATTGCAATCGACATTGTTTGTTGCAGGGGATGTTGCAAGAGTGGATGGGCAATTGGCCGTGGCTAGAGCATTTGGGGACAAGAGTTTGAAGCAGCACCTGAGCTCAGACCCAGACGTCGTGGTCGAAATGGTCGATGATGAAGACACCGATTGCATTATACTAGCCAGTGACGGCCTGTGGAAGGTTGTAGACTTGTAGTACCGTCTATCTATGTTCTTCGTTTGATTGGCACCATTACTAGTACCGCGAATTGATCGCACTGGCATTATACATGTTGCTGGCTGTATAGGTAATGTCGAACCAGGAAGCGGTGGATGCTATCAAGGACGTGAAGGACGCTCGTGCAGCAGCGAAGCGGCTCACCGACGAGGCACTCAATCGGAACAGCTCGGATGATATTTCTTGCATAGTCATTAAGTTCTAGGCCTCTTGTAGTTGTTCCATTACAGTTTGAATACTGCATCTCGTGTAATGTAATCTCTGCTAATTGGAACATCTTTGTTTAGCTTTACACATGTAGCTTGTTAGCTCCATCACTGCTTTCTTCTGCTATTTTCTCTTTCACGTTCTTGGTTTTGAGAAGAGTCCTCTGTTCTGTAGGTTACAACAGTTTCTTCCCCTGTTTTCCTTGCCCTTAATGCCATTATCCTTTTCTCGGAAGAGCTTGAGAACTATACAAATATACAGCAAGTCACAGGTTGAGTCATTGCCGATAAAAACCCAAAGCAAGAGAGGAAAACCGAGGGAGTAATAAGAATTGGATCATGAAGTACGATCTTAACAGATAACAAGGCCTGATTGAAATCTTAGGGGCACAACATTATTAAAAGGACATGAAAAGAGGAGAATGAACTTGAAGCTCAATCTTTCTGGGGCAAGCATTTCTCAATCTTCTCATCCTTTCACAGCATTGCAATGTCGTGTGCTATTGGTATCAAGTGCAAGCTATGCTTTCTTCTGACCCCGGAGCCGAAACGCTCAGTCATGTCAAGAGTTTCGGGGGTGATTCCAACAGGAAGCTGCCAGTCAAAATGATAGAGCAGCTTCGCCAATACAAGCTTCACAACAGCCAATCCGGACGACATTCCCGGACACATTCTTCTTCCAGAACCAAAAGGGATTGATTCGAAATCACTCGCACGGTTGAGGAATCGTTCAGGCTTAAATTCATCAGCCTCTTGCCAACAACGAGAATCTCGCCCAATAGCCCACGCATTGATGATCACTTTAGTTCCGACAGGAATCTCGTATCCCATGATCTCAACCCTGTCCCGAGCTACTCTCGGAAGAAGCAGAGGAAGCGGAGGGTGCAATCTCAAACTCTCCTGAATAACCAGATCCAAATAAGTCAGATCGTGAAGACACTCTTCGTCCACATTCTTCTCACCACCAATCGTTCGCCGCACCTCTTCTTGTACTCTTCGCATAACATCCGGACTTCTCATCAATTCCGACATGGTCCACTCCACTGTTGTCGAGCTCGTCTCAATCCCAGCCAAGAATATATCCTAACCCACAAAAATTCGCAGTTCAGGATCAATTCAAGACGATGAAGAAGCTAAAAATGAAAGATCAAACTCACAAACTTACCAAAATGACTGCTTTGATTGCCTCTGTAGTCAAGGGGATCTCCAACTCATGGCTTTCATCCTCCTGAAGATTAAGAAGAACATCCACCAGATCATCAGCAGCACCTTCACCGCTTCTTCCACCTCGATCTCGTCGAACTTTGTGTTCATCAACGATTTCTTGAAGCAAAGCATCAGTAGCAAGATGCATTCTGGTGAGATGAGATCTATACCCAGTCAAATACGGCAGAAATTTCAGAGAAGGGTAAACATCCGTCACTCTCAAACCTCCCGTAGCAACCACAATATCCTCAATCAAACCCGAGAAGGTAGCTTCTTTACTCATCGTCTCCTTCGCCATCCCAAACGCCGCCCTGAAAGTAATCCCACTCGTCGCCGCCGCCACGAGCCCGCCTAGGTCAACGCTTCCCCCAACTCCGCCGTAGACGGCGGCGGCCAGCTTGGAGACCTCCGATTCCCTAATTGGCCGGAAGGATGAAACCCTCTTGGAGCTCAGAAGCTCCATGACGCAGATCTTGCGCATCTGCCGCCAGTGCTCGCCGTAGGGCGCCAGGCCGATGTTCTGCGCGCCGTAGAACACGATCTCCGACACCAGCAGCCAGGGCCGGGTCGCGAAGTTGAGGTCGTGGGCCTTCAGCACTTCCCTGGCGGCCTCTGGGCTCGAGACCACGATGTAGGAGAGCTCCCCGAGCTGGAGGCCCATCACGTCCGGGCCGTGGGTCTGGGCCAGGTCGCGGAGGCGGTGGTGCGGCAGGTCGGAGACAAGCTGGTGGAGGTTGCCGAGCACCGGCAGCTTCCACGGCCCTGGCGGCGGCGGTCGACGACGTGATCTGCTGCTGCTTGTTGTTGCAGCAGAGTTTTTGTAACGGATTAGTACAGGTATCAGCAACGCGGCGGCGATTGTGATGATGATGAATGTGACGGAGATGATGGGGATCTTGGAGACGTATTGTTGCAGTAATGGTGATAGAGCCATTGTTTTTTGATGGGTTCGAATTCAAACAACAGTCAGATAATAATTCAGAATTCGTCGAGAATCATTTCAAATGGATGGAGCAGCGGGTTGGAGATCTTTGAGCAGACAGCAGATGGTGATTGGTGAGGTTTTTGTCGTGTTATGTCACGAGGATATATATGGAGGACAGGGACAACAAGTGGGTAACATTTCTGTTAGAGTGTGGTATAAGATCTAGCAGAACCCTCTCCAACAACTCGAGTTATTGGGAGCAACTGGTTCTTGACATGGTATCAGAGCCTAGAACCAAAAGGTCATGTGTTCGAATCTCCACGACCCCCAATATTAACTGTTGTCTTTCAAGCACATGGTATGGTGGGCCTGTGCAAACTAGGGATGGCAACAAAACCCGAACCCACGGGTACCCACCGGACCCAACCGGTCAACGCGGGTAAAATCCGTGTTGACGGGTTTTGGGCCGGGTTTGGGTTTAAACCCGTTCACTATTCACCGGGTTGGGTTGGGTTTGGGTTTAGGTAAACCCGGCCCGTGGGTACCCGCCCACCCATATAATTAATTTTTTCGGTATATTTAATATTCTAAACAACTAATCTTATTTATGTTTGTGGAGACATGTCTAATTTTTTCTTTTTAATTGTGTAGAATGAAGTTGATGTTATGGAGTGGAGAGTAAAGAAACTTAATTGAAAGGAAGAAGCTTTCAATTAAACATGTTATTTATGGATAATTTGTGATTTGCTTCAATTTTCTTGAGTTTTCTAGATTGGTGTTGAACAATTTGTATAGTTAATTTGTGATTTGCTTGAATTTTCTAGAATGGTGTTTTATATATGGATAATTTGTATTGAGAGATTGGTATTTGACTTTAATTTTGATAAGAACTTGTAATTGTAAATTTTTTACGACAAAACCCGTGAGTACCCATGAACCCGCGGATACCCAACGGGTTGGGTTGGGTTTGAGTTTTTCAAACCCAGTGGGTTTTACCCCGGGTTTTTTTCAAAGATAAACCCATGGGTTTGGGTTTGGGTTTGGCAAAACCCGACCCAACCCGACCCATTGCCATCCCTAGTGCAAACTTCAAGCCCGTGGGTTGGCTTTCGTTTGAGGGGGCGTGTTAGAGAGTGGTATAAGATCCAGCGTAACCTTCTCCCAACAACTCGAGTTATTGGGATCAACTGGTTCATGACAATTTCTCCGTCGAAGAGTAATTGAGTACTTGATTAATGATAAACAGCATGATTAATTAGTAGTCTTTCCCTGTCAAAGGCTAATTAAGTACAACTTGATTAGTGATAAGCAAAAGCAATGTGATTAGTCTCTCAACCATTACACTATTGGAGACGGAGAGTTTGACTGTCTGACACGTGTCGGTGGCCGCACCTTTTTCTCCCGCCGTGGCGGGAGAGGAGGGAGAATATTAGTTAGCCCAATAACAACCAATGGTAATGGCCCAAGTCCATAAACACTGTCCGGTTTGATCGAGCTCATTGGGCTCCAAAGCTTGAGACAAGCCCACTGCAGCTCCGTGTACCTCAACTACCTGGGCCTGGAAAGAGGCTTATCGGCCTTGGTTAGGTCTATTAATGCCTCCAGGCTCCAACGTATATTGTCTAGAATTTTTTTTTCTTATAACCATAAAATGTCTAGAATTTAGGTCACCAAACCAACTACTCTTTGACTGTTAAAAAATAAAAATGGCAGAAACTTTGAAAGATCTAACAAGAATAAAAATATGTATTTTTTGTAGCAAGGTTGAGGAAACCGTATCGGAGGTTATACCGGAAAAATGAATGGCAGGGTATTTTATATTAAAATTGTGGTTTAATCGTGATTGAACCGTTTTCTGCCATTAAAACCGCCTATCCTTTTGAGTCCGGTATCCGATATTTCCTGTCCAACCGGCCGGTACGGTAGGGTTTCCTAAACCTTGCTTTGTAGAAGAAAATGAAAAAGGGATAGACGTGGAAATTTTGTTATAATTAATAAGGAAATTCACATATGAAATTACCTATAAAATGGAATTTGATCAATCTTAACCATCATCAAATGGATCCCAATTTGTAATTATTCATGACACAAAAAATCCAATGAAATTTCATCGTCCAATGCAATAGACTAAATAATTTTAAACTCACAAAAAAAAAAAAGTTTAGAATAGTCAACAACAAATCGAAGAACTTACAATAACACTAACCTTACCCAACTCGTTGAACTATTAAATGGTTTGTTGGGGGGAGGGAGGTGAATAATCAAAGAGGTCACATTCCACTCATGACTTTTTTTCTAGCTTCATTATCATGTCTTCACCTCACCAATTTCTTTTTCCTACTACTCATTTGTTTTCTCCCCCATGTTTCCATCGTGTAGTGGACTAGTGGGACAGAAATTAACAATGATCTTAATCCTAAAAAAGTCCCTTTTTCCCCCCTCCACTTGGCCAAAATTCCTGCCAGTTCATGGAAAAGATAAAAAGTCGCCATGAACATCAAACAAAGTCCCTCAAGTGGGACTCTGACCAATCTCCACTCTTTGTTTCATGTCATAAGTCCAAAGAGAGGGGGAAGTCATAACTAATAACCTCAATTGCTCCAAAAAAAGTCCTTCCCAACAAGAACACCAGACCAAAATGATTGTTCTGTGGGATCCTCCACCACCACAAACACACATGATGATTTCATTTCATCACCAAACATGCAAAGTCCTACACCAACACAGGAACAGAGCAGGCCACCAGATTATGGAATCCTATGATTATGATACCTAACAAACCACCATTGTCTTTTCTTTCCTGAAATGGCTGCACAGCAGTATCCCAGCACCTTCAGCATAATCTGCAGATTTTATATTCATGCATGAACCTCAAAACCATTAAGGTTGTATATCGTAATCAAAACCAAATCGTTACTCGATCACTTCCTTGTACACAAAATTTGTGCTTGCCGACCTTAGTGTACGATCTGGGTTGTTTCCCTCTCGACTTTGGATCTTAGCACCCCAAATGTCTGTGGTTTCGTTTTGTGAGTGGGTGTATGAGATAGTTTGGCCTAGTAATTTGCAGACAAAGTTTCTCACGATATAGATAAGGCGAGAAGAGAAGTCATTTAGTGTATCTCTACTCTCCAAGCATAGAGTCGTGATAAAGATGGTAGGGATAGCATTGCTGCAAACGGATACCTCTCTAGGAAAGTCGAACGAATCATCCACCGGAATCTGGTTGGATTCTGCAAGTTTGCTTGTTGGAGTTCAGTCCAAATGAAAATCATAACAGAAAAATCATCACAGTTCCTTCCTTGAACTGGTTGGTATTTCTTACTGCTGAAGCTGAACTACAAAGCACATTTCTTACAGCCTATCAACTCTCTTCTAGCTATTGAAACATTTCAAATGGATTCATACAGCAATGCAATAACAGGAGATCTATACAAAAGAAGAACTAGTACATTTCTGTTGACGTTTTTATTGCAGACTGAAGAAAGACACAACACATGTAAGTATACATAACTTATAACTATGTGTTTATATGAGGAAAAAGAACTAAAAAACCAAACAAAAAATGCAGTCACCTGGTCAAGAATTTGTTTCCAACTTGAACTACAGGTAACACAGTCACATTCCAATCCCATCAAGACAGGAAACGACTTCATCGATGGAAGGTCTCCGTCTCGGATCACGATCCAAGCATCGACAAGCAATCTCAAGCATCCCGAGTAGTTCTTTCTCCTTGTTCTTATCCCAGATCGAAGAGGCAATAACCTCAGACTCCCTCTTCTCAAACTTCATCTGGAAAACCCACGACACCAGATCCCTACAGTTTTTCCCCTTGCACACCTCCACGGGCCTTCTACTTGTCAAAAGCTCAAGCAACACAACTCCGAAGCTATAAACATCGCCCCTACAAGTGGCCGTCATCGTTTGACTATACTCAGGTGGAATATACCCCAACGTCCCAACCAAATCCGTCGTGACATGGGTATCATATGGTCTTAGCAGCCTCGAGAGGCCAAAATCAGCCAAATGAGCCTCGAAGTCGTCGTCTAATAGTATGTTACTAGACTTCACATCTCGATGCACAATATGGGGCTCACAGACTTTATGAAGGTAAGCTAACCCTTTGGCTGCACCTCTAGCTATCTTCAGCCTGGTATCCCATTGAAGAACAGAGGACTCATCCACACATTCATGCAGCCAATAGTCCAAGCTTCCATTCTCCATGTAAGAGTAAACCAACAACCTGTCATTGCCATGCAGACAGTATCCCTGGAGAGAGACGAGGTTTTGGTGTTGAGCTCTCGAGAGTGCTTCTACTTCTGCTTGGAACTCCCGTTCTATCTGGCCACAGTCTCCTGAAAGCTTCTTGATTGCAGCTTTTTTCCCATTAGGGAAATTGGCCTTGTAAACAAGGCCAAACCCTCCGCAGCCAATAATGTCCGCTTGGCTGAAGTTGTTTGTAGCTTTCAACAAGTCGGAAACTGTTAGATCCCTGCATTCAGCGCTCGGGAAAAGGACCAACTTTGATGATGTCATAAGTGCTGCTGCTGATGACACGTGAGATCCGGTCTCTTCCTCGTTGATAGGATCAGATCTTCTCGACATCTTAACAACCAGAAAGGCAAGTATCAATGACAACCCGACTCCTACAGCTATGGTGATCCCAAGGATATTGGATTTGGTCCTTGAACTGCCAGATGGTCTCCTGGGGGTCATGGCAGTCTCCATGTCCTTGCAAGGAGAGACTACTCCTCCACAGAGTCCCGAGTTACCTTCAAAGCTTGAGTTTGAGAAGCTGGAGAACTGCCCTCCAGTTGGAATTGGTCCCTTCAAGTGGTTATTAGCTACATTGAATCTCGAGAGGAAAGTGAGCCTCTCTAGTGAAGGTGGGATTGAGCCATACAGATCATTTGAACACAAGTCCAACACTTCCAAATTGAGCAAATCGGAGATCGAGCTCGGTATGACACCTGTTATGTTGTTGTTGCTCAGGTCTAAGACATGGAGTTGCTTCAACTGACCGATCTTGGGTGAGATTGTTCCATTGATCATATTATAGCTCAAGTAGATTGAAGGAGGGAAGCTTGATACTTGCTTGTACTGCAAGCCACTACCAGTCTGGTTTCGCTTAACATAGAGTGGAATGCCAGCAGAAGGTGAGAGTCCGATCGAACTTGTGCTTGCTGAAGTGAGGCTCTTTAGCTCCATCAGGGTCTCTGGAATTTCTCCTGAGAGAGAGTTATTGGAGATGTCTAAGTAGAACAGTTTCTCCATCTGGCCAAACCATGGGGGAATGTTGCCATCCAGATGATTCCATGACAAGTCAAGAACCTGTAACTTCTTGCAATTCATCAACCATGACGGGATTTGGCCCTTGAGAGCACAGTTTCCAAGTGCAAAGACCGACAAGCTACCAAACCCACTCACATTCACCGGGATTTCCTCGTCATGGAAATTCCTTGTGAGGATTAGTGTGGTGAGATTCTGACAATGCTGCAGCACTGATAATGCCTGATTCAAGTCAACAATGGAGTTGTTCGACAATGAGAGGAACGAGATCGACGAGAGTTGGCCATAACTCTCTGGTATGCTTCCATTCAAGACATTTTTAGCAAGGCTCAAGGTCTTCAATTCATGGCAATGAGACAAAGACTCTGGAAGTGAGCCAGAGAACCTATTGGTGGCCAGATCAAGAGTAGTAAGCAGAGGCATTCTGGAGAAGTCGAGATCAATTGGACCGGACATGGAGTTGTTTCTAAGGTCGAGGACTCGCAGACTGGAGCATAATGACAGAGTTGAAGGCAATGGTCCAGAAAATGAATTCGAATGAACATTAAATTGTTCCAACTGCGTCAAGTTATGGAAAACATCTGGAATCTGGCCAGAAAATCTGTTCCCATAAGCAAGAAATGTAGTAAGGTTGGCGAGCTTACTCATTTCGCCACTTAATTGACCAGAGAAGTTGTTGTTGGAGATCGATAGCTGCTGCAAAGAAGGCAATGCAAACAAAGCCTGAGGAAGAGAGCCTGATATCATGTTGTTGTCCAAATGCAGCTGCTTAATCAACGAGCTGCAATTATACAAGGTTTCAAGGCTTCCAAGGAGATCATTCATCGACAAATCAACAACCTCAATCACATTGGATAAGCTGCAAATCATGGGACTTATCCGCCCACTGAATGAGTTGTTGCTTATGTTGAACACAACAAGTTCAGGAAGCTCCTTCATACCAAACAGATCATTGTCATCAAAACGATTGCTGGAAATGTTGAATGACCTAATGGAAACCAGACCAGAGAGAACTTCAGAAACCTGTCCTGATAACATATTGTAGCTCAAATCAAGAACCTCCAACTGTTTCAAGCTGGAGAGCTCCAACGGAAGCTCGCCTTGAAGACGATTACAAGAGAGATCGAGCGATTTCAGCTGATCCAAACCGGCCAGAGCTCTTGGAACCGGGCCTTGGAGGGCCTTGCTTGGTAGACTAAGCATGGTCACTCTACCGCCATTAGGCCCACAAGAAACACCATTCCAATCACAGCAATCAGTATTATCAGGCCAAGATGTGAAGAATGACAAACCATCTTCGAAGCTGCTGGAGAACTCCTTGAGCGCTCTCAAGTCTCTGGGATCACAGGATGCAGCTAGAGTGCAATCAATTCGAGAGGACGAGAGATGAAGGAAGCAAACCAAGGCTACCCATTTGAGGAAGCTTACGAGAAACCCCAGCTCCACCATTACTGAACAAAAAATCCCAGCTTCCAAAATGTTAGCAAATTGACATAATTTCAGCAGCAGAAGGGAACCCCAGGCAGCAAAAGAAGCTTGCTTTGTTCAATTCCCCATAAAGCACGAAGCTTTGCAAATGAAGCAAACTGAATTCAACGAAAACCCAATTTACTATATCACCGATCCTCGAAAACCCAATTACTCAAATCTCAAGAACTATTAACTACTTTGGATTGGGAAACAGAAACCCGCAAAGTTTGCTTCTCAGCACAGAAACTGAAGCAACACAGAACGAGGAGAAGAAGAAGAAGAAAGGGAGAGCCGAGAGAGAGATTAAAAAAAAGTTGGTCAAACCGAAAACCGGAGGACCTTAACTTTAGTTTCGTCCCCACCTGAAAGGTCCAAAGATGGGGAGAGGAAGGAAAGCTTCTCGTCAGATATGAACAAAACAAAAACTAAAGAAGAAAACCCTCCCACAAACCCTTCACTCTGCTATAAAACAGAGCAGAAACTTCCAACGCGAATCCCGGAGCTCCAATTGTCTGTTAAAATTAAGAAAGCCCACCGTAGAAGGAAGTAAACAAACCGAGATCAAAAGCCAACTAAAGAAAGAAGCAGAAGAAGATAGAAAGATGGAAGCTTTACCAGTCTGGTCCGTTGTTCTGTGCTTTTCTTTTTCTTCAGCCCTTTAATGAGCAACTATAAACGTCACTTGGAAGTTAAGTTAAAGCTTCCCGTGAACCCAACAAGACATAGTGGCTCGCTTTTTGCAGCTCTAGAAAGAGATGGAGAGGAGAGTGAATGAGTGAGATACTGAGATGGGATTGCTTCAGTTCTCACACTCACTGGAGCAACCTTTTCGACGAAGGGAAAGGGAAAGGAACACTGGTGTGAGAAAGAAGAGAAAATATATGATGGGAATCTGGGACAACGGATTAAACAAAAGCGAAGAGAAATGCAGGGAAATAAGAGAGATCATCAATACAGCGTTAAACAACATCAGACCATTATTTAAGTTTGAAAGGGAAAGTAGTCTCTCTTTCAGCAGATCCTGAAATATAAGAAAATAGTAATGACAACATGGTTGGTCAACTGCACAAAATCTCTAATACCAATGTTTTCATCTTGCATTGTTGCTTTGAATTGAAATAAAAAAAAAAGTCTCCACCACCTCTATGATACATATATAAGGATAAATCTTAGAGATTCTTTGCTAAGTTTGTTTTCCTGTTTAAATTACATTTCTCGACATTTGAATCGAGTTTTTGTTTGCTCTAGCATATCAACGCGGTACAACATTTTGGCGTAGAGTAGTGTAGTGCAACAGTCAAGAAATAAGAAGATACAGTGTTGTCAAGTACAAGAGTTTATGGATGCAAACATGGGCGTTCCTTAATCTGGAGCAACAAGCAATGAGTATGAACTTTAAGAGTCTTGATACACTAATTATTTGTTTCGGAACCACAAGGCTTTGTTATCCATATTTACCGTATTTTGTTTTCTTATTTGTTCACCATCTGTATTTTTCAACACAAAAACATCAAACAAATACTTCCTAAATAAATGTTATGACATGGGAACATAAATACCATGTCTAAACGATATGAAAGACTTACACCTCAAATGTAATCCATCCCTCTTAATAATACGATGTGAGTTAACTACAAGTATGACGATTTATAGTTAGCCCATTCATTTCAATTGTAGGATACCAAATCCAATAACTACTCCTGTAATTAAGTGTAAAACCTAATTGTGACCCAATAGAGGAACTTTGGCCTGGACTTGCATGGTCATTAAGCTCACCAGCTCCTGTCTAATTGAATAACCTAATCCTTTTGTCTCCTACGAAAACAGAAACCTAACCCTTTGGACAAACCAAAAATTTCAAACTTTTTGAGTGGAAAGTTTTGGCACCCACAGAGTTGATTATCGAGAAGGTCTACCCATGAAAACGAAGACAAAAAAACAGGGTATCAGGAAAGCTAGCTATCCAGTTGGTCGTTGTTTGGTGAAGAAGCAATACGCAAAATGGATGTCCAAACTTTTCTCATTCCACATTTCAAACAAGCGCGTGAATACAGTGGATTCTCATACCACAGCTTTCCTCCTAGTTTTGATATTTGATCCAAGTGTGGGGATTTGATAAATGGGTGGATTTGACGGTTAAATATCATTCAGCTCAGTCCTCTCCCCTTCATTTTCATTTCGGCCCAATTAACTTTTAAGTTACCCAGCAGCCCAGATCGAGCCCATTCGATACCCAGCCCAACTCTAGCAATTCGAACTCCTTCCACCACTTGCAAGTTGCAACTGACAATCTCTTCATCTTTGCTCACTGAAGATAAAGCAAGCAAGAAAAAGGAAACAACAGCCAAGAAGAAGAAGAAGAAGAAGATAATGAGGCATTTCGTGCTAGTCCATGGCGCCGGCCACGGAGCCTGGTGCTGGTACAAGGTGATCGCCGAGCTGAAACAAGCCGGGCACAAGGTCACCGCCCTGGACATGGCCGCCAGCGGGATCGATCGACGGCAGGTGGAAGACGTGCATTCTTCCGACGTCGAGTACTCGGAGCCGCTGTTCACCTTCATGGCTTCTCTCCCGGCGGGCGGCGAGAAGGTGATTCTGGTGGGCCACAGCATGGCCGGATACACCTTGTGCATGGCCATGGAGAGGTTCCCGGAGAAGGTCTCGGTCGCCGTCTTTCTTTCCGCCGGAATGCTGGGGCCTGATTTGACCTTCGAAATGGTGAATAAGAAGGTAAAACTGGGGATTTACTGTCCCTCTCTCTCTCTCTCTCGCCCACCACTCCAATTGACTATTTATATCAGAAGCAATTCCTCTGTGTTTCTCAGTATGCTGAATTCTCGCTAATGGCGGACCCGATGGATTGTCAATTGATATATGGGAACGGCCCGGATAAGCCTCCAACAGCCAATTTGATTGGCCCCAAGTTCATGGAGGCACAATTCTACCGGTTTTCTCCCCGCCAGGTAAAATTTCCCTCTTAGAACCAGCCAATTCATACCATTTTTTCATGCTCCAAATGCATATCCTAAGTTCAAAAGAACCTTAGATTGGAAGCAAGGTGGTGGGTCTGGTTGTTACAATGGCAGTACTCCCATGGCAGGCACATGCTATTCATGTATGATGATGAATGTAGATGGGAAGAATCGCTCTGATAGACTGATACCATGCTCATGAATAGAGAATTGAAACAACACGATGATGATTTTAGCAGACTGGTTTAGCTTGTGTAGCTTTACATCCAATGAACAGACCGATGAGAGATGGATCCTTTCCTGTTTTCCTAATCTTAGATAAGGAATCAGACCCTCGTCAGTGTTCCCTAACTACTGCAAGTCTGAAGAAGGAATGGTGTTTTATTGGTCGAATTGCGTATATGCAGGATCTGGAGCTGGGAATAACGCTGGTGAGGCCATGTCCAACGTGGGACAACGAAGAAGCTAGGAAAGACACAGTCTTGACAGTGGAGAAGTATGGAACAGTTCCTCGTGCGTATGTCGTGTGCGATGAAGAGAAAGACGGCGCCTTCCAGTGGTGGCTGATCGAGAACAACCCTCCGGAGGAACACTTCGTGATTCCTGGTTCGGATCACATGGTCATGTTTTCCCAACCTCTTCTTCTGTGTCAATATCTCCTCGAACTCGGATCCAAATACTTGTGATCTCTCGTGGCATATTAGAACTGTATCGATCGAACTAGCTTTTTGTCTTTGCATTGCATTCCATTTAGTTTCTGCCTCATACAAAGTGCATCCATTCCCAAAGAGATCATCAAGTACAGTTCATTCGTTTTTAACTAGTTTTGTGTGTGTTCATCACTGGATGGTGGTAAATTGCAACTACACCAGTTCTCGACACATTTACATGTAGTGTTGGGAGAGCATATAACTGAGCATATGTGCCCACAATCTCTATCCTGCTTGCACTGGCTCATGGGATGATATCCTGATCCGCTCGCCCTCGCCTCCACTCCTGCATCTGCAAACATGAAACAACAACAATAGTTTTGTAAATTAGCAAATCTGTTTTGAGTTTATGCCAATGGAGAAGTGATCGGAGAAGGAAGAGATTGGAGAAGCTATTCACTTTGTGTAATAAGTAAGAGAGCAAGGAACAGGGCAATCAGCATTCTGGATGTGTTCTTCATTTTTTTTTTTTTGGTATCTGGATCCTTTTATGCAGCAGTGAAAAGGTGAAGAAATCTGCTGGTGGGAGGTTTTTAATCTGTTGTGTGGGTGTGTAATGAGGATGATTTCATGTCAGAGGAGAGGATCTCTGCTATTTATAAGCCAAGGTGTTGAGCTGTTGTGTGTTTCTTGATAGCTGTATGATTGTTATTTGTGATAAGTGATAGTATTATTGTGATTTATTTATTTTACAATTTTAGATGGTTGAATATGGCATTCGAGATATTTAATTATTAAAATTAACAAAAAAAAATTATTTGTAATAATTTAGGTATGAAATTGGTCCAGGATTTTTTTATATAAATAGTAAGTTTCTGAACCAGAAAATTATAATTAACTATATATTTCATCATGTTATATAGACATTTACATGTGATGTGGAGGGTGGTAGCAAAATAGGGAACTGCTATCAATAAAATACTACCAAAAATATGAGTTATAACATATAATATTACACCAAAATAACATATCGTATATAGATCCAACATATAGTGAAAATTCACACACACTTATATAACATAAAATATTCAAATGTTCAACTTAGCATTCCAAAAATTGAGCTAGGCGAAAAGAAAAATCGGAAAATAGGCGCAGTTCACAAACCAATGAAAAAAATGACACAATTTGACTTCCAACCCGGTACCTTGTAGCGGTCGGCCCGGCGGGTACGTGCGGCCCGTTTTTCTCAACGGGTCAGAGTCAAAGTGGTTCGACCCGCGGGTTGACAACCTTGGTTGAGATAGTGGTTCCACTATTTGGGCACCATACATTTCGCTGAAGATAAAGCAACTAGACGGACAGAGAAAAACGAAAAGATGAGCAGGCATTTCGTGCTAGTCCATGGCGCCTGCCACGGAGCGTGGTGCTGGTACAAGGTGATCGCCGACCTCAAACAAGCCGGCCACAAGGTCACCGCTCTGGACCTGGCCGCCTGCGGGATCGATGGAAGGCAGGTGGAAGACCTCCATTCTTCCATCGTCGAGTACTCCGAGCCGCTGCTCACCTTCATGGATTCCCTGCCGCCGCCGCCGCCGGCCAGTGACGAGAAGAAGGTGGTTCTGGTGGGTCACAGCTTGGCCGGCCCCAGCTTGTGCATTGCCATGGAGAGGTTTCCCGAGAAGATCTCTGTGGCTGTCTTTGTCGCTGCCAATATGCTGGGGCCTGATTTGACCTACAAAATGGCCGATCAGAAGGTACTAAGCAGCAATTCGAGAGATGTTGGGATTAGAAATTGGTTTTTAACATAGTACCAGAATGTTTTGCAGTAGCGAGAAAGGGTCTCGTTTTCGTATTATTGATCGCTCCCTAGGCAGATTAGTACATACTGGTATACGGTGAGCTTGTTTGGCTCTCCGAACAACTCGAGTTGTTTTGAATGAGTCGGATTTTAGTGACGAATGTTATAAGTTATAACGCTCTTTTTAAAATAACATAGTGCTTGAACCGCGCTCCCAACAACTCAGAAAGATGGATTCTTTGTGTTTTGCAGTATGCTGAATTGTCGCCAACAGCGGACCCAATGGATTCTGAAGTGATATATGGGAATGGACCAAATGAACCTCCAACAGCGTTCTTGCCTGGTCCCAAGTACCTGGAGAAGCACACCTACCGCTGTTCTCCCAGCCAGGTATAACACAGTAGTACAAGCTAGAAAGTAGCTGTTGAAAAACAACATGAACTAACTAAGAACGACAATTTCAAATGCAGGATCTGGAGCTGGGAATAACGTTGGTGAGGCCAAGTCCTGCGTGGGACGCAGGAAAAGCTGCACAAGAGACGGTGCTGACGATGGACAGGTATGGAACGGTTGCTCGAGCGTACGTTGTGTGCGATGAAGAACAAGACGGAGCTTTCCAATGGTGGGTGGTCGAGAACAACCCTCCGGATGAACACTTCGTGGTTCCTGGTTCTGATCACATGGTCATGTTTTCGCAACCTTGTCTGCTGTCGCAGTACCTGCTTGAACTCGGATCCAAATACATTTGATCTATGAACATATATCATCACCATGTAAGTTCAGGAACCATGAAAGAGAGAAACAATCTTGAAGGAAAATAGACAGTTAAAGGGGATGGATCTTTCGGTTCATGGATATTGATTCTGATTGAGCTTTCTTTGGTGGGCTGATCGATCGAGTTCTGCAGTATCGATATGAAACCAGCAAATTATTCACATTGTGCAGAACGTCATCGATCTCCATCTTACTTCTGGCCTAGTTGACCTGACAAATCTGGATATTCCGAGGCTTGATCACAATCGTCAGTACCTTGAAATCGACTTTGACAATGATGACCGTTCATCTTCACTTCCCAAAACGGGAAAAAACAAAGCAAACAAAGCAGGACACATGATGAGCTTCCAGTTTCACAATCCCTTGAGGATCCAAAACCAAACCCAAAAATCTGCAACCAATTCGTTGGTTACGTCACAAGATTCAAATCTAAGACCTCACCTAGGCTAGTTTTAGTTGTGCCACACAGAAAAACATGGATTACATATCAAAAGACCTTCCAAAAGATGTCAAAACTCTCAAAACCATTAAGCAACAACCCTTGCTTGCATAACAAGTCATCCAAAAACAAACATCAAAACACAAATAAATAAAATAGAAGTCTAGTCCCAAAATTTGGAAACAACAAAAGCAGAAACAAAAGCAAAACAGAAACTCTATATAGTTACTGTCCTTCTAAATGGTTCCTTATTTTGTTTTTCTTCTGTTCATTAAGTAGTGCTTCTAAATACTCTCAACTTAAGCTACTCGCTGGTCATCCATCACAAGTCTCCTCTAAGATCCAGATCAAGTTCTCCTTCACCAATCACCACTGCAGATGCAAGCTGAATGAGACCAAGTCCCATCTCTCTCTGTAACTCCACTCCCTTCCGGAGAAAGAGCAGCAGTTTAACACCATAACTACTGCTCAGCACCACTTCATTTAGAGAAGATAGTAGTACGCAAGGAACGCCAAGAGAACGGCTACCACGGCAGCAGGAGCAGCCCACAGCCAGTAGTTGGTCGACTTCTTCTTCTTCAGAAGAGCTCTGGGTACAGATTCGGTTCCCCTGGGGCGGTTCCTGTACCTGACAGGATTCTCCCTCTTAACTTGCTCTTTAACAGGGACAGGGACAGCAGCCCCTTTTGCTTCTTCTGGTTCTGATCCCTCAACAGATTCTTCACCCGCTTTTTCGTCCTCGTTCATCGATCCAGGCCCTCCGGCCTTCTTCTTCATTTTCTTCTCCCGTTCCTGAATAAAACGAGCAAGGATCAAGGTTTAATATGGGGCAAAAGGTGAGAAACAACATAGGAAATCAGCAAAAGAAGACAAAATGTAATAATTTCCTTGAGCTTTTTCTCAGCTTCTTTCTCTGCTCTCTTGGCAGCTTTAGCAGCAGCTTTCTCGGCCAACTTCTTCTTCCTCTCCATGGCTAGCTTAGCTTTCGCTATTTCTTCTTCTCTTTTCATTTCCTTCAACTTTGCTGGATCAACCTGTGGTGGTGAAATCTTTTGCTGTGTCTTCTCTAATCCCGCCACCTCTTCTTCGACTTCCTCGAGTTGCTCTGTCTTTTTCTGTACCGTTTTGGCAGGCAAAGATTCCTTCTTCGCAGCAGGTTTAGGGGGCTTGACCAACGGTTCATCCTGGGAGGGTGGCAGTCTCGTGACTACCGCTATCGGCTTCTCGTCCGGGTTCCTAATTCGACCATCCAGGGTCAGTGATCGACTGTCGAGTGACCCGCTCGATACAAGTCGCTTCTTATAATCATCCCTAAAAGCCTTCTTGCGCCATTGCAACATAAACTTCTCCATCTGGCAGGTAGAATTGAGATGCAAAAGTTAGTAACACAAAATTAATTGATATCCAAAAGCCACTTCACTGATAAAATTTCAATGCCCTCCCTGATTACTTGCTTTACTAGTAAAAATGTATCACCACATCAACATACCTCTGCATTTGCAAGGTGCTGAACACCCTTTACATCCTTCTCCTTGTCGGCAAGATGTTTTGCTCGGTTCAGGATCACTGCCAAAGCATAAACCGGTGCGTTCTGGCAAAGACGAGAACACGATGTTGAGTAAAGTGCCAATACATCATAACCACAAAAGAGACTCCAGTAAAAACAAACCAAAAAACTTTCTGGATTTTTAGAAGAAATAAAGAGGAGAGATGCAGCATCAAGAAGTCTAGCTGTTTCATTGAATTCATGCAATAGGTCACATTAAGGTCATTCTTCTGTTGTAGCACTTGATAAACTGAAACTTTAGGTTCGAACTGCAAAGCTCAAGGCATTGAGACTCTCAGACACCGCAAAAGTACAGTACCAAATTGTACAGCACAGCAGTGAAGCCAAACGCGAGACTATAGACCAGAAGGTAACTAAACTTAACCTTGGACCAGTTTGAGTTAATATGATAGACAAAACAAACTGCTCTGAACCAAATGTATTTTGCATCTATAGGAAAACCATTCAGTGCTAGCACAATATGAGATCCAAAACAACCAGAATGCAAGTACTGCATCTAAGGCCCGCCCCCAGTTTGATGAGGATGGTAGAATGCCATAACCAACTTGAGAATGCACAATGATCAAAATAAAATGAGCGCAAGGTAACTGAAGGGAAAAGATGAAGCTTGAAATGTTACAACTAGTTACTGAAGGAAAACATACATACCAATTCTTCACTTTGTGCCCGTATCTTATCTCTACGCTCATAAAGCTCACCCCTCTTATTTGCAATAGCTGTTTTTTCCTCTTCGATAACATTAATCTCTTTGTCTAAAGCCTCAATTCTTGAGGTCAGTTCCTTCATTTTACTCCACGTCTCGTCATGCTCCTTCTTTGCTCCACCAAAATCAACATTCATATGCTACAACACGTTCAACAACATAAATAGCGGTGTCAGGGATAAGATATATATTATATAAAATGAATAGGACATCAGAAGGTCGGATTACATAACACTTTTTTTTGTTTTGTACAAGTTTGAATTTCATCATGGTTGCAGAAAGGTCATAACTGGTTGAATATATACACAAAGAGAAATGAAAGAGATAAGAGCACGAGTCAAAGAACAAATTCACGATCAGGCTACACTTACTTTGACCTGATCTTGTATGGCATCTTTCTGACCCAATGATTCCTGAATCTCCTCTCTCATGGCAGCATTGGCAATAACAATTGGTCTTGTTAACTCTAGCTGTTTTAATTCTCTGATTAGTTGCTTTTCCTCAGACAATGGGATGCTTTCATGCTGAATGCGGTACTCCAAGCGGCGTTTCTAAACATTAATTGAAATTATTCAGAAAAAGTAACAACAAAACTCAGAGCAATTATTTGTGAAACCCATGGAAATTGTTAGTCAAGATGATAAATTATCCAACAAATTCAAGATTACACAACGTACAGCTTCATCTAGCTCTTTCTCTGATGAGCATATACCACCATTATAATTGTTTCGGAGTTTCCCCAATGCCTGCTGCAGAGGCTGCATTTCATTTTTCTTCCCACTCATGGCGTCCTGTAATTCTGAGAGTCGAGTTCTTAAATCCCTTTTCTCACTTCTCAACTCTGATCTCTTATCCTGTACAAAAAAATGCAAGCATGATCAAAGATAACTCTGCAAATTATGTGTGCTTTCTTCAGGCAATTTTTAAGCCCATGAACTTCAGATATGCCAAGAGTGTATACCTTCCCATTTATGGAAAATAAGAGATTTAGTTCACTAACGTGAAAAGTTAAGTGATCCCCCCCCCCCCCCCTCTCTTTTCTTCAAATGAATGCATCAGTTTAATAACTTGCACATACAAACTTCAATAAAATAACACTACAACTACATTTTTTTAACCGCACAAAAGCTGATAGTTTATTGCGTAACGCGTCTGAGGTTGTGTACGATCACCAGCTTCTGAAGCAATCATAGCAATAAATGATAACAAGAAAGAAACAGACTTGGTGATCAGTTACAAGTAAATAATGCACCACAAGCAACACAAAAAATTTAACCGATGACTAAACCGCCAATGACTAAATCAAGCAGATAATACATGCTATAACATAAACCAAAACCAACCAACTTACCTTTTTTGTTCTCGCACGATCATGAGCCCGAGCAAAAGCATCATTCTTCTTCTTAATCTCCCGAACAAGTTCATCGATTTGGGGAATATACTTGGGATCCTCGACCCTCTGTATCTTGGGGAAGTAGAAATTATGAGTAACTTCATCAGGAGAGACACCAGACCAATCAGCAGAAGCGTTCATACGGGCTTCGGCATCTGCATCAGTCCCAATTCCCTTCTCTACCTCCCTTTCATGAGAACCGAATTTGATGGCCTTATTTGGTCCCGACTCTTTACCCATTTTCCCATTCTCCTTCTCATGCAGAATTGACTTGTCAACAACTTCAGTCACAGCCTGAACTGGAACTTGAGGAGCCACATCCGATGCTACAACAACCTCAATGCCCATTGTTCTACACAAAAGATACCAGCTTTACAAAATAAGAAAACTCCAACATCCACAAAACACTCCTCCATATCGCAATACTTTCAACTACCCCTTCAGGCGGTAATCAGTTCTATACAGTCCAATCATACAAGTATTTGCACAAGTTCTTCTCACACATATACCAATAGATCAACAACATGCAAGGAATAAAGATCTAAAACTAGCTAGATCCCCTTCATAGCCCAAAAGTCTGAACACGGTCCATAAGCTGAATTGTCAGAATAAATCATGGACAGGAAGAGATACAGAACATCAGCCGACTCAACTGATCATGCATCTGCAAACCCCCAACTCAGAACGAGAAAGGATTCTAATTGTATCGGTAATATCAATCTAAGACCCGAAACAAACAAAACCCAATCACCATAGATCACAGACCACAATCGAATCAGAGAAAACCATATTTCTAGGCAGATCAACCATCAAGCATCTGCGATCTATGAGTCAGATACAATCAAATCGAACATAACGACAAAGTTACAAGAGCACCATTAAAGCTTGAGAGAGAACAAAGAAGATCCAGTACCAGCTGATATACAGAAACATAAAGTGAATTAAGATTATAAAGCGGAAAGAACGAGATGCAGAAAGGGAAATTGGGGAATGATAAGATACCAAATCGCAGAACAGTGAAAGAGTATTACCAGCGCACAGCAGGGATGGAGACGGGAATCGGGAAAGAGAGATGCAGATAGAAGAAAAAACCCTCTTCACAAAACGCCCCCAAGTATTGAAATTTTGCCTTAAAAAGGCAGGCAAAGGCAGAGCAAGGTAGATCTCAGACACCCACTTCCTCTCGGACTCTCTCTCTTAAGAGGCTTAGATCCCTGCGTTTTTTTGCTTTCGCTGAATTTTTAGTTTTTTCCGTCCGTCTCTGTATATAAAGAGAAAGGGGAGGCAAGAGAGAGAAAGGGCAGAGTTTGTTTCAGTTGAAGTTTTTTTCCCCTCTTTTCCTTTATTTTTTTTTTGCAATAAATAAATTAGAAAGAAAATATCTGTTATCTATCCATCTAACCAGACTTGATATTTCTATTGAAAATAAGTGTAAAATAACAAAAACTCAAAAGTAACTAAAAAACAGTACATGTCATATTATGAAGAAAAATCTAAGTATCTATCTAGTGTTCTTGGTTATTGTTTGTGTTTTGTAATTGGAGTATGTAATTTTGTATCTGGATGTCTTTATTTTGGATGGTCTATATCAAAATAGTCGTGAAAAGTAATTCTTGATGAAAATTATTTTGATAATTATTTTCTATAAAATAATTATCTGACATAAATGAAAAGTTTTTTTTTTTGGAAAATCGAAGTTATTTGTAAAAATTATACATTTGGTAATTTAGTTACACATGTCTAAAGAAAAGAAAAAAGGCTCGAAACTTATCCGGTAGATCTTAGGCGATTGATGAGTTGGATGGCGGTAGAGAGCAGTTCATGAACACACTAAGCGCTAGACTGCCACGTCTAGTTAGTCGGAAGCATGTGTCGCCGCCACCGTATGCCTCTCGCTAAAATCGGAAAACACAATACGCGTTGTTATTGTTAAGAAAAGATTGCTCAGTGCATGCAACCATACTAACAATCATCCAACTGCTCCTCCCAATATGTATCCGTTGATGTTTTTGGGTGGTGTGTCTTTCTCAAAACATCACCTCTATCTCGAATATGATCAAATTCATCAATCTAATTGATTATACGAGAGTCACTTTGATAACTTTCTTCCGTATGATAGTCATTTTGGGAAAACTTGCACGTTTTCATGAAGTAGAACCTCTAACCTTGACATAACTAAATATGGCTTGTCCAAAATACTTAACAAATAGCTAACTAATGCATGTTTGATAACTTGGTAAATCATATTTATTCTTATAAAAACGAGGTTGTAAAAGATCATACGGCTGGAAATTGCTCTATCACCCTCGTTGAACGCAGGCCCGTGGGTTCTACAGAAGGCATTTCAACAGTTTGCTTTCGTCTAATCGTCTCTCAGCCTTTTCACAAAGCCTTCCAGTCTCGCTTCCCATGAAAACCTTCGCTAATCTCAGGTGGCCGGGCCTCCTCCGAGCCAACAACAACAAAGTATCAGGTTCGTGATTTCTGTTGTTGACCGCTAGCTCGTGGGTTTCTTCCTCTGTTCTTTCCTCTGCCTGCTGGTGTCTATAAATTACCTCCAAATCGAGGTTACGGATTCCCTTTTCTGTGGAATTAGATATGGTGGTGCTTGTTCGATGGAAGTCCTTTCGGGTTCAAGTTTTCACAGTCGCTTTTATCCCATAGTGATAAAGGGGTTAACTTTACACTGCAAGTGATTGCTTTGGCATATTTTACTTTTCAGGCGTTTGTAACTGAGCACAAGCTATGAAGAATCAAGTTGATGGGTTGGTTAATAGTGTAGCAGATAAACCTGTCATTGAAGAAGTGAAGCACATTCTTGAAAAATGGTAGTTTTGTATCTTGAAAATGGTCTTGTTTCTTCCATTGCATCATGCTTATCAGAAAGATGTCATCTTTCTTACCCTACTAAGTGTAAATTTCAGGTTCAATGGTATTCAGTTAGGGGACTCATGCTTGACGATTCTACATTACCTGAGCATCTTCGCAAGCTACAAGGGCGACACGTGATAGACAAAGTCTCCATGCCGATTTTCTCAGCCTCCCTACAGTGAGGGAGTTGATGTTTGAGTTGGAGAAGCTGGCTGACAGTAGAGCAGTTGGTCCAGGAGGATATCCGCGGGCTAAAGCTATTGGTTTGTGTTGTGTGCTGCTGCATCAATTCTTATACTTGGTTAACTTGCTCATGTACATCTGAAAACCTCATAGGCTGAGCTAATTGCTGATGACGATTCGGATGTGGTTGCAACATTGAGGTAAGCCACAGGCTACCTAAGTTCCAAGCTATCCTGTCCTTCAATTTATATTGTCATGGATATTTATGCTTTGTTCACTATAACAGGAAACTTCGGATTCGTATCCTGTACTCATTGTGAGTTCTTAGGTTCAATTGTTGGTACAGGAATTGTCTGGGAAAAGGTTGGGGATGTTTTACTCTTGCAGGTATGTTGTTGAGCTTTATTGTTTGGCCGGCTTATCAAGTTCTCTATAAAGCACTTTTTTTTATATGTTTAACGCCAGTGGACACAAAACCTGCCAGTTATTAGCACATCAAAGCATAATTGTCATGCTGATTATCACCAACATGTGAACATGCATCAACTGCAATATATGGGTCAAACTGCATATGCTGCTTGCTTTCCATCTCTTCTCCTTACATTGTCATTATCAATTGACATCCCTGATGTGAATTTGGTGCAACTTTCTATCAATGTACTGCTGGTTTTTAAATAAGTAAGTTGACGGTTGACATTTGTCACAATTGTGGACTAGAACTATTGTTTGACAAGCAGCATTCAACATTGATTTTAAGTTGGAATATAGCTATATTCCAGGTTGTAACTTTAGTGGTCAGCTTGAGGTAAGTCTGCTTATACATTCTGACAGAAATCACTGATGAATCTTTGCGTCTTTACCTGGTGCTTGGATTTACTATTGAGAACAAATATAACTGTGCTAAACATTTATAAAGCTCTTGATGTCTGATATTCATTAATTAAAAAGTCCATGAATCTTAATGGCTAATGTTTGTTCTGGGTTGTCACACATACTACATCAAGGTATTCTATGCAATTCGATCTTTCATTGATACATCATACTAAACCATATCGAGCACCATGTATTTCTCTTCCTTCATCTGTAACAGATACAGGAGTGCAAATAAAAACACTGGATGGAATAAAGTGATTGCAATTGTTCTTTGGTTTCTTGAAACGGTGCTTTATTGGCTAGACACTTATTGTTTCTCTTTTTCTCTTTGCTGAAACCTTTTCCAGGGAGGTAAAGGGACACAATTTTTAGTGGTTCCAGAACTTGCTGACTTTATGATATCCTCACTTGGACAAGGTATTGGTTTTGGTTTGTCATGCACATTACTTCAAACTATTGCTTCCTTGACGATTATCATACTGATTTGCTAGAGAAGAATTGTCTTTCTAGCTTGACCTGTGGAGCACAGAGCAGGACTGTTATTATGATACCATTTGATACACTATATGTTCTTGTTTATCTGGTATCTGCATTGTTATTTCAGTATGCTAGATATAATTGAAGCCAGAACATTTGTCTGTGTTTTAGTTCATCAAAGTGCAGTGCTTTTGTTGGCTTCAGAGTTCTTGCCACTCAATGCTCTCTTTATCTGTTTCTTGGGGGCATTTCTCCTTTGGCAGTGAGAAGCGTTTCAGTTTGCATGTACGAGGACTCCCCTGCTTGATCTTGATTATCAGCCACCAAAGTGAGATATACTGAACTATTTATTGGGTCCTCTTGCTTTAGCTTTGTTGTCGTCGTTGAGTCACTGAGTAACAATGATGGTAACTTCTTACCCTTTTCTCGGGACCAAGACCTTGTCGATTTAATCAGGTGCACTGAAACTTCATTGTGCTTAAAGCTTCCAGACCTAACTATGTATATGCTGTTTGTTGTCACCATCTTTCCACACTGTTGCGATTCTTTAAGAGAGTGCGCTAGCTCCCGGTTTCGTACAGGTCTTTATCGGCATACTGAATCTAACTTCGAGTCGTTACATCTTCATGCCAGGTGGTACATCGAAACCGATTCAACCATGTCCACAGCAGTCGGTTCCTTCTGACTAATCATTCAAAGATGATACACAATCATCGAAGAATTGCAGCGACATGTATTTCAGCAACTAGAAGCAGGATGTTGCTATGCAAATGCCTGTAGATAATCTTTTGCTTCAACATTTGATTTCCCTTATCTGCGATCGACATAAAAAGACCGGTGAGATATCTTGCATTAGCCCTCAAATCATTTGGTTAAACAGGGACATTTAAACACAGGAAATACTAACAAAAGGAGTGCATTGATCATGCTAGTTCAAGAAGCTCGTACATTTTGATACGACATCACTAGATAGATGGATCATCATGATCCTCTACACAGTAAACCTTGAACCGCCGGAATCGGGAGATTTTAGGGTTTTCAGACGATCGAGAAAGGGCGGGAGGCGGTATATGTAGTTAAGGATTTTTACCGGGAAGGCCAGCATGGGCCACTGGATCTTCAGTAGCGGGCCAGGCCCAAATAACCTATCCAAGAGGGCCCAAACGGAAACCGCTAAATAACCCTCGGGTCAGACCGAAATGGCCCCTGGGCAACTGCATGTTCATTTTGTCCATAGGACCAATAGTTTAAGGCTTTTGTTGTACATCCCAAGGATTCAAACCTAACAAGGGTGACTTCTTCCTGATTTATTATGTGTTACATGTAACCGTAAATGTGCATCTTACTCTAGCAAATGGAGTTCTGACCTGGCTGCTGCTTGCGAAGTATGGAAGGAGATTCAATTTGAATACCGCAAGCAAAAGATGTCGTCTTGTCCTGAAGTTTACTAATTGACATTCAATAATTATGTATTTTTGAAAGCATTACAATTCCTGAGGAAAGATCTAGTGATTCACATTTCACGCCATATCAGTTGCGCAAGATATGCGAAAATTCGGGGGCTCGTTGCCTCCTAGCTCATTCCCTTTTACATATGCCATGATGGTCATGGACAACTTTTATCTCTAGTTAGCACCCCAAAAAGATCGATACAAACCCAAAACTCTCTTGGCTTAGTACAAAAAAGAAAACCCACTTAATGAGATATAACTGGACTTAAAAAAATGGTATACCACGTTGGTACACTATACTTCGAATTCGGAAGGTACGCGATAGCTGTGAAATCTGATAAATGTCACGTAAAATCATAAATCAAAACGCGTAAGATTTTACAGCAGATCACAGAGTTTCGTATACACCCCTCCGAATCCGATATGTATCGCGCGTAAGGAGCAAATACAATTTTTTTTTCTTCTTTCTTCTTTCTTTCCCTCGATCGATCTCTTTCAATCCCCTAATGAAACCAGAGATTTCATCAAGACCCACCACTTTCCCACCAAAAACTCTCCGGCGGAGGAAAATTTCAAGCGTACCCACAAGAGCCATACTCGCACTTCAACCCACTGGAGCACCGCCGGTTGCACTCCCCGCAGTGGCTCGCACTGGACGCGAAGCTGACACACGCGCCGTCGCAGCAGTGGAGGCCGAACCCGCACTTGTCGCCGCACGCGCCGCAGTTGTTCTCGTCCTGGACCACGTTGCGGCAGTGGTTCTTGCAGCACCGGAGGAGCGCCGTCCCGTTGTTGGCCGGGACGCCGTCGCATATGTTGCCGCCGCCGGGCGAGCAGCGCATCCCTTTGCGGATCCGCTCGTTGAGGAACAGGCTCCGCGACCGGAACATGGTCGTCGGGTTGTCGAGGATGTAGTACTCCTCCCCGTCGTCGTCGGCGGCCGCGGAGATGGCGGCGGCGGCTGCTAGTGTGATGATGATGATGGTGAGGTAGTTGAGTCGAGACATTGTGTGGGAAATGGAGGGAATGGAAAGGTTTTTTGGGTTGAGGGGAAAGAAAGGGAGGGATCAGTGTCGACGACGAGATTGTTGGGCAAGTCATATTATGGTTTTCTGTGTGTGTCTATTTATATTATTGTCAAGGTTGTGCAACGGTTCGGTTCGGTTCGGAAGGATCGAACTTGCGGTCCGATAGTGAAATATATCTCAGGATTAAAAACCGGATAATTATTGTATTCGTTCTAATTTGATCCGATTAGGTTTGGTCTAAATGTCGATTATATTCAATCCGTTTTTTCTCAGTATTTAATATTTTGGCACTACCTAAAAGTTGACACAAATCTAAAAGCAACAATCACAACAATCACAACTTTTAGTTGAGATTGTATAATGCATCATTTTTTGTAATTGTTGGTGGGACATGCCTAAAACAATGCATGCATTGTTTTATATTTTGGCACTTCCAAACATTGTATTGTGCACAATACATGTATTCAACAAGCACAACTCTAACAATCACAACCTCCCTAAACAACAAATTCCCAAAGTCAACAAAAGCTAGCATTTCTCTTTGAATTATATTAAGAATAGGGGGAAAAGTGTTGTCATGAACAATGGATTGATATTCAACAAAAGCTAGCACCCTTTATTACATTGAAGAGGAAAGAGCTCTTGGTACCAAATAATATATAGCCAACTAAAATCTACAAGACTAACAGCATAATTATTATCAAAACTACCATGCACTTTTATGGTTGATTTATGAACTACTGGACCTATTTTTCCATTATTATAGTTTCCCCTCTCGTATTTGTATATTATGAATCGAAATTGGAAACCCTAATAAGTGTAATTTCTTCTTCGTGTTCCTCGGCGAGCAAATAATTGATTGTAATTACTTATGCAGTTGTGAGTTGACGATTAATAGTGCTAAATTGCTGTATAACAAATAACAATACACCATGTTTGGCAATCAATTATTAAGTTTCGAAACCTGGCTCGCCTTGCTGCTTCATTATGCAATGATTGGACGTTGGATTTGAAGGAAACAGAGGAGGGTAATATGGCGACAAAATTTAATTAAGATAGGAGCCGTGTCAGCAGCTAATCATGCTACGTAGCAAGCTAATGAATAGTTAATTAGGGAAAGGGGCTTTGGTTATAAATCATTATAAGGTTATATAAATAAATAGAGTGGTAATACACAGCTAATAAGTCAAGGTAGTTTTTGTTTATTCTAACCTAGCTTCAACGTACTTAATTGCTTGACCCAAAAGGCAAGGTCGCGTTTCCGCCGATGCAAACGTGGGAAGGATCTGTTTTTCCGGCGGCAAATGCGATCGACGTCGCTCCACTGCAAGGCTGGCCGCCGCCTCGAATGCAATCAAGGCCACCAACGCAACGCGGTCACGATGGAAATCCCACGTGGGGAAGGGAAGGAAGAGTTCTTCTCTCTTGCCACCATTAATCGAGCCTAAGAGCAAAGTTCATAAACAAATAGTATACAACTCGAAATTCAACCTCTCTCAATCAATTAAGTTATCAGAATCAAGCGTTCGTAACATGGTATCAGAGTCTTTAATAACTGGGAGGTCCTACATTCGAATTTAAATAGCTCACAATGTTACGTGCATGATATTCGAACCCATGAACACGTCAAATTAGTATGAGTTACATTGGTTCGAGAGAGCGTATTAGAATGAGACAATGGCCTGCTACGGGCTGTAACCTTTTCATTCACTGGACCATTCAATCGGTAGGAGCGACGGGCGGTGTGTACAAAAAGCAGGGACGTAGTCAACGCGAGCTGATGACTCGCGCTTACTAGGAATTCCTCGTCGAAGACCAACAATTGCAATGATCTATCCCCACGATGAAATTTCAAAGATTACCCAGACCTGTCGGCCAAGGCTATAGAGTATAGACTCGTTGAATACATCAGCGTAACGCGCGTGCGGCCCAGAACATCTAAGCCAACCGATTGGCCGGCCTACATTGATCGTTTAACCCTTCCTCAGCCCAATGAAGGAAACGCGCCTGGCCCATAGTTGACACTGCATACCCGGCCGGCCCAAAACCATCTCTCCATAGCCCACACTCTTAGCACATGATATGGCTGGATTGGATTCAATTTCTAATTCGATCGACTCATGTTGTCCATTGACAAATGATTTTTTTGGCAAAGATTGATGAATGATTTGCAAACCAAAAGCCTCAATTATTGCAAGCAAAGGAAGATATGAATGTCCTAATAAAGCAAGGGGAAAAGGTTAGTGATCAGATCTCAAACCAGCTATAGATGGATATCATCAATATGCACATGACACTGAAATTCCAACTACAAGAGGGAGTTAATTAGGCCACTCAGTCATTCTCAAATGTCAAATTTCAGTAATATTTCCAATGCATATATCCTATCCCTCAACAAGTGTGGTGCAACTTGATTCATAATGATATATGTTGCTGTCATTCCACTCTTTATTTTATCCACTTCCCATGAAAAGGTAGGAGGAGATGAGAGTCTCTCATTGGCCATGAGAGAGAATATTAGTCCGGTAGAGAGATGCTATTTTTTATATACCAGATAGACCGTAGGATTTGTTCCAATATGTTTGAGGAGAATATTATTCGTTCCTAAACTCTAATAGTATAGGGCAAACTAATTTCACCATGTCACAACAACCCCTCCCGCCTTGTTATTGATTTGATCTATATTGATTTGTCTCAATACCTACTTGTATGTTGTATCTCTCTTATTTTGGCTTCTCTTACAACTTACATGATACTTTCAAGCTAAAAAAACTTTGAACAAGGGGAAAACTCTTTAACTATTCAGTCTCAATTAATAATCTTTTATTTCTCCTTTCCATTTTATGAAGTGTTTTCCCATGTTTCCTCGTCGAAGAGTTGTACCTTTTTTTCGTTTACTTTCTTCAAATTATATATGAGAATGGGTTGATCAGGACACCAGTATCACGTGAGTATATTTTGTAAGAGAACATGAGCATCAATTCACATTTGAGCTTTTCCTTCAACGAGTCGAGTTATTGATATGAACTATCGTACTCACATTTTAATACCCCACGATGTCTACAGATGACTTTGGCAAAATGTAACGTCAGATATGTGCAAACTTCAAATTCACCATAATTATAATGAGTTTATTTCCTTCGAAAACACCGTGTGAAAGAAATGTTTAAAGGAATGATATAACACTCATATATGAGTCTATTCTAATAACTCAACTTATTGATAGTTTGATACGAAACCATTTCGGATAAGATTTCTCCGCACCAACTTGAGTTAACCTACTTTGAACTTGTTTTGTGTCATGTTCTTGCTCGTTTCCTTCTTCCTCCTTTGGGCCTTACCGAGTGGGGGCTAAGGACGACTGTGGTTCATGTACCACACACTGTTTTCACACAAGGATTCATCAATAATGTGGTTGATGAACTCACAATATGGACAGAAAATGATTATCAAGGGTCCCTCCGTCGATGCATATATAGTGTGCACCGAATCCAGCCGCAATTTCCCCCTCTAATCTCGGTGGGTTATGGCTGCTTTTGCTTGTACTCTAATTTAAGTACAAAATTCCTTCAAATCGGCACTATTTTTAATCATGGTGTTACGATACCACAACTCGTCGGTAAAGTTTAATCCACGACATTACAGCGAACTGAACCACTTGCTTGTTGAGATTGTTAATTGTGGCTACATGAAGAATGAGCCAGATAAAGTCTTTTTAACATCAAAAGTATGAGAACAAGAATATCGTTCTTTATAGGATAAATACAATTTAATATCCAAACCTTTCATTTTAAACAATATAATAGCCAAACTTTTTCGAAAACAATATAATATCCAAATCGTCAACTTTCCGTTCGTTTGACCATTAGTTAACACTTCAAAAAAGCTTTGTTTAGGGGAAATTATCACAATACAACTTTGTTTCTTGTTTTGGCATTGCAGATGACTGAATATTTAGATATTCTATATCATCATGGTGGAGTCATGGACTTCTCGGGTTTGGAACTACGATATGTTGGTGGTTTTTCAGAGAAGATATCGATGGATATTGATGAAGTGTCGTACTTCGAACTTTTTTGAAGTGTCAACTAACGGTCAAACAGACAAAAAGTTGACGATTTGGATATTAGATTGTTTTCGAAAAGTTTTGGCTATTATATTGTTTAAAATAAAAGGTTTGGATATTAAATTGTATTTACCCTTCTTTATAATGTGGTATCTTTTCCTAACAATCAAAAGGGAAATCCCATCATCTCTCCGCATACAGTCGGGAATTCGATTCTCACTTCTCTCTCCCTTTCTCTTCCCCTGTATGTCAACGATGAACAATCATTATCTTTGGCGACCAAATGTAAAAGCATTTAGTGACCAATCATTGGATACTCCAAAACGTATTCTGCAACTGTTGATGTGACTTGAATCGGACTATCAGCCGCTACGACTGGTAATCAGGGGTCTCGCTGCCCGGCCAGCGAGTGGGGTCCAGGGGCAACGCCCCCGGCCCACGGTGTATGGGCTCAATGTTATTTGGGTTCGGATTCTGGGCCTGGTCTGTAACCGTTTCCTTTGCCAGATTGGATTATGTTTAGACCTACATGGAGAAGTACTATAAATACTTCTCATACTCCTCTGTAATTTGTAATCTCCTCGATATAGTGAAAGTGGCTCTCTCTCGCCCGTGGACGTAGCTAACACAAAATCCAAAGAAAATGACCTTTTGTCGCCCAAAAAATTACGAAAATGCCATCTGAAAATAAATTGGCCCAAATCGATGCTTAATGAACTTATCATCCGTGGAGAATAGGATGAATAGACTTCATTATCAGTGGAGAATAGCCTCAGCCTGATTCAGTGATCTGCAGCCTCCAGATTCGAAAAAATGGAATTTCAGAAAAATTGCCCGAAATCTGTGATGGTACCCCTTTGGAATCTGCCAAAAATTAACGGGAATAAATCCGACCAAATCGGTGCTTAATGGA